CGAACGGCATCATATCACCCAAGCTGGCGGGCAAGATACGTTATCTTGACTCGAGGCCTGATGAACAGCTTAGGGGCATTACTATGGAGTCGTCCGCCATATCCTTGTACTTCTCTCTCTTGCGAAGAAACGCGCCGGAAGCTCAGCCTGAACAAGAGGAACACCTGATCAATCTGATAGACTCCCCAGGCCATATCGACTTCAGCTACGAAGTTTCTACGGCATCGCGGCTATGCGATGGAGCCGTTGTGCTCGTCGATGCTGTCGAGGGCGTCTGCAGTCAGACTGTCACGGTGCTTCGGCAAACCTGGATAGAAAAGCTTAAGCCCATACTCGTGATCAACAAGATGGACCGCCTGGTAACCGAGCTGAGGATGAGCCCTGCAGAGGCGTATTCACATCTAAGTAAGCTACTAGAGCAAGTCAACGCTGTCATGGGCAGCTTTTTCCAAGGTGAGCGTATGGAAGACGACCTGAGATGGCGCGAGCGAGTCGAGGAGCGAGTCACCGCAGCTGCGGCAGCCAAATCGGATGGTAGCGCTGCGTCGAGTGCGAACGCTTCGGTTCCCGAAGATGCAAATGGCGTCGCAACGAACGGCACAGCGGCAGATTTTGAGGAAAAGGACGACGAGGATATCTACTTCGCTCCTGAGAACAACAATGTGATTTTCAGCAGCGCTGTTGATGGCTGGGCCTTCACTGTCAAGCAGTTCGCCGGTCTGTATGAGAAGAAGCTCGGCATCAAACGCTCAGTCCTTGAGAAGGTGCTCTGGGGCGACTTCTATCTGGACCCCAAAACCAAAAGAGTGCTGGGCTCGAAACATCTAAAGGGCAGGGCACTGAAGCCTATGTTCGTCCAACTGGTGCTTGAGAATATCTGGGCAGTCTACGAAGCTACTACTGGTGGTAACAAAGGGAAGGGGTGCGTGGATCTCCTATCTCTCGTTGATACTCCTCGATTTTGCAATCGACCATGTACACTACCAGAATCAAATACTTATTCTTCTCTTGATCCAGAGATCCCGCCATGGTTGAGAAGATCACCAAATCACTTGGTTTGAATTTGCCACCACACATCCTTCGCTCTCGAGATCCTCGGGCCCTTCTAATGGCACTCTTCGCCGCATGGCTGCCCCTATCGACGGCGGTTCTGGTTTCCGTCATCGAGCATCTACCATCGCCTCCAGTCGCCCAAGCAGCTAGGATGGAGAGCATCATCAAAGAGTCGCCTGGTGGTGATCACGTCGACCCTCGAATCAAGAACGCCATGCTCCACTCCAAGAGCGACCCGGACGAGCCCACAGTGGCCTACGTCAGCAAGATGGTCTCCGTGCCCGAAAGCGAGCTCCCAGAAAACAAGCGGCGCTCCGGCGGCACCCTCAGCGCAGAAGAAGCGCGCGATCTGGCCCGCAAAAAGCGAGCCGAGATAGCAAAAGCCCAGGCAGAGACGAATGGCGATATCGCGAACGTCACTGAAGCTTTCAGTAATGCAGTTATCGGTGAGAATGGGCCTGAGACCGGAGAGGGAGAGCAGACGGAGAAAGAGAATCCGGAACACCTGATTGGCTTCGCGCGTATCTATGCTGGCACGCTCAGTGTTGGCGATGAGGTCTACGTACTGCCTCCGAAGTTTTCGCCTGCAAACCCACACGCGCATCCGGAGCCGCGGAAGGTGACGATTACGGCACTGTACCTCCTGATGGGCCGCGGCCTGGAGCCATTGACCACAGTACCCGCAGGCGTCGTCTTCGGCGTCGGCGGTCTGGCAGGCCACGTGCTAAAATCTGGGACGCTCTGCAGCCAGCTCGAAGGCGGCATCAATCTCGCAGGCGTCAACATGGGCACCCAACCCATCGTCCGCGTAGCGCTGGAGCCGGAGAACCCAGCTGACCTGGGCAAAATGATCGCCGGCCTCCGCCTGCTGCAGCAAAGCGATCCATGCGCTGAGTACGAGGTACTAGAGAGTGGTGAACATGTCATACTGACGGCTGGCGAACTGCACCTTGAGCGGTGTCTCAAGGATCTCAGGGAGCGGTTCGCGCGCTGCGAGATCCAGGCCGGTGAACCGATCGTGCCGTATCGAGAGAGCATCGTCAGTGCGCCGGAGATGAATCCTCCGAGGGATAAGGATCTGCCGCGCGGTACGGTCGTTGGCGTTACGACGTCGAAGCAGGTCACTGTCAGGTTGAGGGTCCGGCCCTTGCCGGCGCCTGTTACCGAGTTCCTCAGTAAGAATACCGCAGCGATCAAAAAGCTCTACTCGGAGACCCGAGCGGAAGAGGAGGGGCAGAGGAGCGAGGACACGCCGCAGAGTATACCACATGATCAGGCCGCCGAGCATGACCGTCTTGAAGACGCCGGAGTCGTGGAGACGGGGGTTCTGTTGTCGTTGGCGGACTTCAAGAAGGAACTGAAGGATGCGTTCAACGAGGCGAAGGGTGATAAGGAGGCATGGGCCGACGTCATTGAGCACATTGCGGCTTTTGGTCCCAGGAGAGTTGGGCCGAACTTGTTGGTTGATATTACGCCAGGTGGCTGCTGTGGAAGAGCGTATGTTCAGCGGGTTGGTCTTGCAGTATGCGAACGATGCTAACGTCATGTGCAGGCTACGAGATGCATCAAACGAGCAGCCTACAGAAGACTCGGCGGATACAACGTCAGCAGATACACTGACGGCAAGAGATTTCGCCGATAAGATCGTCTATGCGTTTCAGCTTGCCACAGCGCAGGGTCCGCTCTGTGCCGAGCCGGTTCAAGGCATAGCCGTCTTCCTGGAAGACGTGTCTATCAACATGCACGCAGAGGAGGAAAGCAACCCGCGCGAAAAGCTTGGACGGCTCACCGGCGAGGTCATCAAGACAGTCCGCGACTCCATACGGCAAGGTTTCTTGGACTGGAGCCCGCGGATGCTGCTGGCGATGTACAGCTGCGAGATCCAAGCATCAAGTAAGTCATCTTACTTACAAATCTCAAACCCCAGACAACGCTAACCATCCCACAGCCGAAGTCCTCGGCCGCGTCTACGGCGTCATAACTCGGCGCCGCGGCCGCATCCTCTCCGAGAGCATGAAGGAAGGCACGCCCTTCTTCACCATCGTCTCCGTGCTGCCCGTCGCCGAGTCCTTCGGCTTCAGCGACGAGATCAGGAAGCGCACGTCCGGCGCCGCGCAGCCGCAGCTCGTCTTCCAGGGCTTCGAGATGCTGGACGAGGACCCCTTCTGGGTGCCATTCACGGAGGAGGACCTTGAGGATCTGGGCGAGCTGGCGGACAGGGAGAACGTGGCCAAGAAGTATATGGACGGGGTGAGGAAGAGGAAGGGGATGTTTATCCAGGGGAGGAAGTTGGTGGAGAATGCGGAGAAGCAGAAGACGCTGAAGAGGTAGAGGGCTGTGGGCGGAAAACACATAACGTGGGATTGGGGGATGGGTGGGATCTCAGTGGTTTTGGAGTGGGCTCGTTTGGAACGTAGATGGGCTGGAGTCGATCTATGGATGATGCGGTGTGGTTTCCGTAGTGAATCGAAGGCGGCCGATGGCTGGCAGCGCGCCGGCCCGAGCACTAGCGGGTAATCTCTGGTGATCTCCCACAACGGCTATTGTACATGGACGGATGTTTGAATGCCTTGGGAGGATCGATAACTAAACCACGTACCCAAATGGCGCCATTGGTAATGATAGTCGATGTTCGTCTCATGTTGCGGAAGTCTCGTGATACTCGGCAATCAATCGTCAGGGGTAAATCTGAGTGAAACAGGCTAAATCAAGCACGGACCCTGGGATGGCACGGCAGGCTTGCCCCAAAATTTCCCCGGCTCTCGCCTTCAGGCGATGAGGAGGAACGAAGCAGAGACCATTCCTGAGGCCCGCACATTCACCGCACCGCCTAGCCATCCGAACGCCTTGCAAGATCGCTGCATCGCTACGTACAGACAAGACACCAACTCGAACGGAGCGCCGCAACGATGGCTGCTGCGCGCAGATAGCAGCGTCTGCGCATCATCGAACCCCCTTCTTGCTGTCGTTCCTCCAGTAGGAACGCGATCACACGGCGCATGCGGCACCCATCCTTCGCAGGCACATCATTGAGCACAGTCTCTTCCGAACGTCTTTCGGCTGCGTACAAACAACACCGTTCACCGACATTTCAGACGCCGCATTCCTCGAAGGAAGGCGTACGTTAGGCGCTCTGCCCGCTACAGCGCGGTTGCGGGCCGGTTGATCTATGGTTCAAGATGACGAGGCCACACATAATCAGAGCGGGTGAGCAATCGCGCGCGACTGCAATCGGTTCGTAGTGCGATGGAAGAAGGCTCACTGTTTGCTGGACAGACACGATCGACCTACAGGACCATCACTCGCCCTCAGCGAAAGACCACACTCGACAGCCCACTCAGCCCGCACCCCTCGGTATCGGCGCCCCTGCACCACACCATGCGGCCGCTGTCAGACACGTCCAAGCCGAGCGAACGTCCGAGGAAGAGCACCTGTCCCAAGCGTGGGCCGATGCGCAGCATGTCCTACGGGCTAGCCCGGAGCCGGACGACGACCTATCGCACAGGGTAAACGGAGATCATGAATACCACGAGGACCAGTCTCCAAGGAAGAACGGTGATGGGTTTGGGGGCTCAGGGGAAGTTGATATCACCGATGCGGAGAGCGAAGATGCGCTTGATGATGATATGATGGGCCAGATCTCGAGTTCTCCGTCAATATCCGATGGTGGGTATTCCTGTTCAGCTTCACCGTCAACTCTGCCCACATGGCCGAAGCGGGCTTCTTCCTTGACTCCTACACCCACTCGGCAGGCGTCGGCAATATCAGCACAATCTCCAGCTTCTATCTTCGACTCTTCTTCACCTTTCATCGCCACTCCTACTCATTTTCCACTTTCTTTTGCGCCAAGTGGGCAGAACAGCCCGACGCGAATTGCGCCCCAGCCTTTTCAACAAGCTGGTTCTTGTTCTTCGCCTCTCAAAGTCTTTCAAAATCGCCTGCCAACCGGTCTTCGGGCGATGAAAACCACCACCAAGTCAGAGGATCATCATCGAAGGGATAAGTATATATTAGCCTCGACCGCTTGGAACCCGGGAACCGGACGGGAAACCAACGGTGACAGCACGGATCGCACCGTACATCTCTTTCCCGGATCCAAGTCAAGGCCATCAACGCCCATGTCGCTGGACCAGGAGCTCGAGGAACTGCAAGAGCATTCAGACCTCGCCGACGACGAAGACCTACATAGCCTCCTTCTGCCTGAGGACGACCCTCTCCTCGACAACAGCTTTGACGATGCAGACGACGCACATGCCGCATCGACCGTACCATGTCCAGCTAGCCGTTCGCCCTCCCCTAATGAATTTGTTGACGCATCCCCTACCGATTCCGTTGACGACCAAGACGCCGACTCCTGGGCGACTGATAGCGACGCCTCCAGCTGGGACGAGGAATCTTGCAACGATGATGATCCGACTGACGTCTCCTTCTCTTCCGATCCTCGTTTTGTCGACTTCGGCTGGGGGGATGAATGCTTACGTGAAACAGAAGATATTGATTTCGATTTCGTTTACGCACTACACAATTTTGTTGCGACGGTGGAAGGCCAAGCAAATGCTATCAAGGGGGACACCATGGTGTTGCTAGATGACAGCAATAGCTACTGGTGGCTTGTGAGGATTGTCAAGGACAGCAGTATAGGTGCGTGTGAAACTCGCATTCTTCGCAATACGAATCGCTGATAGCCAATAAATAGGATACCTCCCCGCTGAGCACATCGAAACGCCGACAGAAAGATTAGCAAGGCTAAACAAGCATCGAAATATCGATGTGAGTACATCTGTTTGTGCGGTCCCAGTCTGCTCTAACGACTGCCACAGTTATCTGCGACCATGCTCTCAGATAATGCGGAGAAATCAAAGAACCCGCTCAAGAAAGCCATGCGTCGGAGAAACGCGAAGACGGTCACCTTCACAGCGCCGACCTACGTAGAAGCCTCCGATTACGACTACTCTTCCGACGAGGAAAGCGACGAGGCTCGTCCGATGACCAATGGCGAAATCCAAGCGGCGAAACAGCAGAACGGCGAATCTGTCGATCAGGACAGGGTCTCGGCTGTGGAACCTTTGAAGGTGAGCGGTAAGGAGGACGCCGATGCGGAAGTCGTCCGCCGTGCAGAGAACCGAGAGGACGAAGTCCAGGGACGACGGCGAGCGAGCGATGAGGTGTTTGACCGAAGTATGCTCAGAGTAACAACTCGGTGTGCAGAGTGATGCTGACTCTAGTAGTGGACGCCAAAGTATCGCGAAACGGGACAGTACGCAACACCGACTCGTTCTTCAAGGACGACAACGTTGAAACTCGGAAGATCACGCTCACGCCCAACCTGTTACGCGACGATTCCAGCACTTCCACTGTATCAAGCAAGGAGCGAATGTCATCAAGCCTTGAAAGCCTGGACAAAGATCGTGTCTCCGTCAAAGCCAAGGACGACAAGAAAAAGAAGGAGAAGAAACCGGGCATGCTCAGCGGACTCTTCAAGAAGAAAGACAAAAAGACGAAGAACCAGGACACTGAGTCAAGCGACGAAAAGCGATCCGGAGAATCTGAGAGAAGCTCCCCACAGTCTTCGAAGGCATCTGAGGAGTCGTTGCTTGCCGAGAGAACGCTCTCGCTTGATAGTGATAACGGTCAGCCGCCGTCGAGACAAGGCAGTAAAGGGAAGCTGCAGAAACCTCGTGGCGATACCTCGTCTCAGGAGACCAAGCCAGACGCAGAGGCTGCAAGCCCGCAGGAAGCAAACACAACAAGCACGATCTCAAACGGCGCTGTCGATTCAACCATGCGCCTTGTGACACCAGAGTCCGAGCAGGCCGTAGAAAAACCAGCACCACTGAAAGCCGCGTCCCCTCGGTCGGGACATGCTCACCAGTTGTCAGGCGGGATGCGCAAGCTAAACCCTATTCATGTTCTGCGGACCTCGGACCCAGAGGAGATGAAGGTGAAGCGCGAGAAGCTGAAGAAGGCCAAGCAGCGCATGGAGCTCGACATCGATTCGTCACCCGACGTGGAGAGACTAGAGGAGGATCCTTTTGCAGACCACATCGAAGGGTGGAAGTCTCACGAGCATGAGTCGACGGCAACGGAGGTGGCTGCGGAGCGACTGTCCGACTCTCCAGTGCACGTTTCGCCGATCGATGTGGAAAACCTCGAGGCGGACGTAAGCCAACCTCCCGCGCTCGTCGGCGATGATTCCAGTCAAGAAGACCAGGAAGTATCGCCAGTGTCGCCAGTGTCGCCCAGCACAACACCGCCACTTCACGAGCCCATCTCAACGGAACCGCACCCAGCGTCTGCCGCCACATCCTCAAGTGCTACACCCGGAAACTCTCAAGGCGCCATTCCTCCCCCGCCCGCCCGACCAGCACCAATACCGCGAACCGCATCCGCCGCATCAGACGCCCCTCGCAGCGCAAGCGTCACAGCGCACAGTCAACTCACACCGACTTCCCCCCTCTTCGCCACAAAAGGCAAAACGCCCTCCCCCGCGCCGCCGTCCCCGTCCTCGCCCAACACGCTCTCTCCCACCACCTCGAATCAAAGCACGCTGCCGCCCTGGTCGGACGCTTCACTCCGCCACTACCTAGACGACGGCAGCGACATCAGGGATATGCTGATTGTGGTTAACGATGTTAGTGGCGTTGTGCCGGTGGGCCCACAGCATCCGCTCATGGCGGGCTTGTGGGTCGAGGAGAGGGGGAAGTTGGGCGTGCTTGAGAGGGAGCTGGATGGGTTGTTGAGTGGGTGGTTGGAGAGGAAGGGGGGCAGGGGGGCTGTGGCAGTGCGGCCAGTGAGCGCTGGGAAGGAGAAGGGCGGTTGATCTGATCGTTGGATTCGACTGCGGTTTACGGAGTAAATGTTCAAGATGCTTGTTCGAGTGCGGAGGATACGGGCTTCATGTTCACGACTGGTGTTGGTATCGACGCCTGGTTCGGCACGAGAGGCGCATGGTGTGGGTACTGGGACAACAACGAATACCCCGGGCGTTTCTGTCGTGGCAGTTTATTTATTTCAGGATCGTTCATTTCTAGCTGGATAGCTGGTCGTCGCGGCCTTTGTAGCATAGCATAGCATGTGTAAAGCTGTGGCCGAGTTGCTTTCGATACCCATGAGTCCCTAGTTTCTTCGTGATTGACGATCTGGCTGGACATTAGACACCTCTCGGCGGTCATTCAGCTATAATATCTCGCAACATGGACGTCTTTATTTGATCTCGAAAGATAGGGCTACCACTGCAGATCTGAAACGGCCGCGTCTTCGGCCTTGATGGAGCCGCTGCGCGTCCGCCAAGGCGGAAATTGCCCTCGCAACAGCCCAAAAACAAACACGCGGAACCTCAACCTCTCTACGCGTGGCTGTCCACTAGCAAATCACCAGCTTCAACTCTTCAACAGTTCGCTTCACTTCCTCTCGCTATAAGCGCACGATTTCCATTCCAAAACCACGACCGAATACGCGGTCTCTGCTTGCTTCAGTGCTCTTCACGCTCATTCCAACCTTGTGACGGCTTCCGATACGACGATTCATTGCCCGACACCACGCGCATTCCTCGCTAGCGGAAGAGCATCCACCTCACATCCATTGCGCCAGAGAGCGCATGAGCTTTGGGCTTGTCGCAACGGCCGTCGCCGGATACTGCCAGCCATGGACGCCAGCTTCCTCCAGCAGCAGCTCAACAGCATCATCGGACAGCTGCATGGGCTGTTTGATGACATTGGCGTGCCGGGCCATGAGCGCGAGAAGCGCGAGTCCGAACTCTTCAATGCCCTGTCGGAGACGCTGCAGAAGCAGCTGCGGCTGGTAACCAGGTGCGTAGTAGTGCAGGCATGTTGCGGTGAGAGGCAGCAAGTTAGCTGACCATCCCCGACAGCGAAAAGCAAGACATGACCGAAGAAGCGCACCGCCTCGTCAAGAACATCGCCCAAATGGAAGCCTCCCTCGACGACGAACAACGACACCCCAACTACCCCACCTCCCGCGACCTCCAAGTCACGTATCCCCTCCACTCCTGCCTCCAAACGCTGCGCGAAAAACACAACACAGTCGCAAAGCTCCACCGGGAGCGCTACGAACAAGTCCGCAAGCTCGTCCAAGCCCTCGAATCCTACGCCTCGCACCTCGAATCCTCCTTCGTGCGCATAAAGCTACCGCCCGCCGCCTCCCCGAACGGCAGCGTGTCGTCGACCTTCGATCTAAGCCCTACGTATGTCGCAAGCCTGGACTCCGAGTTCACTCGCGTGTACGAGGAGTACGTCCGCCGCGTCGACGCCGTCAAGGCAGTCGGCGAGGAGATGGTCACGCTGTGGGCCGAGCTCGGCACGCCGCAGGCGCAAACGGACGCGGCGGTCGTCAAGTACGCGCGAGAGGCGCCCGAGCAGCTGGGGCTGCGGCAGGAGGATCTGGCGAGGCTGCGTGCGAGGAGGGACAAGTTGGTGGAGGAGAAGCGGGGCCGGGAACGGCGGCTAAGGGAGCTGCGCGGCTTGATTGAGGGGCTGTGGGAGAGGCTTGGAGTGGAGGAGCAGGAGCGGAGGGGATTCTTGGTCAAGAACCGCGGGTGCGGGCTCAGGACTGTCAATGAGTTTGAGGATGAGCTGGCGAGGTTGAATGAGCTGAAGAGGCAGAATCTGCATCTCTTTGTTGAGGATGCGAGATGTAGCCTGCAGGCGCTGTGGGACGATCTCTACTTCTCGGAGGAGGAGATGCTTGAGTTCACCCCGGCCTTCTCAGGTAAGCACCCACCCCTTTCAATGCAGGCGCAGGGAAATGCACTGACCTGCTTGTGAAGACGTCTACTCCGACGCCCTCCTCTCCGCCCATGAGCAAGAAATCGCCCGCCTCGAAGCCCTCAAAGAACAGCGCCTCCCCACCCTCCAGATGATCGAGAAGCACCGCTCCCTCATCAAAGACCGCGACGACCTCCAAGCGTCCAGCCAAGATGCCTCCCGCCTCATGGCCCGCGGGACCAAAGGCGAGAAGCGCGACCCAACGCGCCTCCTCCGCGAAGAAAAGATGCGCAAGCGCATCGCCAAGGAACTTCCCAAAGTCGAGTCCGACCTCAAGCAGATCCTCGAGGGCTGGGAAGACGAATACGGCCGCCCCTTCCTCGTGCACGGCCAGCGCTACCTCGAGGAGCTGTACGCCGCATCCGCAAACCCGGCACCGCCCCGCTCAAAGACTCCCTCCGTCCCACCGCCCTCCTCTCGTCCGCCCAAGTCCGCCCCGGCAAGCCACAAGGGCGGCACACTGCGCGGCGCGCCTCCACCAAGAGCAAAGACGCCCACAGCCAACTTCGGCATGAGCCTCTCCCGCAACCCGCTGGTCCCCTCCTCAGCCTCCACAGCCGCAAGCGCGAGCGCGACCGCCCGCTCCCCGTCCCGCATCCCGGCCCGCGCGCCCCTCGGCAGCCTCCAGCACGGCGAGAATAGCCCCGAGCGCCGCCGCTACGGCCACGATGGCATCGACACGGCCACCCTGCGCGCCAGCAAGATGGGCCCGCCCAGGGCGCCGCCGCCCAAGATGAAGGATCTGTTCGTGCCGCCGCCGCAGCCGCACCAGACGCCTAGGAACGAGTACGAAGCCGGTGGAGGAGAGAGGAGCGCGAGTGTCGTGCGCCACGTCCCGCCGGAAGACGTGTACGATGACCGCGCGCTCGCGAGCTCCTATATGGCGAGCTCGATGCGGTTCCGGCAGCAGCAGCAGCAGCCGCAGAGGCCGCTGCAGATGCAGCGCTCGGAGTCGCACCTCTCGCAGTACTCCACACAGTCCGGGCACTCGAGCCACTCGAGCCACTCCGCCTACTCAGCCCGCGGCATGCCGGCGTCAGTGGCGGGGAGTAGTCGGCAGATATCCGCGACCTCAAACAGCACCGTGGCTACAGGAACCGTCTCGGGGAGCGAGAACTGGGAGACCTACGACGACGATGATGAGTACGTCGAGGAAGACGGCGGGTACGGCGTCAGTGAGCCGGAGGCTGCGGTCGAGGCTAGTGGGGAGTACTATGCCAGACTCAGGGCGGCGAGGATGCAGATGAAGAGGCTGACGCCTGAGGGGGGATATTCGCCGCCGAGGCCAGGGGTGGGGAAGAGAGTCAAGGAGCAGGTGTACGCGGAAGAGCAGAGTGGCGCGTTGGTACGGGTTGAGGGGAGTGAGGCTGGTTGGACGGACGAGGATGCTTTCTAGGTGGGGGAGGTGAGTCTGGTTGCTAGTATGGGTGGTTCATTCTGCTGCTTGGATATGATCGGGAGAACACCGCCCTTTGCCTTCTGGTTATACAAAACGGCGGTCTACTCTTGCGAGCTCGCTTTGACGGGTCTCTTTACGACGTTCTGGCTCTCTTTGGAAAATGGGTGCAGGTCCTCCATGGTTGGTTTCGTGTGTTGCTGCTATGTTCCGCAGCCACGCCTCTTGCTGGGTTCCTCTCTTCGTTTCACGACTGTATTTTATTGGCTCTGGTCTTCTTCTGGCGGTTATGATGGCTCCAGAGATTATCTCGTACATCACGTGCGGCTTCAGGGACTACTTGAGTAGAAACATGGTATTTCGTGTGCTCATGGGTTTTCCCTTTTCTGATTGCTGAATGCCGCGGAGGCCCTTTGTCAATGATCGTCCGCAGGGAAGGGCGGATTGTGGAGAGGCTCCCTTCTCCGCAGTCTGGAAATAACTGTGGTGCGGTTGGCGGGTGGAAGCTGTGGTGATGCCAAGGCACTCGGTTAGGAATCAGACATGAACTCGTTCAAGAAGGGATGCCATGAGAGAAGCGTAACTGATAGTGCTAAAGAACGTGCAAATTGATACTCTCAATACACAGGATCTCCACGGGGCTGCTGGGATGGTAAAAGTCCTCATAAAGAGTGTGACTAATTGAGTTGCGAGCATGAATTTAAAGAGCACTCGTCTTGCGCGTCCAAACTCGATACGCCCCATGCCTCTGCATTACACTTCTCTCTTACAGAAGCTCGAGGAAGATACCACTGGCGATCCGTTCACACAGCATGATAGCCGTGCAGGTAGTCCAGCAACGCAAAGCGCGGCTCCGGCGCAATACTCAGAAAGATATTCACCATCCCCTCGACTACTGGACTGTCGCGGCAAGCTGGATGCATGACATCCAGCAATCAAAGCCCATGGAAGAACGCTTATCTCTTCCCCAGGTTTGTGGGGTGCAGCGGCGCCATATGCGCAAGCGTTGGGGCTGGGCTTTTGCATGTGGTGTTGAATGGGCTGTCCGGGAGCCTGAGGCCGGCGCCGGGCCGCAGGCGCAAAGATAAGGGAAGGAAACGTGAGAGGCCAGAACGGCGCCGCTAAGAATAGGGTGCTTCGGTGCTCTTCCTTCTTGAAGCGTCAGCTGTGGGATCTTGAATTCCTCCGCAACGCTTACGTGAGTTCGTTCGCGGCGTGTTGGGCTCAGGCTGGAGTACGGTACCTGCCTACCTAGGTAGGAGGACATGAATAAGGTACCGCGGTGGATGGTTCTCACGTGCTCGCGCCGCCGTGGGGGGGCAGAGAGCGCTCCTATTCCTCCCTATCAAAATGCGGTGTTGATGTTGGCGTTCTCTTCGGCTTCGCGGAAGCGGAAGACCCGATGCTTCGGTCTCAGCAGCCTCGTTTCCGCGGGACGACGTCCATCCATGGATGTCAGCCACGTTGACCGAGTTTGGTGGGGTTGCACGACATTCGCAGCTCAAGATCCCACCAACCGCCGGTGAAGGCCATGGGCCCAAATGCGCCATCCACCGATTTGGCTGCCAGAGCCGTGCAGCCGTGCAGCCCTGCCAGGGTTGTCGTGTGCTCGGTCGGCCGGGGTTCTTATCTCTGCTCCTAGGTTGCGCCGGCTCAGCGTCGATACGCGGCTATGATGCACATCCCGCTGCCCTTGCGCGCCGCCCAACCCGTCGCCTTCCATCCCCATCCCATCCCCGGCTAATCGCAGTCATGCCTCAGCTCACGCTGAAGGCCAGCGTGTCGGGACCCCTTGACTCTGACCCGCTCTGCTGAACCCTTCTTCGTCCTGCTCTCCAGCATGCTGTCGCTCTCCATGGCCGCCTACTGATGACTTTCCCTATGCTGTGCCGGAAGCACTTTCATTGTTCCACGCGCGCGTTTCTCTTACGAGAGTGTTACGAGAAAAACTGCCCTGATTTGCGCGCTAAGCTTCAGTCCGTCCAGTCCATTCAGCCCGTTCAGCCCAACGTCACCGACGCTACGGCACGAGAGCACCTGTGATTTAGCCGAGTTGCGCACCTTCCTCTGACGAAGCGCTTTCCGTCTGAACGAGAGGGGTCTCTCTCTACGACTTCAAGATGATGGTCCCTCGATCGTACAGCTACATGGCGTCAAGTCCATCGTCTTCGCCGGCATACAGCGAAAAGGGTATGGGTACGCGACAAATGAGACCGCGATCGGTTCTGCTGGAAAGGAAAGAGACGAAAGAGACGGGCAGATCAGGCATCTCCAGCCCGCCAGCAAGAATTGTTGCAGAACCAACGCATTCCGAGCCCGTGGTCATTCCGCCGCCGAGTCAACGACGGGCTGCTGCTGCTGCCTCACAAACTCTGAGAAGTCGAGGCCAGCATGGCGGAAGGAGGACAACCCCTTCAGGGAGCGCGCACAAGCCGGACGCTATACCACCCGCCGTTGCAGCTCTGCTTGCTGTCACAGCGATACCGCCGCCGAAAAGCACTCATCTGCGCCGCCGACGCAGCCTCAGCAGTGTTGATAGGCGGGTATCAATCGATGAGTTGGTGCGGTCATGGCGAGAAGACGACAAACCTATTTCATCTGTGGGTTATGGCTCGCCAATGGATATATTGTTGGAACGATCAGACGACTCAGAGTATGATTACCTGAATAGCGCTCGCGCCAGTAGCGAAGAGCGAGTCTATCCGGCATCCAGGTCGACGTCGAGCGATTCAATACCCTCGATTCCATCACTTGGAGAGGACGATCATTCCTTACTATCTTTCAGTAATCCGTCAACACCAGGCTCCGCGCTGAAAAGACCTAGCACGGAGCGAAAAGAGAGGGTCCTTTCCTCCCCACCAGCCGAGAACTGCGCGCTCGACCATCCGCTCCTGCGCTTCTCTGTTGATGATTACGAAGATACTATCCAAGTTTTATTACCTCCTCTAGAAACGCCCACAAAGGTTCCGCCCGCGACTCTTCGGGCATCCTTCAAATCCAATCTCACCGCCTCCCTCCAAGCCCTAAAGTCCGCCGCAAAGTCTTTCTCAAACTTCACCGCCCCCAGCGTCCCCGCGGATGACCTCCTCACCCGCTCCCTCCTCTCTCCGCGTTTCACTAGCGAGATGCGCCCGAAGCCGCTGCAAGGTGTGCCCACGCCCGCCATGCGCCGCTACTTGAACCCAACAGCAGTCGCCCGTCCCGTGTCACGTGCCGACCTTTCCACCCAGCTCCACGAGGCCCTCCTCGTCGGCACGGCCTCATTCGACGATGTGGACAACACTGCCCCCATGATTCAGCTCCAGACCTACGAGCGCCGCCACTCGCGCAGCACGTCGCGTCGGCGGCGCTCTCCGTCCCCTGGATCCGCTAATGGAGCCATCGATCCGCAGTCCGAGGCTGGGAGAGCGCTGCTTGCGCCGGCGGTTCGCCAGCGGGAGCCGAGAGAGAATAGTGACTTCTTGAGGGTTATTGTGCTCGAGATGAATATGCGACGGGAGGGCAAGCTGGATGCGAAAGCCATGGGGAAGGCGAGGGTTTGGCTGCCACCGCGGAAGACGGGCGCGGCTGGTGTGCAGGACGTGCCGGGGCGGGTGCCACGTAGGTGGAGGGGCATGACTGTCGACGATTGAGACGAAGACGTTTGAATCCACAAGAAAGCGTTCTTCAACCCCAACACACGGCTCCGCTGAGCCCCGCGAGTTTCACCGTCATACGGCCGATTCATCGGGACTGCAGCTCTGACTTCAGGTATCACTTGGCGTCGAAGACAGATCTCCGGAACACGGATTGCTCGGACGCAGCGGGTGCATATAGCTCTTGGCCTCCATCGTGAAGCTCCACGGCAATCACTCTCGAAGTCCGGCTTACTTCGCTTGAAGACTGGCTGTTTGCTCCTCGTCCACTAGCGATCGCTACCTGCCGTGACATCCTCGCCCCGACACACCTGGCTATGTGTGCGAAAAGTTGGATGGCTATCTTGCAGCGGTTGTTTGAGAGCGGGATTCTTAGCGACTTAGCGACCTCAACGGCTCTTGAGTGCAAAGGCTCTCCAGCTTTTGCCTTCATTCTGACGGTTTGTCGTGCCGCATACAAGCGTTCCTGTCACGCGCCTCGCATCACGGATCACGTGCCTTGCTATTAAGTCATACTGAAGCGGTCTATACGTTTTACCGCCGGCGTGTTCGCCGGCAAGAGAAGGGGAGGGCCAGCAGCGGAACATAGCAACCGTTTGTTTAGCATCAAGAACATCACTAGCAACCCCTCTATTCAGGACAACCTCGATTGACTTGTCTGGCACATGATGTCGCTCCCAGCACACTCCCACCATCACCACGCCGCCCCAAAATTACACCCACAATGATGCCCCCCATCCTTCCCATCACGACAGGCCGCCGGCGCCGAACTGTCGCAACTCAGAGATCTATCATCGCATATGCAGTGCTTGTGACATTCCATGAATGGAAAGCCCTGATCGGTGGGACATCTGACGCGCCATTTCGGCGGGGCGTGGGGCGCCGAATTGAGGTGGTTGTCGCTCATGATTGCTTGCTCGTTGCTCGGCGGAGGGCTCTGAGCGATGACTGCTGAGGATGCCAGGTAGGCTAGACTGGCTAGCAGGATGAATCGCTGTTTGGTTGTTAGGAGAAGCGGAGGCAGGACCGGGCGGGGAGGGAGGGGGGATTTGTACCTTGAGAGCAAGCATGGCTGGTCGGCTTCTAGCGAGTGTGGAGATCGCAAACGGAGTTTATGTATGTCGCTAATGGTGCAGTTGGTCACACGAGGGACGCGATGCAAAAGCCTGATGATGGAGAACTACGGCTCAAGCAACGGCTTTTATACGACAACAACGATCGTCGTAGCCGAGGCGCCATTACGCAGAGGATAGACTTCCCGTCTCCAACAAGCGGTGGCAGGAGAGCATCCCCGCAGAATGGAAGGAGAGCGGCGTGGTTTAGTCGGACGTTTCTAACCCATATTTATCCATAGTCATCCGGTTGTGGCTGGCTGAGGGATGCGGATCTGCACATGAATCGCCCAGGCGGGCGAGCAAAGACCATGGCATTCCAAGCGGAGCTGTTGCGGACCTGATGGTCGTCTTAAAGCTTGCGGCGATCAGCTTTGATCGATCCAAAATCGGCAGCGCTGGAGCAGCCACTTTCGATAGATATACCGCTTTTGGCCTCTCGGCGATGCTTGTTGCAGTAGCGCGCGGCTCGGCTCCTGCACGGACAAGGGGGCAGCGTGCTGGTGCGTAGCGCGCCATGTTTTTGTATGTTTCCTGCACTCAGGACGGTCAAAGAAATAGCAATACTCCGGGAGCTCAGGGTAGCGGAGGGCTAAGCGGAGAGGGATCCCCTACGGAGCGTGATTATAGAGAAGCTCTAGTATCCCTGCTTGATATTCCCGCAGCTTGCGGCGCGTGTAGTGAGATGGATTTAGAGCGGTTGAAATCCGTCTGTCGACCGACTCTTTACAAAGTATGAACAGGGCTGATGGTAACACCTGGGCTATCCATGGATAGATGTGACCTCGCAACGAATCGGTATCACGGGAACGAGCGCGCCTAAGGGACGAATGTGTAAACCCCAGGTTCGGGCTGCTGTTATATGGAACCGGCTGCCCATACTCTGTGTGCAGTGTGGAAACGGGTCCTCGACACGCCGGCGTTGCTCCGAACTTCCAACATCAGCTTGTTGATCCCACCCTACTCCACAGGTAAAACGAAGAACTTGACCGAGTGCTCGATCCGTTGGAAGTATCTGTCGATGAATACAATGTTCACCTTGTCGTAATCTGACCTGCGACCGTAGAAGTAAAACTCGCCAAGAGCCGCCGGTTGAGGCTCATGGTTGGAGAGAGGATCCTCATCGAGTTCCTTCTCGGATGCGTGGTCGTCTTCAGAGTCTTTGAAGAGGGTTGGTGGCAGTATCTTAGCATGCTTCTTGCGCTCGTGGTCCCATTGTTGCTCGAGGTCGCCCCGGTCGGGAAGGTCTTGGAATTCGGATGATCAGTAATCGAGCAGGAATACGGCCTGAAAGCAAGCATTAGCGGGCTTGACTTACGACTATCAGACACAAGATGAAATGTGACAGCTTTTCAATCCAACGTATATAATGCTGGAGTTCTATAGCTATCTGATATATAACACAACTGTATACCATGGCCAAGACCTATCAAAATCTGAACCTGTGTCTACACCATTGAGATTGGTCCAGACTTTACCGGCCAGCTAACCGGGATAAAGAGCAATCGAGCCTCCTATTGGACCTTGATCCCCAAGATCTAAAGAACAGGCGGGTACGGTGGTGAAGACGAGAGTCTGAACGTTTGCGCAGCTGCGTCCCTAGAAAGCTAACCCCCAAGCTATGTAACCCATATGCACACCTCTCAGAATACACGCCCACCACAAACCCCTAATCCCCCAACGGCATTCCCTCGACTTCCTCGCTCAACGCTCTCCAATTGTCGGCTTGGAGCTCTGCGTACTTGACCCGCTCCTGACTCCAGTCCTGATGCAATCTGCTTACATGATACTGTGACTGCTGGAAGAAAAGCAGCTCATCCCTGACGCACTCCTTGATGAAGACACCGCGGGCGTGTTGATTAACAATAGATTGCTTATCCTATTGGCATGTTAGCCGGACACTCCAAAGGAGGGGCGCTTCAAGAGATGCAGATGATTCCGGTGCTTACTCTGACAATCGCCTCCTCCACCTTCTCCACGTCCCCCGGCTTCCCCGCCCCCTCCGGCCTCGACCTCAGCCCCTGCAACTTGTTCTCGTTACTCTGTATGCGCTTCTCAAGCTGAGGGATGTTATCCTTCGCCAGCCTGTCCCTCCTCTCGAACAGATCCCTCATCGCAACCAGACAATCCCTCTGCATTTTCAGATCCTCCAGCACGCCCTCATCCCACGCGCGAGCCTCATCCTCCAGCAGACTCTGGCTCGCCGAAAGGTGTTTGGCCGTGCTACTGAGGCCCTGATTCAACAGCGGGACGTCGTTCGTGTCGATGGCGTAAGTATCCTTCGTCACTTCGGTCAGCTTCTGCAACGCTTGCGAGAAGCGCGCGTTCTCGACCGCGATACCCTCGTTGCGCTTGCACAGCCGCTCCATCATGTTGCACAGGCCGATGTACATCTCGGCCGAGCGTTTGACGCCGGAGCGGACAGTGTCGAATGTGTCTTGCAGGGTTGGAGGTAGCGAGTCCTCGAGTGTGGGCGGGAGGGTCTTGCCCGCGAACTCTTCTTGGACGGAGATGGTCGCTTGTTTGCGCCAGACGGCGAGCTCCTGTAAGAGTCGGTTAGTGCAAGGTTCGGGGTGGGAGAACGAAGGCAGACTTCTACCGTCGGAACCGTGAGGAACATCACTACGAGCTGTTCCTGAGAGAGGACTGGATGGCGGACGAGGGCATTGGTGAAGCGGGCGAGGCCGCGGCGGCGCTTCTCGATGAATGAGGCGTCAGCTGCTAGGTAGTTGCCGTTGACTGCGTTTCGTTAGTGCGGGCTCCCACATCGAAGAATTGAATTAAAAACTCACTAGCAACTCTTTTCGGCGGCAACAGCGGCAGTTGTCGGAAGGGGTATCTCTTGTGCAGACAATCCAGCAGCCACACAAAGTCGCTATACCTCCTGATGACTTTGCTGTTCCTCCTCGCGCTCGCGACTTCATAGTTCCGGTGCTGGAACAGGAATACGCCTTCCTTCTCCTGTATCGCCGTCACAGTGACAACTTCTTCAGCCCCGCGGCTTACCCTGCCGCCGCCTATCGCGCGCCGGGGGCCATTCGCGTTGCCGCTGATTTCACCGGCCGGAGCATCTCCTCCAAACCCACCACTCATGCCTTGGTGCGAGAAACCCTCCTCCGCCGTGGTAGTATCGCCGCCCCAACCAGATCCATAGCTGCCGGTTGAGGCCTGCGGCGGTGCAGCAGGCTCATTGACAGGCGTCGGGTTTCGCTGTTCAGATGTAGTGAAGCTGCTAGTCGTCCTTTGCGTTCCGTTCGGTGGATGCAATCCATTCGTAGCGGGCGTCTGGTTCTGATGCGCATGGCCGCGATGCAGGTCAGGGCTATTCCAGGGATCCGCCTCTAGAGTGCCGAATGATTGTTTCCGAGTGTTCGCCTTTACTGATGCTGGCTGTTTCTGCTGCGGCTTGGACGGCGTTGCGGGGGCGTCGGCGCCGACGGCGCTTTGCGGCCGCTCCTGTTCTTCTGATCTTGATGGTTTCGATATCTTGAGATCAGGTCGTGGGAGGTCTACAAAGCCATCAGCGTCTTTCCACAGCGCCACTCTTCCAAACATGCAACCGAAACACTCACCCTTCCTCCTCTCATCCACCCCATCAAGCGTCATCTCCTCCCCCTCAACCGCCAATCCCACAAGCGCAACCGCGACGTTAAACTCCGCCCTACCGAATCCCCCCTCCGGCGTCTTCCCGCCCGGCGCCACAATCTCCAGTGCCCTATTCACCACCTCCTCGCTCATCCCACTCTCCCCAAACAACCTCCTCACGGCCTCAACCCCGACGCCTCCTCCCTGCTTCGCGCCCTCTGCAACCAGAAGGCTGTCATAAGCATCGACATAGCTCTCCGGCACCTCCTCGCCTCTTAGCAGCTCCCTGACGAGCTCTCCCCTTGTGCGGCCGCCGGCTTTTTTGGGGGATGGGAACGCCCACGGCGAGTCGGTGCCAGAGGCAGTGAGGTCATCGTCTGCAAAGAGGCCGGCGGGTGCGTTGCCGGCGGGGCGGTCGGAGGTGCGGAGAGCGGTGTTGGGCTCGTCGTCGAAGAGGGCCGAGGTGCGAGTGTTGCGGCTGGGGAGGTCGTCATCGCCGAAGAGGGACATTGTTGGTGGATGGGGTGGATGTGGCTGATTAGGTGGGCATAGGTGGTGCGGAGATGGGCAAGTTGCTGAGAGTATGGACTGGGAGATTGGGAAGATATGAGGTAAGGGTGTTGATGGTAATTCTTGGTGATGCACGAGAGGTGAGATCGAGATGGATGGATGCGTGCAAGCTTGGCTGCGCTACGCAATTGATCGGGGCTTAGGAGCTTGGATCCGGCGCCGAGTCCGCGAGCAAACCAGTGATCTTGTGTCCATCACTTTGATTGTCCAAAACGGCCACGAACAACAGATCGAAGTTACTGTCTAACTCTATCGTAGAACGAATTGTCTGAGAACCAGCTCTTAGAGCGCTGGTTCGTCGTTTCTATATTGCAATAATTGAGATCAATTGCTGCTAACGCTGATTCTGCTAAACAAGCTCATGATGGTATGGCCTTTTGTACTACTGTAAATGGTGCGTCTTCTGTACAAATACTCAGCATACCACAAGAGAAGATCCCCCCAAACCAGAACGCCTTGCGAAAGCCATGGGTATCCCGTTACCTGCGCATGATCCTCTCACCGCAAAGGCGCCAAAACACCCAGATACGCCCGCTTAGACGATAAGCCGGCTAATGCTCTGCTTTTCTGCAGTAATAAAAGGGGTCCAAGTAGATTACCACCCAGAATGAGATAAGAACATGGAGCTGAAATCACGTAGAACCGCTCTCCTGTGGTAAATGTGATGACCCGATGCCTGGATCATGCGTCCGCCTGTCGGCAGCAGATACCGATGAGGAATCTGGCATAGACTGTCCACCAGGTGCGTCGCTACTGTTTTGGGTTTTCTCTTGGGAAAGTGCGTCAGATCCACTTTGAGGTGGAGCACCGTCCTGGTTTAGCGGCACCTTCGTCGCTGGTGCTGGTGCTGGTACTATGTCTACTGCTGCTGCACTACTGGTGGTCGTTGCAGAAGTTCCCTGCGAGGAGCCAGTAACACGTAAAACTGTCGGTGATTCTTGGTCCGCATATTTTATGATTCTGCCGCGCTGGCTGTCGAACAATGTAGCCGCGCGAGACGTTGTGTCCGCTGATTTCGGACTTCCAGAAGACGCGGTGGCTGAAGATCCACCAGAAGGGTCATCAACTACCCTGTTGAGCGACGATGGGGTACGCATGGTTTCCGGGCTCCATGCCCGTCCGCGTGGCTGAGCGGGTATGAAGGTGACAGGAAGATCGACACTAGCACGCCTGTTACTCGACCTTTCATGAAATCGTTCCCCTTGCTCAGCGGCGAAGGCTCCCAGTTTTGATTTCAGATCCCAGCGTGGATAACTGTGGACAGGCTGCTGCTTGGAAGATACCTGCAGTGACGCTTGAGACCCGAGAACACTAGCATTGCGGACTTCTGGTGGCGGTGAGTACCGCTTCCTCTTGAAAGGGTTAGGCACGGCCTGCCACCGGGGCCTGCCCCTTCCAGTGTTGACCGGCATCTCCGCTTGTGAGCCCCGGCCATCTACATCGGCACTGTTGCTGTCGTTCGGGTTGGTCATCTCTGTGTCATCGTCTTGAGCCCCCTGTTCTGGCAAGGGAACTGTCGCACTGCCAGAAGCCTCAGCATCGTCCAATGACCGCCTGGGGAAGCCCCGAGGGTGGCCATCGGCAGTGTGGTATCGCACGGCGTAAACCGTGCTGACAACGCTCGCATTGTCCGCTCTATTAACAGGTGTGGAAACGGCCGGTGGAGGTGTCGGTATACGTGGACTTGTAGTGACGTCTTCTTGTCCTGGTGTGCTGCCAATGCCGTTCCTTCGGTCCGTTGTGGCCGAGTGAGCTCTGCCAAGAGGTATGAGAGGCCTGAAGGAATTCGCTGGACGAAAGCGCGAGCGGCCCACGGCTCCCAATCGATGAGCCATGCCACTGATCCCCCGCCCCACAGGCCTAGAGGCAAAGCCCCCTCCTCCGTCCTCATCGTCGTCAGGTTTCCTACCACCAGTACGACGTTTGCGTGGCCACACGACTTCTCCGGACGTCGTGACTTCAAGCATCTCATCTCCGTCAAAGATCTCTCGTCCCAAAATACCATCCTTCTTCTCTTCCCTCTCCAGCGCCTCGATACGCTCCACCCACTCCCAGACAACAACACTTGCAGCTGCGGCGCCGACCCAGCGGAAGTAGTCGCCCCAGCCAGCAACATCGTTATTGGAAATATCAGTGATGAAGAAGACAATCGGAGTAAGGATAGCAATGATAGACAAAAGAGCAACGACGGAGATGTTCCACATCATGGAGTGATAAAACGCGTACCTCCGCTTACTGATGACATAATAGATCACCCAAGCAGCATAGAGCATACTCAGAGCGAGTTGAAAGAGGTAGCTCAATGCAGGTATGGCATCCACGAAACGCCGAGGGCGGCCATTGACAGGATCAGCGACGAATATGTTGACACAGCTAAAGGACATGTCCAGAACTATGAGAGCGAATCCAACCCATTTGATAATGACCTTTTCTTTGTGGCGCGGGAAAAGCCTGATCAGGGTCTGCACTTGCGCGAGCCATAAGAATACGTCGGAGATGATCCTAGAGATGGAAAGCTCCAAGCCAGCGACGACCATTCTACGAAGTTCAGAAGCGTTCATAACGCCCGCATAATACTGTCGCCCGGCAACCCGGAATGTGTCGGCAGTGGCGATCGTCATGGAGATGGCTACCGTTAGAGCCGCTATTTTCTGAAGCCATGGTCGTGATCCCACTCCAATGACAGAGGCGCCGCCGGTTGCTCCACTTATCATGCCTCGTCTTCCCATCAGCCCTGATCTACCACCCGAACCGCCAACGAAGAATGTCCGTGGTGTGATCAACAGCATGACGACCAGCATCCATGCGATCACGGTAGCCGCGCCAGTTGCATATACCTGTGGCGCGGTGGAGGCATAGAACGGCGGTTTCTGTTTATCGGCGACGATAGAGGGGTCATGTCTCCCTTGCTCGAATATGTTGGTGCATTCTGGTGTGAAGACGGCTTGTGCGGGGAGGGTTATAGTTGAAGTGGGATCGAGGATGATGACGCCGGGAAAGTCGAGGGTGATAGGCGTGCAACGCTGTGCACTCGATCAGTATATCGCTGGCCCTATGTTCGTGCGCCCACTGCTTCGTGACTGGCAATACATACTGCGACTTGGGACGTCGTCGTCGGTGCAGTCGACGTCCGGATCGCAGGGCGATTCCATAACTGCCTGGGCACATGGTGGTCCGCATGGCCGGCTCCCGGCATCCTCCTCCTCAGTCAGCCGTGCCAACCTCGCCGCCCAACAGCGTGTTTGTGGTGTTGAGTTCCGGTTCCGGTGCGGCGACCGCGCGGCATTGCCAACGCGAAGCTTGACAGATCCTAAACTGGAGGTGGGATGAGTCGACAGAGGGTCCAAGGCGAGGGCGCGAGCAAGCCAAGAGTGTCAAGAGTTCGGACGGGGCGTCAGTTGGGGATTCGAGATTCCCCGCCGCTCTGGCTCGCGCCGCTGACAGCACCGCAGTGACACCGGACTCCACCTGCAGCATTGCCAGCCAACACTTTATCCAGCAGATGCTCTGCTGACAGCTTTCATGTACTATGTTTGAGCTAGATATCTCATTTGTCAAATACTGCATTGTTCAAGCTGAACGGGACCAGCCTCGTGGTTAATATATGCCGGATTTACGTCCGTTGTAGAGACGAATTGTTCTCGGGCGCTCTGTTTAGTCTAAGTCGTCCAACTTTCATCATTTCCCTCTTGGCCCGTAGCTTGATACGACATGAAGACAGACAGTTACTGAGATAGGAGGCATAAAGCTATCATCTATAGCATGGCATTGGTATCATCACACAGACCGACCCTCTACCAAAATCAAAGGCTTCCGTAACCGTTCAGTATTAGAGCGGAAGATGATTCAAGCACGCCTACTAAAACGAAGATCGAAGTCCGCGGATTGTCTAGGCTCATAACAACTATACAGGAGCGGATGATAGACAAAGTGTAGTAGTGCTGCAGTGAGTGCGCCTGGAGGGCGCGCAGGTGCCAATGACTGGAACGTAGAAAGCGGGACGCGCAAGATGTCATTTACAGCAGCATGTTCCCTGGTCGATGATAGGCGAAGGTCAAGCGAGGACAATGGACGGCTGTATCAGACAGAGCGCGCTTATGGTGATCAATTACGGTCGAAATGAAGCGGGAAACAGATTTCGAACAGTGCATGGTTAAGAAGTGGTCACAGTATCAGCAAGAGGTAAGCGCGATATTAGTACTTATTTATACAAACAGATAAAGTGCAGCCGATGCTCGCTTCTTACTCGCACCGTTCCCCGAACTTTACCAGAGCCTGACAATGCGCGAAAGCGCAAGGATGCAGTAGCACGCTAAGCCACAGAACGCAAAAACAAGCAAGCAGCGATAATAGCGAACATGGTATAATCGAATGCCCAACGCGAGACCATTAGACAGAACGGGGGGAGAAGAACACAAGCCTGGGGCCAGCCAGCACGGTATATCCTGCAGAGAGATACTTCGAGAGAAGAGGGTATTAGAGAGGATCCAGGACCGAGGATCCCTATGAGGAGGAGCCTGAGCCCGGTGGTGTATATGCAAGCCCAACCAGCCCGCCCCGTGTTCGCCGGCATTTCCATGTCCCCGAAGTGACCAAGAGAAGAGAAAGAAGATGACGAACGCAATCCACACGCATACCCAAAAGCAATCAACGCCTCGGTATGCTCAACAGGAGAGGAGTGGAAGAAGCGATCACCCAATCTAGCTGTACGTGAAGAGAATGAGAAAAAGAATGCAGAGACGACCGTGAACTCGTTATTGTTAGTCGTGCGGTTAGTAAGCCGCCTGCATCTCCAACGCAGGAACCACTTGAGGTGTCATTGATGGAGTCGCGGAGCCGGATCGCGACGAGCAGGCATCTTCATAGCCGACAAGGGCTTGAGAGTGAAGCTTAAATGCCTCTCCCATGAGCTTGGTGATTCTGTAGGACTGCGTGTTAGCGTGCAACACAGGCCGAGGAAAGAGATAACCTTACCCCCAAACGACAACCTCGTCAATCATGCTACCCCAGAGCCGCGCCACGATGGAACTGAGCTTGGCACCGTACGAATCCACGGAGTCATCGTCGAACAGGTTCCTGAGCTTGTTGTACATGGCAAGTTCTTCCTCAGTCGCGGGTTCCTCGTCATGTTCCAAGCGGTAGAGCCAGAGGGTGAGGATAACCATGAGATCCATTCCACACAAAGGGTGCTCGATGCTCCAGTTGGTCGCCGAAGTTCGCGCCACCCAGCGGATGCCTTGCAACGCGGCAACCTCAATACAATCAAAACATTCTTGAATGACCTTGATCATCTCTTGCGACCGTTTGACCTTGTCTCGCGCGTTGGTCATCGCAGCTGCAACCTCGTACGAATCGTGATACCGGAGCGCTTCTTGGACAGTTTTGAGATCGACAAGCAGACGGGCCCGAGTGTTACGGTACATCGCCATGGCGTTGAAAATAAGGGGATGGCCTTTGTGAGGAGCACTCAATTGAACCACAACAGTTTCCGGCTGGCAAATGTCAAGGGACTTCTCCCAAGTCTCGAGCGCCAGCCGGAGCTTGTACTCAGTCACGACATCCTGCAACGCCTCTGGGCTTCGCTTGTGGTACCATACCTCGAGGAATAGCGCGTTGATCATCACTCGAGTAGCGAAGGCGCTGTATCGCGCAGAGTCGCCCTGGAACAGCGTGTCATGAGCTTCCCGGAAGGTGATGATTGTTGATGCAGTCAGACTCTCTCTCCAGGATTCCTCGTCCGAGGCTTCAAGGTTCCACAGAGACTCAGAAGAAGGCAATTCAAGTGAATCGAACTCGTTGAAGCTGATCGCGGGCGTGTGGTTGTACGTTAGTGTGAGAAGACCGAAGAAGATGTAGACAGCGTAGTAAGTACGCCGACAGCCTTCGTCTTCTATCCACTCCTCGTGGCTAGGCTGCGTATCACCGCGAGCTTCCGATCGCAATTTAAGCTCGTACCTGTTGCCGGCAACCATCTAGAAGCAAGTCAGCGACCAATGGAGCAATATCAAGAGCAGGTGTACATACATTCGCAAGAAGACTCTTGATAGAACAAGCCCACTCCAGTCCCTTGGGATCACCGCTCCAGCTCGCGAATATCATGTTGAGTAAGGTGCTCTGCATTGTCCAGAGCGGACACTTTCGCGAGCTGAAATTCTCCTTGTTCTGTAGGAACTGATTGACAAGCACCTTAGAGCCAATGTGGAGCATATAAGCCTGATCTTGCTCAAAGGTATACAATGCACCTATTGAGAGTACAGCAAGGACAAGCGGCGCCGATGCTTCTGCGGGATCGAATGAGGCTGGGTGCAAGAAGGGCAGGTGGTGGTGAAACAAGTTGAAATAGGTAGACAAGTACCGGTTCAACACTGTAAGGCCTGGGAGCCGGAAAGTGTCTAGCAGTGCCGCTTCGCTATCAAATCGTTTAATGTTGTTAACCACCCTCGCGCATTGTTCTTCAGATTCGATCTGAGGAGCCTTTGCCATAGTCAAAAGCTGCGACGGGCCAGGTGACCTGCGATAATCCACAGGCGACACTGGACCAAGCAACCCGTGATAGGGCGACAGGGCACCAGGGGTGCCGAGATCCGAGACAGTGACAGAGTTATTCATCGACGGGAAACCCGAGGGTAAGACATCAGAGGCGGAGGCTTGTCGTTCTTTTGTCGCTTCTAATTGATGCTGTCGCTGGTGTATGGTGCTGGGAGTGCCGAAGGACATTGAAGAATCATGGAAGCCGGATACACTGGACGAGGATATCGAATGGGCCTTGGGCTCAGTCACTGAGTGTGGCAAAAGGTTGTCCCAGGGCATCTGAGGCAGCGAGACAGCTCCAGAAGCGTATCCGACAGCGGGCTCGAGCAGCGCAGGCCCATTCGGCGAGATGACGGTTTCGTGCCCGTCGGCCATGAAGTCTGGCTCTTGGCTGGCCATCGCCTTGAAGTTGGTCATCAGCATGGCCGCCGTCTCGATGTCAACCATCCCGTCACTGCTTGCTTCTATCTGCTCCAGCGTCGCCGTGTCGATAGGAATAGATGCCTTCGATGGCCCGGCGCCGTCTGCGCCCTTCGGTGCTGCTCGTCGCTTGACTTCGCTGTGCAGTGGGACGCCGCCATCCTTCGCGTGGACGGTACGGTCGTGGCGCAGAAGCAGATCACGCCGGACGAATGTGCTCCGACATTTGAGGCACTTGAAGGGTCGTTCTTTGGTGTCTACGTTGATCGTGGGGATGCAGTTAGCCACTTTGCTCCCCCACTTGCGCGTGCACGACAACCGCCACCTCGCGAAAAGACGCTGTACTTACGCGACCTCTCATGTCGACTACGATGTTCGCTTCTGCTGAACGCGCGGTTGCAAAACTGGCATTTGTACTTCTTCTCCGGTGCAGATGTTGCTTTGCGACCTGACGAAGGTGCTGCCGAAGTGGCGGGTAAGACGGTCATGGCGGCGGCAGGCATCGAAAAGACACAGCGTTTAGCTGCTGGTGATACTGCTTGAATGGTATTCTGCCCGCCAGGAGCGCGTTTGCATTAAAGTTCGAGTATTTGGATAGTCCGGTGGAGGTGGTGGAGCATTCCGAGCTGTGCGCATTTACTGGTGAAGAGAGGGTGCGACAGAGACGAGCCCGCCTCTAGTCGGATATACGGGAAGACGCCGGACGATATATCGCCGGCGATGGATGTACAGATGAGACGGCGACGACGAGCGCCAGCGATAGCTTGATGGATAGGTACAAGTTGAGATGGTGGGATGAGGAGGGGAAGGGATGAGACTGGAGGGGCTGTGGATTTCCTTGGGATGGGATAATCTTGGTCAGGGGCGCCGAGGGCAACAGCTGTGCGTCCACTTCGACGTGCACAACCAAACGCAAGCCACGGCGGGGACCGGGGAAAGCGGACGTAAATTACGATATGCCGTAAGTTTGAGCTACAGGCGGTGCATGATCTGCTCTAAACGGGGAATAACGACGTGGCAGGCTTTGGACTACGCGAATCGCCTGTCACCTTGCGCGCGCCTTCAGCCTCACTCACCCCGCTTGTGCATAAAGGAGAATCGGACGCATCTGATTGCCCATTTGCCTTGCGATGCGCTGTCACTTCCCGGCAGGTCAGAGGCTAGAAGTTGGTCAATATTCGAGCAAAAGGTACCCCACGAGAAGCACGCCGAATAAGATGAGTCCCCACTCCCCGCTTCAGCCACAATGATACAGTGTTGCCTTCCTCTCCAATTAATCGGGATGTTGAGCCAGTAGAGTACAAGTCAGCTGATACGGAGTGGCTGGTTTTCCGTTCGCAGACGGGAGGCTATCCGTATCGCCGCCGCGGCAGCGGGTAGTCGAACTTGAGGACGTCGACACTCCAACTCTCGAAATGGCGGTATGAGGTCTTTTGTGAGCTGGATCGACTTGCAGGCGTCCGCGGATACACCATCTCTATCCCGCAAGGCTTATGCAACTGTTGCTTAACCGCTGCACACCGCCAGCTGAGGCCCGTTCCTTGCTTTGATACCAGCCGCATCTGACCGTTAGATTACAGTAACGCTTTCTTTACAGAGTGTAGCGGCCTGTGACAGCCACTCGGCATGACATGGCTGGCCCGGCTTGGCTCAGCCGGAGAGAGTATATCAATGCCCCTCGAACGGGCTTGCCTTTGAAACTCCATCGATGGTGCCCGGCGCTGCGGGCCTGGAAAAAGGGGGGCAGCTCGCCCTGTCGCATGATGACGGAATACCTGCCAGTAAACCCTCATTTTGTGACCGTCCTTGTCACCCAATCCTGGAGCTATGTTACCGATCTTCACCTTTTCTTCTTGTTCCTGGTCGAGTCGCGCGACTAGCAACGATGCTAAGGCCTGAGGATCATCTTCCCCGGACCCATCGATCCACCAAGTCAACTTTTAGCTTCCTGTATGACACCGAAGCGGATTAAGTGCTGCATGGTGGGACGCCGGCCAAGCCGTCGGTCCTTTGAGTCGCGTGGCTGCCAGCCGTGCCCCGTTAGACCTTGCAGCCCTTGCACCATCTTGCATCATTGCTGTACACCGATGCTCCAACGGCCCAAATAGTCCAATGTGTTTTGCACGAAGCGGTTTCCATCTCTAGGTGGTCGATACAATCATTGAAGATGATTCAGACGTGTGCATTGCAAACGCCCTTCAAGCGAGATACTTCGACATCCATTCCTGTACCAAGTCAGCAAGAATGGTCCCGCGTCCACCGGACGGAGTCATCGACCCCTCCAACGCACTGTTTCACGTTGGAATAGAGTCATGTCCAGTTCCACGCTAGAACGTTCCCTCTTCCCTCTCGTTCCAGCGTTGAAGGTTCTTACTCCGCTCGAGCACGGCGTTCAAGGACATCTTTGTGAGTTGAAGATCCATCATACGCGTTCCCATATCTCATCGCCCATTTCTCTCAACGATTGTCTATGCCATTTATCGTACGAGATCGCTGCTCCTAGCAGCCGACCCAGGCGCTCGGAAGTCCGGCCTTCCCCTTTCTTTGGGGCCTCAAGCCACTGTCGCAGTCCGCTATTGCTTCCGCTTCCACGCGAACCTTTTACTAGTCAGTTTACCGCCGCGACTTTCTCCACAAAAATAATTCAAACACGTGCTAGACGACCGGGTGTCGGCAGACAACTTGGGAGGAAGCGATAACTAGTAGCTGCATGCATGCGCTCAAGCAGCAGTCAGACCGCTCTTCTGATTGTTAGCGATGCATTTAACACACGATCCGGCTTGAAATAAATTGATCATGATAGATTCTGTCTAGTTGAGAAGTCAACCTTGAGTATCGCTCGCAGATTGCATGCTGCCCGCAACCTTGAAGGTTACCAAACTTGATCTTTTGATTTTCTGAGAACCGACATGCTCGTACAACATCCGGCTGGCGTACAGAAGTAAGCCCCAGGGTATCACCGCATCGGCATTGCACATCAAGCCAGCTTTCGTCAGTTTTCACATTGCATTGATGCTCTGACGTGCGATTTGATGAGGACTCAACTCATTTAGTGAACAGAATCTCCGCTCAGAAGCTTCAGGACCCTACCCCAACACCAAATTGTCCAGTGGAACCTCCCTGTACGAATACTGCAAGCGACAACTAACATTACAGCGACACCGATAACTGACCCTGCCGTGAAAAAGGTTTGGTGCAACAACCCTTCCCGGTTGAACGAAGCCTAGAGTAGAGACTGCCGAGGGGAGGCAGAATGGCTGGCATAGACATCGTCAGCCGCGGGAGGTATAATCATTATAAGGCCCTTGTAACCATTGGAGCTTCTGCTTCTTTACAGCTTAGTATTCCTAGCTGCTAAACTTACACTAGGGTGGCCTGAAGCCTCCCACGTCCGGATGGACGTTAAGAGTGAGTAGGTTGCCGTCTGTGGGGTGACATTGTTCATAAACGCATGATTACGATGTATTGACAGCGAAGTCACACAACGCGGGCACCGCCACTTCGGCATCAGAGAGCCCGAGTCCACTCACTTTTGCTGTGTATTGGGAGAAAGTTGAGGCAGACTCGGAGAAAAGCTTACAACACCTTCCTGTCTGGGCACTCTGTGATACTGTGATACTCTGATCAGGCCCAGCTTGCGGGTAACGTCCCGCGTTGGTTCAGCGAAGATGCTCCTATCATGCCGGCCCTATACTCAAGCATCGGGTATGACGCTTCGTATACGCTGTGCGCCCTCGCAAAATGCAACAAAACGGAGTTGTTGCTGCGTAGCGGCGCAAAAGAAGATTCCTTTGATGACTACTTGGAGCGGCTAAGCGAGCTAAGCGAGCCCGCGCGGAATGTGTAGCCCGAATCGTTTGGCTGTCACGCTTCCCGCTCAAAGTCCCAAAGAAGCTCGTCTTCTTGCTCGCGGCTAACAGAGGCCATCCAGCGCATCCAGCTTCATTCTTAGTCCTTTCATGTCACCAATAATACTATCGCTATCCCTATATACGCCGGATAGACCCTGGCCCGCTTCTACCCCAGTCCCATGAGTGTGGAGGAGGCCTCGCGCCGCATATCCTCCTCCCTTGAGCCCACGTTCATGAGCCCTCGGAGCTGAGGATTGCCCACCACCACTGCTCCCCGACCGCGAAGCATTGGCGACATCTTGAAGACAGGATCTTCTTTCGCACGAGACTCCTGAGCCAAGGAGTCACCGGCGAGGAGTCGCGCTGCCAGCTCTAGGCTCAGAACGGGAGGTCAAAAGAGGGGCTCGGAAACATATTAGACTCTGGCGAGGGGGAGTTCCAGAAGCGACACCGCAGCTTCGATCGATTAGCACACGGATTCCAGAATGAATGGATACACTGGCGCCGTTGTCGCCCCGGGTGGCATGTACGTGCGTGCTTTGTACGATTACGACGCAGACGACCGCACCAGCCTGAGTTTCAGACAAGGAGACATTATACAGGTTATCACTCAGCTCGAGAGTGGGTGGTGGGATGGGGTTATCAATGGAGTTCGTGGATGGTTTCCGAGCAACTACTGCGACGTCGTCCCTCGAAGCGTGGACGTCGGCCTCGATGAAAGGATCGCCGAGGAGGCGGAGGACGCAGACGTAGAGGAGGGACCACAAGATGGGCCAGACGGACAAGACGACGACGCGGACTCTGCTGTTGACGAGGAAGGGGACTCTTTCGCCTCGCAGCTGTCTATGAACGGAAGGGGAAATAGCGAGCAAGAGGAGGCCGCTTTTTGGATACCGCAGGCGACACCGGACGGAAGACTCTTCTACTTCAACACGTTGACAGGCGCAAGTACTATGGAGCTGCCGCTGGAGTCGCCATCCTCGTCGACAGAGAATGGACCTCGAGACCGTACAAATGTATATATACCGGAGCAGACCAGGCCACCACCTGAGCTCATGGCAGGCGGCTATGTCAATGATGATACAGACTATGAAACTTCGGCATCGGAAGCCGAAGGACGCTCGCTGCTGACGGATTCGCACGGCTCCCTGGTGGGTTATCTCTTAGCCGCATTGCTGCGACGTTCTAACATAATCTACAGCATCAACACCATTCACTATTTTCTAACGGCATTCGGCCCGCAGCATCTATGGATTCTCTCAGTATTACTTCTCCTACCCGATCTCGCGCTGAAAGCGGCGACCCAACCACCAGTAGTTTCTCCGTGGTCCACAGCACCATGCCAGCAATTGGGACTACAATGACCTCGTTTGCGAACAATCCACTTGGTTCATCCCTCTCGTCAGCCGCTCCACGGAGATACATCGAGGATGTGAATGTCGTGCCCCTAACCTGGCATCGGATGGTGGAGGATGTACGGCGGTCGGTCGAGCGGTATCGGCAAGCCATCAACAACAGTGACCGCTCCGAATTTGTGAGACGAGCAGAAGACATCTCGGATCACTTGAGGCTACTGCTCGCCGCCGGATCGGGCACCACTGATAACCATTCGGGCAATCCATCGATCATCTCTACTAACAAAGCTCTGTACCCACACTTCCGGGAGACGATGTCGCGATTCTCAAAACTGGTCCTTTCCTCACATATTGCCGCAGCGGACTGGCCACCGCCAGACTCGTACGCCAAGTGTCTCAAAGAAGCCGATGGTGTCCTGAATGGAGTCTACGGTTTCGTGGAAGTTGCAAAACAGCAACGTGGTGAAGACATACCGCGCCTGGTTCCGGGGTTCGTCGCTGGTAGTCGCTCAGGTGGCAGCTGGCAGAACAATGGCTTAAACTCTCACGACCCAGCGAATCCATTGGCATTTATCGAGCAAGATGACTTTGAAGCCCCGTCCGAGCCGTCCGCTTGGCTTGACTCTAATCTGTTGAACAGGTTAGAGGAGCTCAGAAAGCTCATTAACTCAAGCATCCGCCATCTGGACGAACAGTTGGCACTCCGAGAGAAGATTGTGTCGCCATATCAGCATCGGATCATAGGAGATGGTGTGTGCAAGGCCGGCGGCGAAGTGCTCGAATCCTACCGGCTGTGGATCTCTGCCATCGAGTCAATAAACCTCGCACCGTTGGCATCCAGTTTCCAGAATCCTTCGATTACGGATCTTGGCATGCACAAGCAGAGGGTGTACGACCTAGTAGCAGAGCTGGTTATTGTTTGTCAGGCCGTGGCCGCGCCATTAGCCGACGAGTGGGCCGAAGTTCGAGGGGATCCCTTGGAAGATCGGCTGCGTCACGTACGAGCAGTTTGCAAAGACCTGGAGTCGAGCACTTCGCAATTGTACTATTCATTGCAGATCCTTTCAGAAGAGATACCAGTAGCAACTACAGCATCAACCCGAAATTCTAAGAGAAACACAGACGAAGGAGTCTACTTCCCATCTCATGAGCGGACTTCGTCAAGGCAGCAGCGTCCACTTCTGGGAGAGGCCATACAGTCTCAGTCATATACAAATGGAATGGAGCACAATAACGATCCCATCGCAGAGACCTACAGGTCTGGGGGCAATCCAAAGGTCAAGAAATTCTTCGGCGAAGTGCCTGCTCCAGTAGGAGGAACAGCTGGCGCCGCAGACGATGTTCCCGAGTTCTTGCGGCTAGACTATGAGGGGGAGATCGCATACGACTTAAAAGCCAACCCACCGCAGCTAAAGGGAGGAACCTTGACTGCTCTTGTGGAACAGCTAACCAGGCATGATCGACTCAATTCGCCGTTTAACAACACTTTCCTCCTCACATACAGGTCATTTACAACCGCTTCGGAGCTGTTTGAGATGCTGGCAAAAAGGTGGAGCATACAGCCTCCATATGGCCTAGCCAAGGAGGACCTCCAGACTTGGGTAGACAAGAAGCAGAAGCCGATAAGATTCCGAGTGGTGAATATTTTAAAGACTTGGTTTGACAACTATTGGATGGAAGGTAGCGATAGCGAGGCCCAGAAACTCATCCAGCGAGTAAACGACTTCGCCAAGGACCACGTCGCAACCGCAAGCACTCCAGGAGCAGGGCCGCTACTAACCGCAATCGAGCAGCGCTCTCGCGGACAAGACATGCCTAAACGCCTTGTTCCGACTACAACTGCGCAAACGCCACAACCGATCCTACCGAAGCATATGAAAAAGCTCAAGTTCCTTGACATTGACGCTACGGAATTTGCTCGTCAGTTGACTATCATCGAATCTAGATTGTACGGCAAGATCAAGCCCACGGAATGTCTGAATAAGACTTGGCAGAAGAAGTTAAACCCCGGCGAACCGGATCCGGCGTCGAATGTCAAGGCGCTGATCTTGCATTCAAACCAGTTGACGAACTGGGTGGCGCAAATGATATTGACGCAGCAGGATGTCAAACGGCGAGTCGTGGTCATCAAGCACTTCGTGAATGTGGCGGACGTGGGTAGTCCTTTGCTCTGCACTCTGCCTTAGACTGACAAGAAGCAGAAATGCCGATCGCTCAACAATTTTTCTACTCTTACTTCGATCATATCAGCGCTCGGAACCGCGCCTATATCTCGGCTCAACCGTACATGGGGCGCAGTCAATGCTCGCACGATGACCACGCTGGAGAATATGCGCAAGTTGATGGGCAGTACCAAGAACTTTGCGGAGTACAGAGATACACTACACAAAGCCGACCCGCCGTGCATACCCTTCTTCGGTATATACACCCTCGTGCTTGTATGCGAGTCAAGTATCTGACACGAAGCAACAGGCGTCTACCTCACAGACTTAACATTCATCGAGGACGGCATACCTTCTCTCATCAAGAAGACAGATCTCATCAACTTTGCCAAGCGGGCGAAGACGGCAGAGGTGATTCGCGACATCCAGCAGTACCAGAACGTGCCGTATCCACTCCAGGCCGTGCCGGAGCTGCAGGATTATATCCTGACGAATATGCAATCCGCCGGCGACGTGCATGAGATGTACGAGATGAGTCTGCAGGTCGAGCCCCGCGAGAGAGAGGACGAGAAGATCGCAAGGTACTGTTTCCTTTCGCCCAGAGTCATCAGGCCAAGTGTCGCCAATGCGCTAACCCTTCTCACAGGCTGCTGTCCGAATCTGGTTTTCTATGATACCCTGTCGACTGCTTTACTTTGCACCGTTGCTGGCGTGCGTTGGTCATGTCATCCTATTCATATGGCGGCGAATGTGCTATGGTTCGGATATGTTGTTGGTGTTCATCACAAAATGTCGGGACATTTGGTGTTGGAGGCGGTCGTCATTTTTGGGACGCGCTGTGCAGTTGTAGTGCCATGTTCGGGTCCCACGGAGTGTTGTTCTCCCCGTCGAGCCGGCAGAGCGGGCATTGAGCGTAGGATCAAGTTATCTAGCAAGGGGCGGTCATTAAAGAGCGCTTTCCACACGTAACTCCTTCGCTCCTTCCTTGCTGCTCATCTACCATGTTGCCGGCTGGGTCTGGGAATCTCAATGCCCTCGAGTCGCCGTGGAGAAGAGAGATTGCGCGGCGCCCGTATCTGGTGTGACAGCCGACAGGCCCGCTCATTAGCTGCCGTTATATTAACTGCGCATTAGCTTCCGCAGGGCCGTCGAATCAGGCCGCGGAGGAGAACTCTTCGCGAAGGACGCCGGGGGCGGCGTCGAGTCTTTGCGCCAGCCCAGCGCAGACCCCGCAAAATCCGGCGTTTTGTGCCTGGACTTCGCTTCACCTGCGGCTCTTCGTACCTGAGCCCTGAGCTGATCTGCAATGCGAGAAAAACCTCGTCTCCCCATCCCAATTGGGTAGGTGAGGGAGTTGCCGAGTGAGTCTCGACTTCCCTGTCGCTGCTTCACCTCCGCACCTTGCATCACATTCTTCCCGTCTACCTTTTACAACACTCTTTCACCCAACCCGCGCTCAACTGAACAGCCCGCGTTTCAAGAGAGCAGCGCTCCATTCGTTCTTCTCTTGTCGTTCTTTACTCGCCTCTACAGCACACCGCCAACATGTCAGCTTGGTTTCGCCGTTCTGTCTCTCTTTTGTTACTATCTTACTCTGCTTCTACCGGTAAGTACCCACCGAGTCTGCACCGACTCGAGCGCCGCTGGCATAGCCCTCCTGCGCAGCTTCTATCTGACCTTGTGCGCTGACCTCTTCCAGCCTTAGCATTCTGCGAGTGCGGATACTCCGTTAACTCCACCTCTGGTCCCGACCATTCCGTCTTCACGGAGCTGCAAGAGACCGATTTCCTCCACATTAGCGATCTTACCGACGACATTGGATGGCGGCCCCAAGTGTACAAGATTTCCCGCGAGCAAGCTCGGGGTTCTTATGGCAAGAATGCGCAGCTCGAGAACGTGCTAGCCAATCCGTTGAAAGACAAAAATTCCTGGGCGGGCCCTAGTGTCAATGACAGCGATGCGGGGCTGCAGCTGTGGGCTCGCAGCCAGCCGGAAGATGATACGATAGGGATGGGCGAGGTCGCGTCAGAGCGGACAGACATGTGGTATGGCAGCTTTCGGGTAGGCATGAAGATGTCTGCTGTGCCAGGGACGTGTGGAGCGTTTTTCTGGGTAAGAGGGGCTCCAGGTCCATACAACATCATTTCCTCTGCGCAAACGCTAATCGCGCCCACCAGTTCCGCAACAACACCCAAGAGATCGACATGGAATTTCTTTCGAAGCAATTCAACGAGACCAGCAACCCCATCAACCTTGTCCTGCAATCTCCCGCCTCCCAGGCTGCCGGCTTCGACGCGCAATACACGCCCAACTTCGATGTCTACCCACTTCCCTTCAACCCCACCGAGGGATTCCACGAGTACCGCTTCGACTGGCTGCCCGGCAGAGTCTCCTTCTACGCCGACGGCCAATGGCTCCGCGACATGACGCTCGAGACACCAGACAGCCCCGGCCATCTCGTGCTCAACCACTGGAGCAACGGCGACCCGCTCTGGTCCGCCGGCCCGCCCGCAGAAGACGCTGTTATGACCGTTTCATACGTGAAGGCGTACTTCAACTCGTCAGACCCAGACCGCATTAGCAAGTACGACAAGCGCTGCGACAACGGCGATCGCGACAAGGTGTGCCAGATTCCGGATCAGATCACGGCGCCGGATCCAGCGGGCGCGAACGGCAACGAGACGGCAAGGACGTACTTCTTCACGCAGGACAAGGAACACACCCCTCACCAGATCCTCTACGATGCGCCGGATAACCCGTTCTACAGCGGCGCTGGTGGGCGACAATCAGTCATCTCCTCCTCGTTCTCGGCAGCCGCGGTGGCGTGTATCTTGGTGCTAGTGTCGCTTGTGGCGCTATGAGATCGCACACGTTCCGCGTGTACCGTATCACGGCCTATCACGTGTTCGCCGGCGGCGCCACGCGACGTTGCTGGGGTGATTCAGGACAGCGTGTCTGCTGGCCTGGACGCTGTAATGACTGTACGATTCGGAGTTGCTTTGCTGTGTCTTGCTCTGCACATATACCCTGTTTGCTGTGTCGGGATGGCATCGAGTAGTTCGCGGCCTGTTGTAGCTAGCCTCTTTGAATTTTCTTCGCGAAGGGTTGGAGAGGGCATAGACTACACTGGGACCTGTAGACTACTTTATTTTATTCAGTTCAGTGTATATACTTCTGTTCGTTCTCAATACAGCTACTTATCGAGACGGTTGAGCAACGGATGTTCAGTCTTGCTCCTGCGTTGCTGGCTTGCTTCATGAGACTTTCACGTGCAGCTCGAGTTCCTCGGTACTTGCGTCTCATGATCCAAGCTGGCAAACGCCTATCTCTTGTACCCAGGTACCCCAGCCAGGAACTGCAACATCCGCTGCACAGACGCTTCGGACGAGTGCGCGGCCTCCTTGAGGACCTCCTAGCAGCGTGAGTCGCATCGATAAAACGACTCGCGAGGCATCTTTGCCCCTCTGCGGGGCGGAACCAAGACTGTCACGCACCAGGCAGACATCTCACCATGAGTTCTTCATCATTATGCAGAGTACGTGCATCAAAGGGGCCGGCAAGAGGCTGACGAGAGGCTGAAGCCGGACTCCGTACCTGGATCTCGAGATTTGAGCCAAGCCGCCACACAGCAGCCGAATTGCGCATCTGCCAATCGAATGCTCTGCTACGGCGGAAAGCATGCGCGGCTAATGCTGGTGCTGTGCTAGCGTGTTGTTTGATCTTCGGCCTTGGACGTCGGACATTGGCACAACTTTTGATATCGGACATTCGCACCACTCCTTTTGTCTGTCCGACTGTGCACAACCGCGTCTGTGTGCGGTGGCTTTCTGCTGGCCATGTTCCTCGAAGCCTCCTCCATGCCCGTTGCTGTGAGAATGCTGCTGTGATCCGCCACGACGCCAGCCCCTCGTTCCTTCTGCTGCTTCGCGCTGCATTCCTGTCACTTTCTCCGAGCCTTGAGTGCTCCGTCGGTCGCTACCACCAGAATTGTCCATTTTACGCGTCCACAATCCCTTACGGACAGAAACCAGCTTGAGTCCTTCTTTAGCAGCGTTGTCGAGCAGCGGCTGCCACAAAGTTAAATCCAACCCCGGAGATAAACGTTCGAAAATCTAACCAACCTCCTCCTCGACCTGCATCGGCCCCACTGCATGCACTTGACCGCGTCAAGACTTTCGCAACCGTACGCAATCGACCAGGAACTCTTTTCCGAACAGACGCAGGCGTGTTAGAGCTACTACTTCGACCCGGGCAACGGTTGCTGCACCCCATTGCTGTACGGTTACGAACATCGCTGCCGTGCACACACACTCGGGCTTGTACATCCCAGCCTCAATTGTGCTCCACGATAGCAGCAGCCCTGCTCACCAGCCTCTGGGCCTGATCTATCGGCCTACTTCTCGTCCTCCACAGCAACCAGTTTGCCAACTAGTTGCCAACACCAGCGTCTCCAGTAGCGAGGCCTCAACACCTAGTTTCTTAATATCCGGTCTATCTCGCCGCTCGAAGTCACAATGCGCCTCACACACCTCACCCCGCTGCTCCTCTCCTCTCTCGTCGCCAGCATAGCTGTCCCGCCATCACCAGCTTCCTCCTCCGATGGCTCTATCGCGCCAGTAACAGCAGCACCCTCTATCCCAACCGCCACGCTCGCAGCACCAGCAGCACCAACAGACGGCCCTCTAGACGAGGTCGATGATCTAGAGTGAGTTTTCCCTGACCCCTCCCATCCTCTTGCCTCTCTTCCTCCTCCCCTCCCCACTTTACACACGCCTCCTCTAACCACCCCCCACAGACTCCGCGCAATCGTCACCGCCGCACCAGCCGCCCAACCCACGCCCGCTGCCGTCCCAGCCGGCGCAGCGGGTCCTGCACCCTTCATCACCTCCTGGTGGGCTCCAACTGTCCTCCCCGACGGCGCCACTACCTGGGTCCAGCTGGTCTTCACCCAGACGTACAACGCCGTGCCCGAGCAGCTGCCGACGCCGAACAAGGGCGTTGTTGGCATGGGGACGCTTACGGGGGAGGTCGGCGTTGTCAGGACGAGCGTGCCGAAGTATAAGAACGGGGGAGGGAGGACGGAGATGGGGTGGAGAGGTCCGGCTGTAGCTGCGGGATTAGCTGTAATAGGGGCGGTGGGAATGGTTTGGTGAGGGGTCAGAAGATGGTGCGGTGGTGGTGTGTCTGCTTGAGGACTAGGGAGAGAGAAAGATTGCGCGGCGTTGGTACTAGAGAGAAGGAAGGTCTGGCTTATGCTTCGAAATGGCCGTACGAGGACATGTTTTTGTGTGCATCTTTGCGGGTCTTGCTCACTATCTCGGCAACCTTTGCTGATTCTTCTCGCATACGGGCATTTTAGCGGCGGCGTTGTACTACAGCAGCTCTGGACTGCATTTTGTTCTTAATATATAATTAGACAGCAAAGAATTAGAGCGTGGGGCACACGCTCTTCCTCTTACAGCTCAGAAGGATGCCACTTACTTACTCCAAACTAATAGAACTACTCCTTGCGACGGACGATGCGTCTCGTATGGATATCGTTCACCTTGAGGCCGTGCAGTCTTCGAAGCCTTGGGTGTGCCTGGGAGCTCTGACAGCAACGCATCGATTCAGCGCAAACCCAAAAGATATTGCTGCTGTCACCCTCGCATCGTTCTTGCAAATTCTCTGCTTCTCGAGTCTCGCCCCGCTGAAGCCCTCTATGTAATGGGGAGATGAAACAGTCACGTGATGTTAATCGTAAGCACGATGTCAACTCCAGACCTCAACTCTCCCAACAACGAACGAACTGACGGGTGTCGAACATCCTGGATATCTCCCTGTAGTTTGAGTTCGAGTTCGGGTTCGGCCCGAGTCTTGTACGCTCCGCGTCCCATGATAAGGTGGAAGAAGGTTCCGCGATTAGCGGATGACGATCAGCCAGCCCTTCGGATGATGTCGCAGGACGGCACCGCGGGCTGCTGCCGACGTGTGTCGTAACCGCCAGGCCGCATTGTCGATAAGTTGGTTAGAATGAGCTACTGGACGAGCTACCGGTGCGCTGCTGACTATATATGCAGCTGTCGCCGTCATTGCTTTCTTCTATCCTGTGTCTCAAGTTGCTGGTGTTTCTAGAGTCTAGATTTACGCTTATCATTGTGTGACCTACTTATTACGTTTGTATATCGTCAAGAGCTATTCGTAACCTTCAGAAGTTGCTATAGCTTCTCTGCGAGAAGCGGACGCAACAGCATCGGCGCTCTGTCTATCCCATAACACCATGGCATCTCACAGTCCCCAATTAACTCAATTCCCATCTCTCCACTCCCGCAAGCCAGTGTCGTCCGTCCCCTCCACCCTCCGCCATGACTCCGGCGTCGATCTTTCCGCGGATATCGCAGATACTACAAAGATTGTAGATACAAGAGACAGCATAGACACCATAGACGCTCTAGACACCATAGACGAAGCATCCACCGCAGCCAACGGACGCCCAACCCCCTACTACCACGACCAATCCGCCTCTCCCCTCCTTTCGCTCCCCGCCGAACTCCGCAACCAGATCTACACCCACCTCCTCGTCCCCTGCCCGACCCACCTCTCCGCCCTGCGGCGCTGGACAGCCCAAAACCACCTCTCCGACTACGTCCTCCCCGCGCTCGACATCCACCCGGCGATCCTGCGCACCTGCCGCCAAGCCCACACCGAAGGCACGGACCTGCTCTACGGCGCCAACACCTTCTCCGCCCACCCGGCCCTGCTGACCCAACTCCCCTTCCTCGTCAAGGCGAGCCGGCCGATCGTGTGTCCGGCTGTTGTGGGCAGGATTAGGCGCTGGCATGTTAAGGTGCGGCTGGATACGGATCCGAGGTATAGCGCGGAGGATGTGAGGAGGGCGTTTTCGGACGCTGAGGAGGTTGAGGTGGATGTTTGGCAGACGCAGTTTGGGGCGTGCGATTATAGGAATTTAGGGCTGTTTGAGGGCGTTAGGGGTGTGGGGAAGGCGGTTGTGGGAGGGAGTGTGGAGGCGGGGTTTGCGGGGTGGTTGGAGGGGGTTATGATGGGGCCGGTGGAGGGGGAAGGGGGAGGGGATGGGGAGGCGAGTGGAGAGAAAAGAGTGAGTTGGGGGAGGGGTAGGGGAGTCTATGATTTGTGGGTGCATGGAGGACGGTGAGGTTGGGGTGTGTGGGTTTGTCCTGCGAGCAGTGGTGCCAGTTGCGCATACACCACGGGCATGACGATTTTATAAGATATATGATGTTAGACGATCTACTATTTGCAAGTTTTCTAACGAGCAAGCGGAACACAATATCAGACATTGAGCCTACCTTGATCGCGCTTGAGACTCGACTATGGGAAGAACCGGCATATGGTATCACGTGACATCGTCTTTATATTTCAATCCTTTTGCTGCCTAGACCCTTCCAATACAAAGCTATTGATCAGCTAGCTACGAAGAGGTGATCACTGAGGTTGCTTGATTGGTGGCATGCCTGCGGTATTCAAGCACCTCGGCCTCAGAAGTCTTCCCATATCCCACCACACAACCTCGATTTCTACATAAAAATCAGACCAACCCCCAGAATGCGCCAAACAAGGCGCAAACATAAGCGGCTGTGCTTAGAGCGCTCCTCAAACAGCAGATCCAAGCAAGAAAAGACGTCACCACCATCACCTCCACCAGCGGAATCAGACCCATATCGTCACCATCCAGCACAGCAGCCGCCCCCCAAACACTTACTAGCGCAAGACCACGTCCCAGCATCTGCCCGCGTCTTCGGCACGTTTGAGCTCCTCGAGATCATCCTCTCAAACTTGTCCGCCTGGGATGTCATGCACCTCCAACGCGTGTGCACGCGGTGGCGAGACACGGTGCAAGGCTCTGTCCCGCTAAGGCGAAGAGTAGACGAGGTGCATGAGATGAGGAAGATTCTGGTGCTGCTTTGTCGGCGGGCGGATGAGGAGGCCGGTGGGGGCTGAGAGGGGGAGTAGCATGGTCACGGAACGAGTTTGCGGCTTGCATGAGACGGGGATAGATTCGTGGGGTGGTGAGGTTGCCCGAGGATCTCCCAATGCGGCGAGTGCTTTGACATCTGGATCAGGGAGGCGCGACATGCAGGCTGAGCGGAGCCGAAGCAGTTCAGGCTTTCATGCGCGTGCGGGACGTTGGCCGGTTGTTCTGGGGCCACTGTACGGCTGGGGGCTAGGGTGAGGTGCTTAGTTCAGAGCTGCTGCTAGCATGGGGAAGTGGTTGTCGGAGCCATCTACAGCCATGGAGGCACAAAGTGTGCAGAGCGGCGATCCGTCTTGGAAGAGTTTCCCCATGCGTGTACCGATTAGGTGCACGGAGACAGATGTGGCAAAGCGCAAGTATAAGGTCAATCGCGTTGGGGAACGGCGATGAGGTTCTCTTGCCGGCCGAGGACGTGATTCCTCTGGGCGAAACAGACTTCTCAGTCGGGGCGGCACCTGCAAAGGGGGTGTTGTCGACGTGATCGTTGCGATTGCTCCGCTAGGCGATTGGAGGATTAACGCTTATTCACCTCATATCGTACACATTATGGGATACCGAACGGACAGTAAGGTTTTAGCAAGAAGCGAATGCTAGAACCCAAGCAAGCACCAAGCCTACCAGCCGGTGAAATGGCAGACAAAGGGACGCATCATGGCAGCCAGAGGTGATCTCACCAGGAACTGTACACCAGAGAGGCTGAGGAAGCGTGCCGGACATGTTTGTGGCCGATGTTCCGATACTGCTGCTGGTAGTCCGACAATTTCTATGGGAACGACTATAATATCTAGAAGAGTGGTACATGTAGAGAGGTACCGTTGAACACTGAAGATTAGGAAAGGGGGTTGGAGCATTGTGCGCCAGCGCACGAAGTGTAGTGGAAGGACTGGTCATGGAAAGAGTGGATGGTTGGTAGAAGCTTCGGGACTTTGCCTTGCAAGTGGAAGGTGTCGAAGGTATACAGGCGGATGCCGGATAGGTGAATGGGTGGATAGGAAGATGGTTATTGGGGCTTGGAACTCAGTTGGCGCAGATAGAGAAAGCTACAAGGGATCAGCTGGTTCGGTGGCGACAGGTGGTAAGAAAGACCGATTGCAGGCTTAACAAATGCAGATAAGAAGGGGATTGGCACCAGAACGTGTTGGCTTGGGTTTGCGTTGAAGAGATCCTAGGTGGGGACGTGGTAGATTGGTAGGCAAAGTCGAGGTGGCTTCCAAGCGGAATCAGGTGTAAGAAAGCTCGAGTTAGACACGTGACCCTGCTTAAGGGGATACAAGGGTGTCTACGTTATCTTAATAGCTCTATACGCTTGCGGCAGAAGAATGACACGGTAACATTCCTCGAAATTCCTGGCGCGAGTGGTAATTCGGACCCCGATTGGCCGGAATCAACATCAGCCGAGACTAGCCCACAACCACCAAGCTGCGAGCAAAACAAGAAGGTGCTGTGAATGCAGCGGGTATCCAAACGTATGTACGTTACGAAAGTTCACAAATGTTGATTGGATGCCCCGCTCACCGGCGCCGCCCCCTACCGCGATCTTGCGACGCTCCGCGAGCTTTGCGTGAGCGAGAGATTGCCCGTTTCTGGAAGATCCTCTTCAGGGTGCGAACGATGTTCGTCCTCCTGCACGGAGAGTGTCAGCTTTGCGCTCGCGAGAGAACACTCAGGGGGCAAACTTACGTAAGGCCTAAAACCATCACTATTATCACAGGCACAGCAATGTACCAAAAGAAGCTACGAGAGTGCGTCAGCACCACAAACAGATTGCTCATGGTGAGGTCTAGTATAAGACTCACGCATCACTATGTTCCTGAACCCCGGCAAACCTTTCAAAGTTCTGCCCGAAGTAGCCTGTTAAGAAGGTGAGAGGGAGGAAGAAGATGGTGACGGCTGTTAGCTGCTTCATGCTCTCGTTCTGGTAAGTGCCTATGACGTTGAATATCAGGTCCGTCATGTTGTCCGTCGCTCGCTTCATGTCGTCCAGGCTCTGGATCATCGTTATGCAGTGGTCTTCGACGTCGCCGAGATAGGTCTGAGCCATGGGGCTGATTTCTATACTCGACGCTGCTCGTCTGCTTGGTATGCCAGTCAGTCCTGGGGTGCCTGGGAGCATGCCCGGGAGAATGGTCTTGTGGTCTCGCAGCGCATTGATGAGGCCGATGATAGGTTGCAACGTGGTTCTGAGCAAGGACAGTTCGGAAGTGATGATGTATAGGATCTTTGATTGCTCGATGCCCGGATCAGTCAACACGTCAAGTTCCAGCTCGCCAATGCTGTCTTCATAAGCGTCGACGACAGGGAACGCCAGATCGATTATGGCGTCTATGATGGCCTGTACCAACATACTTGCGTCGCAGCTTCTTCGCAGAATAGTGTCTGGAGTCTCTAGCCTTGCAAGAATGGGATGCTCGATGTCGGGGGCCGAATGCTCGAAAAACGAAATGACTGTGTTGTCGCTAGTGATGAACGCGGAGACTTGCTCGACGCTGACGGCCAGATCTTTCTTGGCCAGTGCTGATTGAGACTCCATGTATTCAGTCCGCTCTATGTTGGGACCGCCACGGTAGCGCTGCAGGGTCCGGACAGACCGGCGAGCCCGCTGATCTGGCAACAAGTTACGGGCCGCTATGGAGCCATCCGGGCGGAAGGTGACTTCTTTAGAGGTATTCATTCGAGAAGCAACGTCGGAGATCGGTGGCGCGTTGTCGTTCAAACCGGTCAACCGTTTTACTAGCTGTCTCGGCCCCTTCTTGGACTTGGTCTTAGCTTTTTGACGCCCAGGCTTTTCTTCATCGTCATCGCTATCCTCGTCGTCACTCTCGACACGCAGTCGGACGAGCTTTTGTAGGGTCAAGAGGACTTTGTTCTTGTCAGCTACTAGCTCAAGGGCTGAGGCACGTGGGCACGAAGAACGGGTCATAAGCACGTTCGGCATGCACAGCAAGGAACCACAGATGCGAAAACGAGTAGCTTCTTCTAAGAGACAAGACTTTCTGTACACATAATCTAAACACTGGTGGCGCGATACATGTGATCTGTCAAAGCTTGAGGCAAACATGTTGCCGGCAAGTATGTTCGAGGAAAGAAAACAAAGTATCCGAGCTGATATAAACTGCGAATGACTCCGAGTATTGTAGCACGGGGTATCCGCCCCGGCTTTCCCGTAGTGTATCGCTCACGGTGTGCTTTTGACCCGATATGCTGAATCGCTATATGAAGGTGGGAGGCCCTTGGGTAACATTGTACACGGACTCTCATGCGGAATCGAAGGCAGCATTGTAGAATACCGCGCGGCTGACCTCGAGTAGGAATCCGCAAGACAAGATTGGAGAATGCCGCGCAATTATTGAATTCCAAAGGAAATGAACTTACGAAACGCGTGGTCCGAATACCAATCAGCTTTGGTCCTGCCCCGGTTGTTCATGAGATCCTCGATAGCTAGTCGATGAAGCCTTTTGTGATTGCCAATCGTTCTGACCACCTCGTAGTTCCCAATTCCGTTGACGCTGATCCATCGACACTTCACCCACTCATCTCTGGGCTGGTCCAAGAAGCCTTTCAGCGTTGTGTTGTCGAGCTGATGGTGGACGCAGCTGTCATTGCTAAAGTCCACGACGGTGATCGCGACATCCTCGTCTAGGTGAACGTAAACTGGCTCTGCTGCTCTCGTGTCTAGGCCAGGTTCGGCGCCAGGACTGTTGCGCAACTCAGGATACGCTGTAGGATAGTTCCGGACGGTATTCGAACGCGTTGGGCGGCGATGTAGGGTGTCTATGGAGAAATGCGGCGAGTCCGTCCCACCGCGCGGCGACGTGGGTGAGAGTGGATTGGGGTCGCTCTGGCGGTGGGTTTGCGCCTCGACGTCGACATGGAGGGGCGCGCGTGCGGTGCTCGTTGTGTCTCCTCTTGAACGATACTCGAAGTCTCGCGTTGTAGGGTCCGTCATGTTCGAAGCGCGTGCGGCAGGGCTGTGTAGAGGGTCCAACTACGAGGATTGCGGAGGAGGAGTAGGTATTGCGGGCGAGCGCACGGCCATGGGGCGGATCTATGGATAGCGGTGGTGAATTGATATCGGATTGGTATGTCACCTACGTAGGATATCTGTGAATATCCGTGTCATGCATTGGTTCATGGTACTCGAGCAAAGCAACTCTCATTCTGCAGCGGCTGACAACGCTGAAACCGGTTAGAGGGACGCTGCCAGCATGCTAATCGACGCTCTGCCGAAACACCGGGCGAGCAACGTTTGGTAGGGACTGGAGCATGCACAAGTCTATCAGACAGGGCGAGAGACTGCCAGAGAACAAAGAGAGCGCCCGTCACTCTGCCGCCGTTGATCGAATGCTCGCAAACATGGCGGCGCGGCTTTCTTTGAGCGAGCCCGACGCGGCGCTGGATTAGTCAATCATCGCGGCGAAACCGCCAAATGCCAAATTGGAAGGCTCGACCAATCCAACCCCTCGAGTCAGCCAAGCGCGGCGCCCAACATGGCCGACTCCTCTTCCTTCCTCTCCATGTCTTTCCCGCCGTTCAGCGACTCCATTATCCATCAAGGACAGCGATAGCAGCCACCATCTCCCTTCTGCAGCATCCTCTACGACCCTCTCACCACCCACTGCGTTCCTCAATCAAGCAGCCGACGCCGCTCAGCTCCCTCGTCGCTTGAACGGGACGGCAGTCGCCACGCCTGTTCCACCCTCCCCGACACAGCCGCCGAGAGCAACCACACCGCCCACCACCCCGAAAACCGTTTGACCTTCTCGTTTCCACATCGACGGGCATGCCACTTGGCCCTCGACTATAATCTGCCGCATTCGCACGGTGCTAGCTGGTGCTGTGTGCCCGCTTGCGAACTCTTCTTCCCCTCTGTCCACAGCATTGGCGGCGTGTGTTGTCTTTTGGGTTTCGGAGTTTTGAGCGTTGAACTTTTCGACCTCAGGGATTCAGTTTTGGAAAGTTCGGTCCGTTAAACTGTGCATTGCGGGTGTCATTGTGCGGGTACGGATCGGTACCGAACTCCACACATCTGCTCCTACTAATACATCTTTCCACAGCGTCTTTTCACGGCTTGATAACTCTCCATCACATTCCCAAACCACCGCAGTCAAACCCCTCAGTTCGTCACCATGAGGGAAGTCAACTTCAGCATACCGAACGCGAACAAAGCCTCCGTTGGCATCACTACCGCTCTCTATGATCGCCGCGCTCTAGACTGCACATCTACCCTGCCTCTAATCAACTCGCTGAACCACCTGGCATATCTGACTACCTCCTCCGCGCGCATACGAGACATCTTGACCGTAGATGGAGGCGTCGAACGGCTGGTGTGCATACTGAAGGAGGGCAGGAGCAAAGACATGATGGACATGTGGAAATGGAACCTTGCGTTTCAATGCGTGGTCAACATTGGAGTAAGAGGGTCAGAGAACGTCCGGACACGGGTTGTCGAGGCAGACATGGTCCCAGTCATTGCAACCATACTTGACAACTATCTCAAGGTTATTGAGAAATGCCGGGAGAAGGCCGAAGCGGAGACGAAGCGGAACTCGAGAAGTCTCGGCACCTCGGGCAGACATTATCCGCGGGTGTCTGAACAACTGGGACTGTCTTCAGGCCACAGACATGAACGTCACAGACGCCAGGCGCCTCCTCCGATTGAGATTCCGCAGCCTCCCAGTCACGCGCCGACCGACTCACAGGTTATCGATGCGCCCCCAGTACCTCCTACGTTTCCATTCAGCTCCCCTCCTGAGCGCACATCGTTCTCCAGACACCATCATCACCACCACCATCGCAGCCATGAAAGTAGAAGATACGAGACGTTGCCTAGTTCAAGCCGCCAGAATATCCCTCAGCCTCTTGCATCCGCTGGGCCGGTCCTGGAGCCTCCCGAACCTTTCAATATCCGACCAGTCAGAGATGCCGACCGCCTTCCGTCCATGCTACCCATGGCGGTGGGGGAAATTACGTCCCAGCCGGAGTCGCCAACCACACCGAACGCTCTCATCAATATTCCGCCAACCAGCCCAAGAGTTGTGGCAAGCGGAGGCAGGACCCGCCGACGTCCGTCGATCCGCCACCAGCTGTCTATGTCTGGGGACTCGGACGGGGGCCAAGACGAAGAGCTGTTGGCATCTGAGGACTCCGCGGCCGCTGGAGATGCCGTAGAGCCCATCGTGGGTCTCCAGAACGAGATCAACATGCAGGACATCGTCGACAACGAGGAGATGCTAGATGCTGGCGCAACGCCTGTCGGACTGAACGCAGCTCCTTCAGAGGATACAGACGCAGAGACCTTCAACATCACACACAGATCCGCAATCGATGGTAGCCTGATCAACCCAGCGGTGAATCAAGCAGCTGGACCGATGGCGTTCTCCCCCGCCCAGCCCACCATTAACGTCGTCAATGCCACCCCGCAGACGATGCAAGCGAACTGGTACCCGCGCTACATGCAAGACCGCACAATCACAGCCGGCGTCCTAGCCGCCATGCCACGTGACGAGGACGTTCTCATGTCGCTCCAGCTTCTCGCCTACGTCTCCAAATACTGCAATCTGCGCTCCTACTTCCAAGAGTCGCACCTCGTACCAAAACTGAAGATCGGCGCCGATCTGGCAATGCTAGATGGCGAGGCGCCAGCCAAGCCAGCCGTAACGGAGGAGGACGAAGACGAGGAGTATCTGCTCCCTGACGACTTCAATATCTTCCCGCTCGTCGAAAAGTTCACGGTCCGCCACCACAGCCAGGACATGCAGTACTGGGCCGGCGTAGTCATGCGGAATCTGTGCCGCAAGGACGACTCCCGCGGCGGCATCAGACAGTGCGCTTACTACGAGTGCGGGCGGTGGGAGGAGTTTACGCGGCAGTTTGCGAAGTGCCGCAGGTGCCGACGCACAAAATACTGCAGCAAGGAATGCCAGAAGAGCGCTTGGGTCTATCATCGGCATTGGTGCGTTGCGGCGCAGCAATAGGCACTCAAGCCTGTTATGGTGCTAGAGCTCTATAGTATCTCACTGTTTTCACTTGGTCACTTAGCTCGGGGGGCATCTGGCAAGGCGCAATTCCGCGATTGGGATGGAACGACATCAACGATGGCACGACGAAGTTCTTTTGTCTTTGCGACGCTTTGGGCGAGAAATTTAGCAGGAGTTCTTTAGGCAAGGCGGAAAATGTTGCGAACATATTCCTAGCTGGGGTGTTTTTCTTCCTGCTTGTTATGCTTTTGATATAGGGAGCTAGTGTTGAATGCCTGCTGGCTTCGTCTGCGTTGGCTCGTAGCATTTTATATAGCGGCTGCGAATGCAAAGATTGACATCTCGGTCTTGAACTAGCCTCCTTGTTGCTGTCACGTTGTATCTCAGCCCCACAAACCCCCTATTCAAGCGGCTACAGACAATGCGCGGTTTAGTAGCACCAGGCGCATGTGCTGGAAACCGCACGCCCAGCGGCAGAGAGAGCAGCCAGTTGCGTCAAACCTTGGCCAAAAATAGCAGGCACGTGTGGGGAAGAAACGCGCTTGCGCACCTCAGACCTGCAGGACCGGGGGAACGACTGGCGGCTGGATTCTTTTTTCACCTGGCAGGCAAACTGCGGAACTGCTGAACTGCTGCGGCTGTCAGTGATCTCCCGGCATACCAACCGCGCCCAGCAAACGTCCAGCGGTGGTGCGCAGAAGCTTGCGATGGTTGAATTGTTCTCCAACGTTACCCTGAATTTCCGATCGGCAGTCCCTACACGTAACGCGCCTCGGCGTTTCAACTACCCTAGAGTTGCGGCTCGCCGGCCGAAGACAATGCTCACTACATCCTCATGAGAACCGTCTAGACTGGAGCAATGGCTGGCATCGATAATCAATCCGAGGATGGCGGTACGGGCATGCGAAGACGGCACTCCTCGCAATACGACGAAGACGGAGTAACAACCGAAGGGCAGGATAGCGGGTCGGTTTCGCCCTACACTGTCGACGATGGCAGACGAATACCGGCAGGCAACCATGACGAGAGTACGGCATCCACTTCGACAAGCGTAGATGCAGCTACGACGTTCTCGCCCCAACCTGGCTCCAATGGTGGCCAACTGCCGCGCGTCAGGTTCTCTACGGACGTCGAGAGAATCCCAGCTTCCAGTACCGGCACAGACAATCTAGGTCTAGATGGCTCAGACGAAAGGGCGGCACCTGGTCGTGGATCTCTCTCCCAGAGACGAGCAAGCCCACCGGGTCTCTCTATAGACACAAGCGGAAGCAGTGCGACTGCAGGATCGTCAAGCCTTCCCGGACAGGGCCCGGTGCTGTCACCTTTAAGCCCCAGGTCCCTCAACACTGCTGGGAACAGATCGGGAATGTCGCCCATGTCGCCTTCGAGCCGGTCTCGAGGGTACTCTCTGCGCAGCTCGCTCTTCCGGAAGCACATTAGAGACAGCTCGCCAGGGGATGGGTCGGTCATTGAACTCCAGGAAGCTGGCTCATCGAATAGCTCTGCGCCATCGCGCCCTGCCTCCAGTAGGGGGCAGTCCAAGAAACACCCAAGCGCAACCGTCACGATAGCGCCCGCGTTCGATGACCATTCAGATCTATCCAACCGCTCGGAGAAGAAAACCAGAGGCGTACAGGGCATATCTGCGTTACCAAACTATCACTCCAGGATACAGAAGCGAGCACGCGGAAGTGGCTTGACGCAGAAGATCAAAGCAGCATACCAGCAGGTGCGGAAAACGGTACTCCGCCTCCACGACACACCGCCAAGCAAGGATGGCAGACACATCGACTTGGACGCCACCAGAAAGAGTGCCCTTACAGACGAAAGGACGGGCAAATCGTACATTGGGAACAGCATTCGCTCCAGTCGGTACACAGCGTGGAACTTTCTGCCCCGGCAGCTGTTCGCTCAGTTCTCCAAGCTCGCCAACTTCTATTTCCTTTGCGTATCTATTCTGCAGATGATACCCGGTCTCAGTACCACAGGAACATTTACCACCATTGTCCCTCTCCTGTTCTTCGTAAGCATATCGATGGGGAAGGAAGGATACGACGACCTTCGGAGGTACAGATTGGACAAGGAGGAAAACAATCGGAATGCCTCCGTCATGCAAGCTTACCAGCCGACGAAGACTGCTGCATTGGACGTAGAGCGGTCTCCCTCGACTTCGCTTGGGCCGATCCAGTGGGCATCGAAAAAATGGAGAAACCTCCAAGTTGGAGATGTGGTGAAGCTGGAGCGCAATGAAGCTGCACCGGCGGATTTACTAATCCTCTACGCTAACGGCGCCAACGGAATAGCGTATGTCGAGACAATGGCTCTAGACGGTGAAACGAACCTCAAGAGCAAGCAGACCACACCCTCTCTGGCGCGGATCTGCAAGGATGAGGAGTCTGTCGCCGCTTGTAGAGCACACTTTGTAGTGGAGGACCCTAACTTGGACCTCTACAGTTTTGAGGGCAAGGTAACGGTCGATGGCGAAACGTCTCCACTCACGAACACGGAGATCATCTACCGCGGAAGTGTACTCAGAAACACACCAGAAGCTATCGGCATGGTCATCTACACCGGCGAAGAATGCAAGATCCGCATGAACGCGAACAAGAACCCCCGCATCAAAGCGCCCAGACTGCAAAGCATCGTCAACAAGATTGTCATTCTCATCGTCCTCTTCGTGCTCGCTCTCGCCACGTTCAATACCGTGGCGTACCAGTTCTGGTCACGCAGGGTCGAGGACGAAGCTTGGTATCTCACCGAGGCTCAGGTCGCAGTCTTCCCAATCCTGGCGTCGTTCATCATCATGTTTAACACTATGATCCCGCTGTCGCTCTACGTCAGCTTGGAAATTGTCAAGGTTTGCCAGATGTTCTTGCTCAACGATATTGATATGTATGATCCGGTTTCCGATACGCCGTTTGAAGCCCGGACTTCGACTATCAACGAGGAACTGGGCCAAGTCAGGTAGGGCGCTTCGTATATTCGTACGAGTCAAAGCTAAAACTGCTCGCAGCTACATCTTCTCGGACAAGACGGGCACGCTCACGGACAACTCCATGAAGTTTCGCAAGATGAGCGTTGCGGGAACAGCCTGGCTGCACGATGTTGACCTTAGCAAGCCGAACGATAGCAAACTACTCCGACATGACAGGAAGAGGAACAAAGGCAAGAAGCCTGTGAGGAAGAGTCGCCTCTCAGAATCATTCACCATGAAGCCTGCTGGCTATGACGAGATGCCAGACCACGAAACGATCGAGCCGCCAAGTGTCACTACCGGTCCAGATGCTGAGACGGCATGGAAATCATCAGCAAGACCCGAGAAATCACAGCCAGAGCTCCGCACCCGGGAGATGATCCGCTACATCCAGCGCAAGCCTTACACACTCTTTGCTCGAAAGGCGCGGCTGTTCCTGCTCTCTATGGCGCTCTGCCACACGTGTCTCCCTGAAGTTCAAGAGAACGGCGAGATCGACTTCCAAGCCTCTTCGCCTGACGAACTCGCACTCGTGCGTGCCGCCCAAGAGCTCGGCTATCTCGTCGTCAACCGCGAGGTCAACACGCTCACTCTTCGCACCTTCCCCAACGGCACAGACGCCGAGCCCCTCAGCGAGGTTTACACGGTCCTGGACGTCATCGAGTTCTCCAGCAAGCGCAAGCGCATGTCTGTGCTGGTCCGCTTCCCGGACCAGCGCGTGGCTATATTCTGCAAAGGCGCCGACTCCGTGGTCATGCAACGACTGAAGCTCGCGACGCTGGCGAACCAGAAGGTCATCGAGATAGAGGCAAGAGCGAGCAAGAGGAAGAGCTTGGAGGCGCAGGTGGCGATACGACGCAAGAGCGAGCAATTTGAGCGGAGGAGCAGTGTGAATCGGCTGAGTGCATCCATTGGCCGACCGAGCATCGGCGCGCTGGGCCGGTCGAGCTTAACGGGGCAGAGACTGCAGCCTATCCGGGATGAACTGGATGGGTGGCTTCGTGAGAGGGAAAACGACGTGGATGTTTCTTCGGCGGAGGGCGACAGCGTGTACTACTCGCCTCGGCCCTCCGCTCAGCTGGGGCGGAACTCGCTTGCGGGGTCGAGCGCACGAAGCTCGATGCAGCTCGACGAGGAAGAGGATCTGGTAGACGAAGCGTTGGTTGTTGACGAGCCGACGGTAATCGAGCGGTGCTTTCAGCACATCAACGACTTCGCGACCGAGGGACTCCGCACGCTGCTGTACGGGTACCGCTTCCTTGACGAACAGGAGTACCAGGGCTGGAAAAAAATCTACCTAGAAGCCACCACTAGCCTGGTTGACCGGCAAATCATGATCGAGAAGGCGGGCGAGCTGATCGAACAGGAGCTCGAATTAGCGGGCGCCACCGCCATCGAAGACAAGCTGCAGCGAGGCGTCCCGCAAGCGATCGACAAGCTGAGAAGAGCCAACATCAAGATGTGGATGTTAACAGGCGACAAGCGGGAGACGGCCATCAACATCGGCCACTCCTGCCGCCTAATCAAAGACTACTCCTCCGTCACAGTCCTCGACCACGAGGCGGGCGACGTCGCGCAACACATCGGCGCCTCCCTCCTCAGCATCAACACCGGCGAAGTCGCGCACTCCGTCATCGTGATAGATGGCCAGACCCTCGCCATGATCGACGCCGACAAATCGATCCAGGCGCTCTTCCTCGAGCTCGCCATCGTCGCCGACGCAGTCGTCTGCTGCCGCGCCTCGCCCAGCCAAAAAGCCAGTCTCGTCAAAGCCATCCGCAAAAAAGTGAAAAACTCAATTACTCTCGCGATTGGGGATGGCGCAAACGACATCGCCATGATCCAGGAAGCGCACGTGGGGATCGGCATTACAGGCAAAGAAGGGCTACAAGCGGCGCGCACCTCGGACTACTCGATCGCGCAGTTCCGCTTCCTGACGAAGCTGCTGCTCGTGCATGGAAGATGGAACTACATCCGCACGTGCAAGTACACGGTTGGCACGTTCTGGAAGGAAATGCTATTCTACCTCACTCAGGCGATGTACCAGCGCTGGGCGGGCTACACGGGAACAAGTCTGTACGAGCCGTGGAGTCTGAGCATGTTTAATACGCTGTTTACCTCGCTGCCTGTCATCTTCCTTGGTATCTTCGAGAAGGACCTTGCTGCCGCCACGCTGTTGGCTGTGCCTGAGCTCTACACGAAGGGCCAGCGCAACGCCGGGTTCAACTTCAAGATCTACCTCGGCTGGATGTTCACCGCGGCGTCGGAGTCCATGATCGTGTTCTTCGTCATGCTCGGGCTGTATGGCGGCGCGCTGTTCACGCTGGACAACGGGCTCTTCGCCATGGGCGCCCTGACATACTCTGCCGCCGTCATCATGATCAGCGTCAAGCTCCAGGGGCTCGAGATGCACGACAAATCCATCATGGCGGGCATCAGCTTCTTCTGCTCCGTCGGCGGGTGGTTCTTGTGGAACATCATCCTCAGCGAGACGTACCACAACAACGTCATCTACAACGTCAACGACGGCTTCGTGGACCGCTTCGGCAGGAACCTGCTCTGGTGGCTCGCACTAGTGCTCATTCTGATCAGCTGCGTGGCGTTTGAGATTGCGGTTGCGAGCGCCAGGGCGGCGTGGTGGACGACGGATGTGGATGTTTTTAGGGAGTTGGAGAGGGATCCCGGGACGAGGAGGAGGTTCGAGGAGGCTGCGAGGTTGGAGTTAGAGGGGAGGATGGGTGGGGCTGGTGCGCATGGGGTTGGGAAGCGCAGTGGGGAGGGGAAGAGACTGAGTAAGGAGGAGCAGGAGAAGAGGGAGGGGGAGGTCAGGGAGATGCTGAGGAGTAGGCTAGGAGAGCCGGAGGAGGGGAAGGGAGGGGATGGATTTTTGGAGAGGCCGAATGTGGAGGCTGGGGAGATGTGGGAAAGGGGCTTTGGAAGCGTGAGGAACGGGAGTGTGCGGTGACGCTATATGAATTGTGAAGATGTTATGTATCACTGCATCAGAGGTGTTCGGCAAGAAACACGATGTGAGGACGGGAGAGTGCTATACGACTCAAACTTTAATCCGAAAAACTCTATATACAACAACTTTGTATACAATATGAGGACGACATGCTTGAAGACACACGACCTGATTTCCGCCCGGCTGTACCTCGGTCAGTTCGATGACATCTGCCACCTTTTGCCTGATGCCCATCTGGATTCTAATCGGCTGCTGGTGATAGGTGGGTGCGAATGCCTCAGTCACATGTTGTCCGTGAGCGGCTCCGGAGCTCCATTCTTGTTTCAGAAACAGCAATTGATGTGTTTTCTCCCTTTATCTTGCCTTTCTTACGATGTTACTTTTTTCCCACATTCCGAGATCCTCTCCGGTTCGCAGCCGGTGGGAACTCCGACGAAAAGCCAATGATGGGAAAGGCTTGGAAAAAACAACGGCGAGGCCTGGTCGCGTGCCCGCCCTGTGAGAGCTCTCGGAAGGGGAGCTCTTTACTCGATCTCATCGAGTCACACGGGCTATCACCACCAGCCTATCACCGTTGACGCACCCTACTTGTTGCTTGATAGGCCTCCTCACGGAGGGACGCGAGATAAGGGACTCTGCAGCTTCTAGCGCGTCGTCTCTTTCCGCTGCCGCGCCCGGAGGACCCCAGAACCCCCAAAGTCAACGGCTATCAACCATTGTATCGCCCATCGTATGGTTCCGACGGAGAAAAAATTGAGCTGTAGCTCTGCGGGTCTAGAGTAGCTATGGGCCGTAAATCCTCTATCTGCAGGCGCCTGAGCTGGATAGCGCGCCTCACACCGCAAGTACAAATGGCACAGCTACCCCTCCTGACCATGCCGTCGAGCTGCAAGGACGTCTTGGTCGTATCCCAAGCAGATCACCCTGCGCGGCACCTCTTCCGTCGTCGCAGAGATACGAAAGATCTGGTCAGGAGGACAGCCAATCTTTGACCTCGCCTGCAACCCTATCAGCCTCCCTCCACACCCCAGCTGAGCCACCGTCATACCGCATCTGAGACACTCAGATTTTCTCTTTAGAGGACTTTGCAGAGACTCTTCTTTTCTTAGTTTGTTAGATCAGAATCTCCGTAGTCATTGAGCTTCCGTCGCAATGGAGAAAGTCAAGAGTTCTAAGCTCGCTCATTGGACGGATAAGCTTGCCGTGTCGAGCGAGCCCGGCTTGAGCAATACACAGCTCTTGCTCACGAACCACGACTTGAAACCTGTCGAGCCTGAGCGTCGACAATGGGGGCCCTGGAACTTCGTCGGATTCTGGGTTGGTGAGTGACATACCTGACTCTCATCTCAAGTCCTCATCGAATGGGCTGGTAAATATGCCTTCCTCCTTCAGCAGCTAACTATGAGTTACAGCTGATTCTTTCAACATCAACACTTGGATGATCGCGTCTTCCTCGCTTGTTGTCGGACTCTCGTGGTGGCAGGCCTGGATTTGCGTCTGGGTTGGCTACGCTATCGCGGCTTGCTTCATATGCATGACTGGTAGAATAGGTAAGCGGACCCATTCCGCAGGGCGGATCTGCCGCTATATTGCTACCTCCTGCTGATACTCTCTAGGTGCCCAGTACCACATCAGTTTCCCAGTCGTTGCCCGATCTTCCTTCGGCATATGGGGCGCGCTATGGCCTGTCTTCAATCGAGCCGCAATGGCATGCATCTGGTACGGTGTGCAGGCTTGGATTGGAGGTACTTGCGTCGGTCTCATGATCCGGTCTATCTGGTTAAGCTGGGTAAGTTGGTGCGAGATTGAATTTCCAGCTGCAAGTACTAATACTTCTCCAGGCCAATGTCCCCGATGGCATGCACAGCAGCGACCCAGAGCTGTTCAACACCAGGACGTTCGTGGGCTTCTTCCTGTTCTGGGTCGGCTCTTTACCGTTCATATATCCACCAGTCCACAAGATCAGGCATCTGTTCACCGTCAAGGCCTACGTCGTCCCAACCGCCGGCATCGCTTTCTTCATCTGGGCCATCGTTAGAGCAAAGGGTATCGGTCCAATCGTGCACCAGCCCAACACCATTCATGGATCCGAGCTCGCATGGGAGATGGTCAAGGGCATAATGAGCTCCATCGCCAACTTCGCGACGCTGATCGTCAACGTAGGTTGCCGTATCTTTCAAAGCAGCAATTTCAACCAAGTACTGATCTTCTTGTTTCAACAGGATCCCGATTTCTCTCGTTTCGCCAAGAAGCCTAAAGACGCACTCTGGTCCCAGTTGTTCACCATTCCCATCGGATTCGCTCTGACCTCGTTCATTGGTATTATTGTCTCCTCGTCGTCGGTGGTCATCTTCGGCACTGCGATCTGGAACCCCTTGGACCTTCTGGAGCAGTTCCTGAACGAGCCAGGCGTCAGTGGCGGTGCGCGGTTTGGCGTCTTCATCATCTCTGCTGCCTTTGTTCTCGCTCAGCTGGGCACCAATATTGCCGCCAACTCCGTCTCGGCCGGTACGGACTTGACTGCCCTACTTCCCCGATACATCAACATCCGCCGCGGCGGCTATATCTGCGCCCTCATCGGTCTAGTCATGTGCCCATGGTAAGTCTCAGTCCCCTTCCAACCCCTTTACCGAGCACAGTTAACAACAACCGAAAGGAACCTCTTCAAGTCGTCCAACCAGTTCACGACGTACCTCTCCGCCTACTCCGTCTTCCTCTCCTCAATCGCCGGCGTGATCATCTGCGACTACTACCTCGTCCGCAAAGGCTATCTTGAGATCAAGGAGCTCTACTCCGGCCGCAAGACCGACGCCTACTACTTCACCTTCGGCTTCCACTTGCGGGGCTACATCTCCTACATCCTCGGAATCGTCATCAACGTCGTTGGCTTCGTGGGCGCCATCGGCGTCGACGTCCCTATCGGCGCGACGTACATCTACAACGTCAACTTCTTTGCGGGATTTATAGTCGCCAGCGGGTCGTACTATCTGCTATGCAGGTTCTTCCCGGTCCCGGCGTGCAGTGATACGTGGTTGGAGGTCGGGGATGAGATTAGGAACGTGTCGGTCGTTTATGATAATACGAGTGACGAGGAACATAATGCGGGTGCTAAGGCTGCCGAGGCGGCGTCGATGAGCAGGGCTTTCTAGTGGAGCTGTGTGAGTTATTATGAGAGGGTAGGGTTTGGACAAAAAGGGGATCTGAGGCGGGTTAGTCCTTTTCGGTATGGCGGGGTACGTTGCCACGAGTTTCATGATACCATGTTCGCGTTGTCGTCAGAGGTGGGGAGGGTAGGTTCGTAGAGTGTATAGATATTGCAATGCAGCACGCGTAGTTGGCTTGAATCTGCATTTCAATATAGACTTTTACTGTGAGGAAGATCAAACGGTCGCTTGAGCCAATTATGTAAATTCTCATTAAAAGACTGATGGTTTCCCGGTCTCTTTCCTCGTGGTCTCAGGACTTCTGAAGCCCCGACGCTCGATGTTCAGCTTCACGCAACCCAAAGTCAACCGAATTAATGCCATGTTCTCCTGCTTTTCCGCCGCCTTGGAAGCCGTTTACGGGCCTACTTCTAGCTCTTAGCTGGACCTTGCATTGCCGCCCACTTGCCGCACCCCCTCCGCCAAGACTGTGGGGAAAGCGGGAGTCCAGGGGCACTTAAAACGCTCCGACGTCATCGGCGTTTACTAGAGTAAACATACAAGATCACATCCCTCACTGTGCAGCTGCATCCTGGAGCACATTTGGTGGGGAAAAGGTAGGACGGGGGTTTTAGCTTCCTCGTAGCATAGACATGGCGGGGCCATTGACGTCGTCCCGCTTCCCATGGTTTGAGTGGAGGTGATATAGAAGTCTTGAGTAGTAATTCTTTCCCCTCCATTTGTTACTGTCCAAACCGTCTCGAGCTTCATAGTCCATCGTTGTGGTATTATCAATCGGCCTCCATCATGGCCAGCGTGACAACCGTAAACCTCCTAGCCCTCGCGACCTCCCTCCCCTACGCGAACTACCTCTCTACCCTCTCCACCAACACCACGACACCCACCTTCTCCTTCCTGGCCTACAACTCTACGTTCAGCACCTCTATCCTCGCTCCCAATGCTACAGCACGCTTGCTCCACTCCTTCCCTGACTGGGAGCCCTTCCACGAAGCCGGGGTCTACGATCGGGGCACTAACTCCATGTACATAACCTCAAACTACAACATCCCATCCGGCCTCTCGAATCCCATTAACATGACGATCGTGAGCCTGGACGACTACAGCATCCGCTCAACGCGGTACCCCGGTATCCACGAGCCAAACGGAGGGACATCGTACTACCCCCCTGGCAGCAACCCCAACACGACGGACCCACTGCTCCTCTTCTGCGATGAGGGCGACTTCGTTCACGCCTCCGCCCTCACAACCCTCGATCCCTCCACAAACACCACAACCGTAATCCTAAACAACTACCTCGGCCGCAACTTCTCTTCCGTCAACGACGTGCGCCAGCACCCCGAGACCGGGGACCTGTGGTTCACAGACGCCGACTACGGCTACTTCCAGTATTTTCGGCCGGCGCCCACGATCCCCAAGCACGTATACCGGTTCTCTCCCTCGACGGGCGAGATCCAGGTCGTCGCCGACGGCTTCGTGCAGCCCAACGGGCTGGAGTTCAGTCCGGACTTCCAGACCTTCTATGTCAGTGACACGGGGGCTGTGGGGTTTGAGCGGAACTTCACGCGGCCGGCGACGGTGTATGCGTTCGATGTTGTTGACCAGAAGGTCTTGAGGAATAGGCGCGTCTTTGCTTATCCAGATAGTGGATTCCCGGATGGTGTACACACGGATACGGCGGGGAATGTGTGGGCGGGTGTTGGGGACGGCGTGCATATCTGGAATGCGGAGGGGACGCTGCTGGGAAAGTTGCATATCGGCAAAACATCGAATAATTTCGCGTTTATCCCGGGAGGCGTGCTGGTTTTCTCCAATGACGATTTGTGGCTTGTGGAAGGGTTGGCTGTTAATGGGCGGGAGGTATGTTTGGATTTTGGGGTGTGTGATTGAATGTGAAGGGAGGTGTGGTTATCGAGAGGCCTGGGGGAGCTTTGGAAGCACTGTGGGGCCGCAAAGGAGTGACGCTTGTAACGCCAGATGTAAACTCTTAGTTCGTGGTGTCTGAACAGTATGCTACGTTGGAGATCTAATACGAATCAGCTTCCACATGCATCATCTCACGTCGAAAACGTAACGTACATGTAACATCCTTCATACAAGCAAGTAGCAGCCCCAGAGAGGATTCAAGGCCCAACAATCAGCTCATCGTTCCTTCCACCTCCCAAACCGATTCCACTCCCCATAGAGCCCCCTCCAAACCGCCCTCCCCGGCCCATCCATCCCCGCACTCATTGCCCTCATCCCCTCCAACCCCACAACATCCATAGCCACCCACAGCCCCGGCTGCAGTCTCTCCCTCACACCCTCCGCCACCTTCCCCCTAAGCTGGAGGCTGCAATACTGCATCAACACAAGCGGAATATACTGCCCCACATATTCCCTCGCCTTCTTCGTTTCGTCCGTCAGGGCGGCATCGTCGTGCTTCCGCTTGCGCGAGACGGAGGAGACGGTCGGGGAGCAGAGCGTTGTAAGGAGGCGGGCGTAGGCCGTTGCGTGCTTTTGACCTAGGAGGGGCTTACGAGAATCGAGCCAGGGTGGTAGAGGGAGAGCGGTGCTGTGGCGGCTTTCGGGGATGTAGAGGCAGCTTAGGAGGGCTTGAAGGAGGGGCATGAGGATGTGGAAGCGGCCGCCGAGCTTTGTGCGGCGGATCGAGATGAGTGAGTGGGTGATTGAGCAGAGGCGGAGATAGATAGCACTCGCGTGTTCGGTGGGGAGAATGGGAGCGGAGAGAGAGGAGAGGACTGTGAGGGACGCGAGAAGGGTGTCGACGGCGTATTGTGTGATTGGCCAATGCTACAACTAGTTAGTGTCAATCAGGAAAAGACACTTGAGCCAACATACCTTCTCTTGTAGGACAGTCATGATGCATTCTGCCAACAGGTGGAAGCGGCGGATATCCGGGACCCTTGGGAGAAGGGCGCAAAGGGAGGTGAAGAGAGAGCAATCTGTTGGTGAAGGCGTTGCTCCCGGGCTTTGCTCGGCATCCTCGGATGACTTTGAAGAGATGCGTCTGGACAGTCGGATGATGGAATGGATCAACTCCAGAGATTCTGGCGAGGGTATCTGCCCGTCGTCGCGGTCGTGGAGCAGATTGACAACAACTCTCTGATGTTCAACGGGGATTTCTTGCAACGCGTCCTGGAAGTTTCGTACAACTTTGCGATAGTCCCGAGCGGACAAATCTGATCGCGTTAGTTCTCTGGGCTGTCAAGCTACGTCCGTGGACCATACCCCTGCGTAGAACGCTGCGCGACAAACCAACGTACGCTTCCAGATGATCCTGCAGGTGTCTCTTTCCGGCCAGCTGATGTATCAAAACCCACGCCGAATCCTCCAAGTCAAGCTTGGGTGTCTCTGTAGAGGGCGACATTACGATCTTTGCGTACTTATTCCATGCAGTCTCCAGAGGACTGAGAGGGTCTGTGCATGTTCAGCGTTGCGTTCATTAGGGATTGAGGTGTCCACGTACCATGCTGATCGTCAGTGACGCGTGGCAGTTCAATAACAGCACCCACAAGGGCCTTAAACTCATGGCCGACGAACAGCTCTTCATTCTCGGGCATATGGTCCTGTTCACTAAGCCCAGCCTGTAACGCAGACAAATACTTTCCAGTCCCGTTGTGTTCGGAAGACGGTACGTTGTCGTTAACCAATAGCGGGACCGCCTGCCGCAACAGCATAGCTATGCCAGGGTGTCCGGTAGGAAAGCCTTCATCGTGGATGTAGCTAAGCAAGCTGGTGCGTAGACCGTCAATATACTGCTTGCTTCGTTCCTGTTCCTTGGTGGCCAAAACATGCTGCAGAGTCTGCTGTACAAGTGCTCCAAGTAGCTCGACTAGTGTCGGCTCTTCCGCAACGTCTTCGTTGTTGAGAGTGCTCGCTAGGACTACCAGCTCTTTCGAATCAACACACAGCTTGGCTGTGGCATTTGGGACCTCCATTAGCTTCAACATGACGCTGAAGTGATTCGCAAGCTCGGTCGGTTTGCGCTTGCCCCTTGCACGCTTAGCGATTTCCAGAGCCTTGTCCAGCACAGCTTCTCTGTATTTGCGACCCATAGCAGCAAGCGGGATCCGATGAAAGCACCGCTCGGAGAAACCGACGACATCCCAGCGCAGGCTTTCGTCTTCATCTGAGAGATCCTTAGCTGAGCCCCCCTCCACGAGAACCTGAAATAGGTCATCTGTATACAATTAGCTTCATCCAGTTTCGCGAACCGGTTGACATACCTCTAACAGCCGATGGGGCGTTGGTACAGACGGAGTCAATCACAGCATCGAATGCGGAAGGCGGCGCCCCGTAAGTCTGGACTTGCTTTGCAATGAAAGGCGACGAATGCTCCTCCAGCGCACACCAATACACCAGATCGAAGAAATCACGACGCGGCTCTGATTCAAGGAATCTGTAGGTGATAAGCACTAATGCAAAACAGCGCTAGGGCGTATGCTTACTGAAATACGTCAGGAAAGCGGACGAACTGGGACGCGAAACTCAGTACTAAAGCCGCATGCTTTACAAAGTCCTTTGCTTCATCTGAAGCAGTATCCTTGATCGCATTATAGAAGGGACGTCCAATTGGCCCGTATTGAGGTTCAAAAAGGGTCTGAATTGCGGCATTCAGCGCTTCGGTCGCTTTTACTCGTAAGTCAGAGCCTGACGCAAAGCTGTGGACCATGATGACGAGGAACGAAAAGGCGTCAACGCGCATACTGTGGTGGTAAAGTTCCAGACTATCAAAGCGTTCCGGTGATATCGGATTCTCAAGGCATTCAAACGCTGCGTTTACCAGTGGAAGGCGTCCTTGGGCGTGCCACGCGATCTCACATTGCGCTTCGAGAGCGGAGTCGTCAACAAAAGGAAGCAGAAGCTCATGTAAACGACCCAAGATACGCCATGTGCTTGGCAGAAGCTCGCAGCATTTGATCGTTGCGTCCGCAGCAAGTTTGCTCAAATCATTGAACAGACTCTGAAGTTGAGGAACAAGTTCCTCAAGCAGTGAGTCTGATTGAAGCGCACCTAGCATGGCATCGAGGACAACGTGGCTGGCCGCCGCGCTCGCCCAAAGGTGCCGCTCACCCGAAGGGAGGCAATCCAGCAAATGCTTCCGTCGAGGGCCCCCGGAAAACAAGTTAGAGGATGAAGAGATGCTAGGCTCTCCATCGTCTAGCATCGCTATCTTATCGTTCTCTTCGATCGACTCACGGAGCTCGTGGAGGGGGGACCCATAGCTCGTCAGCTCCTCTGCAATTTGCCTGCCAGTGAGCGAAGCCTCAAGTAGCGGTCGCAGGGCTTTGATGAGCTCTGAATCTTCCCAGATCACCGGCCGTCGGCCTGGAATCGGTGGGCGATCGGAGACATTTTGCTCTTCTACATCCGTCAACCATACAGACAATCGGTGTTCTAGCTGCGCTTGCCATACTGTCAGAAAACCGACAAGGTTCCTGTTGCGAGCGTATGCCTGCATGAGTGGTATGAGAATGGATTTAATAACGATCCTCCATGGTGTTTCCTGGGGGTTCTGATATACGTCACTCGGAAGGTCCATTCTCGACACGGCATCCGCTAAACCAGTCGTGACTGTGGGGATTGATATCTCATCGCGATCAGTTTTGCTAGGCTTGCGCCTATTGATGAAGATGTCTGGATCAAGGGCAGTAACTTTAGCGATCAGACTCCACCGGACGTCCCGAGTAACATCACTGGCATGGAGGTTTCCAGAGTGTCCGTCTATTACAATCTTGAGAACATTCTCATCAAGAGACATCCTCCTTCTGATGATGACGTCTAGAAGGCTTTCCAGAGTCCGAGCTTGCATTTGCGCGAGAAGAGAGTTAGGAGCTCCGGGCTTGGTCGCACATGTACAATCCATGAGCACTGTGAACACATGGTTTATCCAAGGTGCCTCAGTATGTTTTCGCTTGATAGTCAGGTTGGGAGAACATCGAATGGCTACATCGAATAGCAGCGGCATAGCGCCGAAGGCGATCTCTGTCTTCTGCAGACTCTCCTCTGCGGTAGAGTGGTCATTCGGGGCGCTAGCTACTATGTAAGACTTGATTGGCTGTAGTCGCTCGCGCAGGGTGTCGTTGGGAGCCGTCTGCCGTGCAGTTTGTGCAGTTGACGTCCTGTCTTGGGGGGCCGCAAAGTACGCTGTACGGGACGGGATAAACAGATGCCTTGCCAGCAGCTGCTCAAGCTGACGGATCGATTCTTCTTCGTCCTTAATTAGAGCTCGTTGGCTGTTGGTCCCTTTGGAGCCGTGCATAACAACGGAGAGTAGCTGAGTGACGGGTACAAGGCATTCTGACGAGAAGACTGCGGCAGAAATCTCAGACTCATCGTCAAGATCGAGTGACCTCATGTACCATATGCGTATAACAGAGGATAAATACTGTGCACGTCCCTTCCAGCCCTCTAATGGATTCTGGGCTTGTGCGAAGCTCCGGATCATATTGCATAGCGCAACAATCCATAGTTTGAGTATGAGCGCTGCTTGCGCGGTGTCGGTCCGTAAGACTGCCCTCATGTGCGCGGATGCGACTGTCCCATTGTCATCCTGGCTTGATGGAGAAGACTGCTCATGGATAGCTTCGACAACGGCCGCAATGCACTTAAACAGTTCCGTGACGGACTTCATAGTACGTGTAGTTGACTTCGTAGTAACAGGCTCCTTAGGCGATCCGTTGTGCCGCTTTCGCTTCTTGGACGGACGAGGCTGCTCTTCCAGAGTAGCACTCGATCCCGATGTGCTTTCACGTCTGGTAGATGCTGGTGCATCTTGATCGACCGAGTCAGTGATCCATCCGCCTCTGGCGTCCTCGGCAAAATTCTCCAGCAGAGCTCTCTCCAATACCAAAAGAAACTGGGATCCGTTGAGCAGTTTGGCCGCATTCGACGTGGGAAGTGTATATAGAAGCCCTGATAAAAGTTTCCATGCTCTTGCGCTCGCCCTCGCTGTGCGGCCCACCTCGTCCTTTGCCTTTAGTTTTTCAAGCAACCAGCGGAGCACCCATTCCGACCTGCTATGGAAGCGCTGTTTACTGAGAGCAGGACGAGTGTTTTCATCTGCTCCTGCAAGAAGCTCTTCGAGCCCAACTATCTGGGCGGCTTGGGATAATTGCTCGTCGAAGCTGGCAAAGTCCTGTTCGAGGGAGAGCAATTTCTGCAGTGATGGAGTAGCGACGGGCTTCTGCTGAATCGTTAGTAACTGAGAGGGTAGTTAGAAACAGAGAACTGGAACTGGCCTGCGTGTCGGCCGCCATATCGTCTGGTACTTCCGCTCATTGTCCGCTTGGGCGCAAAGCTCTAAACCGACACCAGATGAAGCTGCTCGGAACTTTTTTTGAGCTTGGGCCACAGCGAACGCCAAGCTTCAACGTCAAACTCGGGATGCGCCGCAGAACAACAGGGCAGCCGAACTGTCAACCAGCATCCTTCCTCACGCGAACACCTCAACAGCACCTCCGCTTGAGCTTCCGAAGGCCAATTCCACCTACCCGAAGCTTCCCAATAGCCATCATGGCCGAACGCACATCCACACCACCCTCCCCCGTCACGCGGACGAACCGGCCCATGAGCGAGGCGCTGTTGAACGAGAAGGTGCGTATCCTAAGCCAACGCTTGCCACAGCAGTCATGGGAGCTTCCAGACGCCTCCACAGATGCAATTGAGAGCCATGCGAGCTCTCGTGGAGCTCCTCGTCTCATTAGTATCTCTGGATTCCGCTATCAAGCTCAGCGCTAATACCGGTTTATTCCTAGTGGGACCGCTGCCTCTCCTCCATGCTCATTCGCTCCGGCCTCGGTCTCTCCTTCGGCGTCGTCTTCTCCGTTCTGCTCTTCAAAAGGCGCGCATGGCCCGTATGGCTTGGGACGGGTTTTGGCGCTGGGCGAGCTTGGGAAGAGTGTGATAACGTAAGGACACCCCTTGCAGGCTTGAGGCGCTTTGGATAGGCGGAGATAAAGGCACGTAATAAGAGCTGACGTCGTCGTGATAGTCGTTCAAGCATGCGGCCGCTCCAACAAAGGATGGTTTGAGGGTGCTGAGGCCGTGAAGCGTCACGTACAGGGAGGGGGGGCAGTAAACATTAACGGCACAGGCATGGACAGGTGGAGCTAGGATAAGATACCTATCATAGCAGTTGTCAGCGCGTTGTACAATACTCAAAAGATCAGACAACGGCAATGGAGGTTGTACATATTGCTAACGAAGCTTGGATATCCACATGAACGCCCTCAATGAGCAGCTAACAACGCAATATCAGCTAACAACGCAATAAGTAATGAGTAGCTTCGTCCATGTGGTCCAATCTCGTCTATCACATTGCCTTATATAGGTAACCCCGTTTCCTTAAAGTTCCAAGCTTTGTGGTATGTAACATCAGAGAACGAGTTCATGGACCCAGCAGTCATCTCATACTTGCGTCCCCCGCTTCCTCGGCGAAGCGGTAAAGTCTCTGCGGTACGGAACGTAAGGCTACGGATCCGTCGAACCCCAACCGCAATTCTAACCGTACCTCGCGCTTGGCCCGAACACAATGATGACGCTATACATCCAAAGTCGGCAGACAAAATCTGCAGCGGTTCTGCTCTGTCCTAGAACACGTGTCCCGATATGAGAAGCGAAACATAGTGGCGTTGTAGCGGAGACCCACATGCGAAGATGGCTGAAACCAGATCCCAACCGCACAAGGGAAACATGATGGTAGGACTCAGTCTTTGAGACGCTGGTGGTGCGGCGGCGACTGAGTTGGACGGGGTCCGCGGACGTGTAGGCCCCCACAATGACATGTTCGTCTCGCGGTCCAAGGCGTTTCCAGTCCAGCGGAGCATGAGAAAGAGCAATTGCACCCTTGGGGATCGCTATCGGGCCATGGAGACTGCCCGAAGAAAGGGCAGTAGAAGCTCTGCTATTAGGAGCTGGCTGGTCCGCTGGCAACGACGATGCGATAGAGAAATTCAGCGTTGTCGTGGTGGTGCTGGTGGTGCTGGTGGTGCTGGTCATTATCAGAATAGGTTGCTGCGACTGCGCGAGTGTAACCATTGAATCCTTTAATCATTACAAGGGAAAATTTGAGCATCTAGATTGATACATATTTCTCTCATCTTTTTTCACTGTCGATAGTATGGTTTGCAGCTCCCTGGTGCTGGAGTTCACTACTGTCATACTCTATGTGCAATTTCTGTCACCTTCTCCCCATTCCCAGTTCAAGACCCGACATATGTGCTGCCACCGACTGAGTAACAGCGGCGAGTTTCTTTCACACCGCAGTTCTAGCAGGTCTTCCAACCAGTATCGCCTATATTCAAAGATGTTTGGCACAACCCATCCAAATTCTGGTCTGACATCCAGCTGATCGCGAGCTAAAACTCGCAGTCCGAGACGGCATGGTCCTGCGTCGGAGCTGTGGATGTTGCTCTGCTATTAAATCATATATACTGCTTCTTGGTGATACTGCCGGCTGTAGAGGCTATGCCACCGAAACCAATGCTGCCCACGCTTCCCTGACGCAATAGCCAAGTCACAAACCGTATCCATGATACGTCTCTTCTGTTACGGCTTTTCTCTTGTCTTCTGTCTCCTCGCAGCCAAATGATACAAGGGTAATGGTTTTAAGGATACAGGAGAGAACGTCGCAATTAGCATTAAGGTCGTTATTGTCTAAATCTGCGTGGGAGAAGAGGTTACAACTTACCCCAGCGGACTGTTCCTTTGATGGCGGCCTCGGAGGCCACGCCACTGTCCCGATCGTGTCCCTTGAAGCTGTTGTTCCTACGGCGTCTGCGACCTTCAACGACCCGGACGATCGTTGCGGTTTTGGCGCTTCGGCTACATTGGCGCAAAATGCTAATAGCAGCAACTAACACCACCGGGAGTGCAATCAGGATCCAGACTTGAAAGCCTCGTCTTCTCTCTTTAAAGAACAGCAAACACTGAGAGAAGGACATGACTGACGGTGCCGGCACTGCCGGGCAGTAGTGCGGAACGTCTTGCAAGGGATTATCACGGCTCAGAAACGTCAGAGCTGGTCTGAACAAATCAATGATTTGCGGGCAAATGTGACAGGGTTGTAAACGAAGACGTCGTCCTGCCGTCTATGTATGGGCTCACAGAGTCGATCTGTCACGCGGACGAATGACAGATGGTACCGTGACGCGACGTTATTGATTTTCAGAGTGGCTACCCACCGTACAGGTGATTGCAAGCTTGCTTAGGTAGGATCGCCAGATTCCGAAACGCTGTTGACGGCCTCCAAGGCTCCAAGACGGCTCTGAATTGCCTCATGCTCAACGGTAGTGTCTCCATGGAAGGGATTGTCGGTGTATCTCAGATCTCCGTTGATAAAATGACCGTCATCGAGGCGGTAAGAGTCAGTCCGGCCGCTTCGTACCGTCCCAAAACTGATCGTGCTGCTGATATAACGTCCTTTTCATGCAGCCACCAGAAACCGTACCAAGAGCGAGCGGGCTGAGCGGCTACCATCCAGCTTTTAATGCAGAGATTAGCCGTTGGTCAACCGAGTCACATTACTCCTCGTCCAACGCCTTAACGCTGCGACCTCAAACGAGGGACTGCGTAACCACGGCGGGATCCGCACGAGATCTGACAGTAAGTGCAGCAAGTCGGGTCCTGGGAGCTGAAAAGGTAGTCTAGAGGGCCTTCTGCTCATCCATGATCTGGCGGCTCACGCCCTTCATAAGGCGATCTACTTTTTTGGTGAACGAAGATAGGAGTGGTTGCTTCAGCGGGGGGACAGAGGTGGCTTCCGCAGTCTTTTCAGTCCCAGTGGACAGAGTGCGCTCTAGCCATAGATCGTATGATTAAGTCCTGAGAAGTTCCAGGAAGCGCGCTCCTGACCTTGCGGTGTGAAGATCAGGAATCCTAATGAAACGGGCCGTGGGAGACTTCCGGAGGTTGTCGATTGTTCCTTCGGTGATCACAGGGTGGCGCCAATTCCTTTAGCGTACTTGTCACTGGTTTTGTCCTGAGCATGGTCGGGGCCTTTCTGTGTTGTTCTATGGTTTCTGCAAGCTGTGCAGACCATTATGCGGCGGAGTGAATGGCTAGCTGATTGAGTGGCATCGAGCTCATTCCGGTCAGTTGTCTCGCGAACCCCCGCCACTAGCAGCAGTTGTTACCCAGCATCTGGAGTAACAACTAGTCGGTGTGTTCTTCCGCGCCTGCTTGTGCTTGTGCCGTTGGATGCAGCTTTTGAGGTTTTGATCTGTGATCCGGGTCTCTCCGCCTGTCTCGTGCTCAAGGAGCTGAATAGCCAGCTCAAACGTGCATGTTTCGGCCAGTGAGCCCCACCAAAAAACAACGTTGTTGCCAAATGTATTTCCACACTCTCCACATCCCCTTCACCCCTAATACTCACCCCACGGGCGAACCCGCCCACCGCCACGCTCCCCTGCCGCACATTGCCAAGCCATCCCGCGACCTGGCCATCGTTCGTGGCATGCTGATACATGTTGGTACATACGCGCAAACGACCATACAAAAACTTCTGAGGAGGCGAGGAGGCTTTTGAGGATAAAGGGTCATAACTAACCTTGGTGATGCGGTTGACCGGGTCCAGCCGGGTGCCCCAAACACTGCGAGGACTTCAAAATAAAGAAGCTAGTTGGGCATTGAGGTCTTCATCGTTTGCTGGCATCTTCGGTTCGTAGCTTAGGTTAGAGATCTTCTTAATGGCCTCTTGAACCCAAGGTGACGGGATACCAGCTTCGGCTCCTTCTGCGCGGTGGGGGACGCGGAATTGTCCTGGATCTGCCGTTTCTTCGCTTGCTCAGACATAGTGGCGAAAGTATTAGAACGTTGTGATCGATAGCCCCGATAATGTGGAGTGGCGAGCCCCGTGGATGGAACCGAGATCGTGCACACTGATGACAGCGCTTGTGTGATGAGAGCGGACGATATTGAAAAGCTGCTGAGCGAACAGCCCGAGCAAACGGATGACGCGAAGGTAAGCAGCGAGTGGGCTAAGACAAAGAAGATTCTAGAATAGAAGTCACTAGAAACAATGACTGCTGATGTGCTTTCAGCTCACTAGACTGCAGCTACGTCGCTGGTAGAGAGCGGGGAGGGCCATGGTTGAGCCGCCGCAACATTGTCAGGAAGGTGGCGGAAAGGCGCCCGATGGATTCTTCATTATAGGCCATAGTGGCCTGGCGGCGCCGGGACTGAGGCGCGCGTTGCGGACACTGGTCGCGCATATAGCCGTACAGGCCGCAGACGTAGCATCGCCATGTTCTTACGAAGACATCTGTCATAGCACCTATCAGCGTCGCGCACAGTCCTCGTCGCAGGTCATAGGACAACTCGTAATGCGACCGCTTTCTGCATCGAGACCTATACCCCATATCCGATTGATTGTAACGGTATCGCCGGCTAACAAGGCGCCGAACCATTGCTACCGTAAAAATGCTTAGAACGTCTCCGTTGTCTGAGCGTGTAGCGGGCGGAACGTATATAAAGAGAAGGCCCGTAGGCAAGAGGGATCAACGCCGCGGTTCGCGAAAGAGAGAGAGGCGCCCGGTTAATAGGTCGTAGGCTTATGTGATTCGACGATGGGCTAGTAATAATAAGGGCACCACCCTCTAGGCGTTCGTTAACATTTGGTGTTAATCCTAAAAGTTGAATATTGCATCGTCATCTAGGTTATTTTTCTCCGGAAGATCCTCTTGCCCTTATGCGTTTGCTGTCTCCCGTTCTTCTTGTCCTTTTTTAAGCAGCTCTTAAGAATCGGTCTTCCGTTTCTTGGAGCGGGTTGTTGGTCCCTCTTCTGCTGGGTGTTTAGACGGCGTGGCTGGGGTCTAGGGATTAACTCTTAGAGTTGTAGTAAGTGTGTGCGAAACGCTCTTACGCGTTGGGGTTGCTGTAGAGGGTGTTGGAGTTGGTCTAGGAGCGGTAGAAGGGGTCTCGGCGGTTGCCGATTTGGTTCTAAGCTTTGCAGCAACTCGCTTCTTGTCGAGGGGTTGTATTGATAGCGGCAGGGGGACGAATTCTCACTCTGCTTTGGTGAATACTGTAACCCAAGGGTTGGAGACCGGGCCTTAGGCTCCCACAAACAGCTGGCGATTCACACTATGTACGCTCAGTCCAGCTGGGAGATTGCTGAACCCGCTACCGGTGTGGATGGAGCCGCCACCGAGGTCGTAAAAGAGGACTTCGCCAACAGATGCCTGATCGGCGCTCCAGATGTTGTAGACTACATGAAGCTCAATAGAAAACTGTGGGAAATAAAGGCGGCAAACGGCTTCGGTAGCATTCATCGGGTAATTTGAGTGGCGATGGGCGGCGTGTCCATGAACCTGACCTTTGCAATTTTCGTGTACCCGAACTCTGCGAGAGGTTTTTTGAGCGGATCCTCCTTCTCCTCGAGAGGTATATCGTAACAATCTTCCGTTTACGATATTTTGAAGAGGTAACAATACCAGCGAGCGATACTTTAATTGCGTGGGCGCTGTTGTTGCAACTGTAGCTATGGAAGGTACTCCTGCGAGGAAGGCCGTCAGGGGCGTCCGTGTATTTCTCACAAGGCGATCAAGATCTGGTTGACCGCTGTTCGTACTAGCCTCTAGCAACGTTGCGTGGATTTTGAAGAGGCATCCCATCCGACCGATGCCCTGGGTATTGTTTCATCCAAGAGAACTTCCGAAGTCGTGTAGAAAGCCTTCGCACGGCTGCTTATATGGACGAAGAGGCCTTCAAGCTGTGCAAGGCTCAAAAGATTGGTCGGAGGGAATGCCGCCAGCGCATATTTCGTGGCACTGGTGGTACATAGTCTTCAGGTGCATCTGTGCTGCGAGTGAGCAGTGGAAGAGCAAGGCAAGCAAATTCCAGCGCTCGCTTCAACATCTTCCATAATGGTATAGGCAATGCGGGCAGTGTATCCAGGTCCCGACGATGGTCCCGACGAGGACCGCGCCGACGAGGGCCACGCAAAGCGAGGCAGGAAACCCATACCACGGGGATACCGTGGAGGGCGGAAGGGTAGTAACAGATCATGGTGTCATTGTTTGCATTATGTCCGTGGAACCGAGCTTAGTGTGCTGAAAAGATTTGTCCTGTAAGCGGTGAGAGAAAGACACAACGACTTTGGCAAATACTGTGCCAAGTGGTAGTGTGCGTAGTCAGTACGAAGTGCCAGTTGCTGTAGGCTGATGATGTTGCGAAGAAAAGGTCTTACAGATTGTGCGCATTTTGAAGTTTGGACTGTTAGCGTATTGTTGGTAGGTTGGAAAGTGTGGTAGATTGTGTAGCAGGAAAGGGCCCGAATCATCTCAGCATCCGTCATGTATATTCGGCGTCATTTGTTTCGCCACGAGGGCCGAACGTTTTGGATCCGGGCCCCATGGAGTGTGAGTAACACAGAAGACGTTCCAGCTGTCGTTCGGCTTGCCGTATACCTAGGAACTTGTGGCGGAGACAGACCCGACACATTTTTGAAAAGGAGATCTGCGTCTCCGGATAGATAAATAACATCTTCGCCTAGCTATTCTGCGCTTCTTTGCTGTCTTGATTTGCTGCTTTGATTCGCCATCGGGACGTAGTTCTCTTCCCTCTTTTCAAGATACATTGCGCCGATTATAGCACAGCAGGCAGCATCTCTTGCGCTTGCATACTAGTATGCTGGCATTATGTTGGTTCGATGTGACTGTGATTAGACGCTGGTATCTAGAGATGTTATGTTCGTTCTTGCATGCAGCACGTGCTGGTATGTCGTTATACTGAGCAACTCGTCTTGTAGCTAGATACAGCAAAAACATTGTGTGTGGGACCATGGCTTTTGAAGGCGTGCACGGGGTCGAAGCTACGTAAGGTAGAAGATCGAAGAACCGGAGCCGGTGAGACCTGGAGTCAGCAGTTAGTACAGAGCTTGAGTGCGCGTGAAGTTGAAGTTACGAACCAGACGGTATTGTAGCCGTGCGGGAATGAGAGTGAAACAGGACTGGGATGGTAAACGCGGTATGTGGGTGGAAGTAAGCTGGAAGTGGAACTGCTGTGTAAGGTTTGTTATGTGGGAGTAAGGTGGAAGACAGCGAAAGAGAGCTACGCTGTTGTTATCACTATTCCTCGGGCTACTATGTGTTAGAGCGGTCACTCCAGCAGATAAGGGCAGGGCAGGAGAAGCAAAGTGACTTGGAAAACTTGAAACCTGCCAGCCATGCGACTTCGCATGTGAGGTTATCTAATCAGGTTCTCAGCTGTGGCCAACAGTGACAGGTGTGCAAATTTAGGTGAGATACATGAAGGGAAAGCTGTCTTCCTTGAAAAATAGCGAATACCAAACTCCAGTAAGGGTGCTGTACGATCGCTCCGAAAGATCAGAAAATAGAAAGGCCCGCTTTGCGACGCCGGGCAACGTGCAGGGCTTTTCAGCTCACAGTCTGCTTCAGCTGCGCACTCAGCTTGGCCGGATCCACAGCCGTCGACTTCCTCTCCTGCTCACTCTTCAGATCACCCGTACTCGAACCCAGTGCCGGCGGCCTACTCGACAGACTCGCCCTCTTGCTATCATCCATCCGACTACTCGGTCTCGACGCAGACAAGCTTCCCCTGTGACCATCGTCCACCCTTTCTCTCATACTGCTCGGCCTCGTGCTGTTCCTGCTCGCCGCCTGACTGCTCCTGCGGCTCTGCCATTCCGGATCATCGCCCTTGACCATCTTCCTGAACAAGCCTGTGTGCTTATCCACAACCCATCTCTCGTAGGGGCCGGGTATGAAGTTGCCCTCCTCGTCCCAAGCCTTCACCCACGCGATGCCGCCATCGAGCTGGAAGAACCCGAATTCCTTGACCTCGCCCTCAGCGTCCGTCACCGGACCGTACTTCTTGCGGGCGTCGTAGTCGGGGCGGAGGAGGTTGCGCTTCAGCACTCGGGAGTACTTTACTTCGACAGGCTGTTTAAGGCGCTCGTGCAGGTCGGGGATCGTGAAGTACCAGCCGCGGCCGGGGATGTATTCGTAGGTGCCAGGCTCGGGGGCGTCCCAGTGCTCGACTTTGCCTTCGGGCGACTTAGAGCGCTTGAACCAGCGATCTGGGCGGAAGAGTGTTTGAATGGCGACCAGAGGGTTTGGGGCCATGGATGGCGCTGGAGGCGGGGGATTGGTGGATGGTGTGGCGAGGTGATAAGGTGAGTATAGCGGGCGTGCTGATGGAGAATAGTCAGAAAGGCACACAACTGAAGGGGTTTTGGCGGATATTTGAGGAGCAATCTAGGAGTACGGTGGGCGATAAGAAAAGTATATTCACCGACAAGGTGCGTGTGCGGTGACCGAGTTTTTCTTCAATTCTCTTCAATTCTGGTAGCGACGATCGCTCAACCACCGCGGAGCCTGCTGTGATTCCGGTCCTCTGGTGGCAGACTGATGTAGCCTCCCGCACCGGGAAACGAATGCTTCGAGGAAGTCGCCATGTTGATGTCGTTGCAAACGCCCAGAGACTTGGAATCTAGCGCAGAAAGCTTGTCGTCGATACTGCTCTCCTATCGCCACTTTCTAACCAATCAGATTGCAGGCCTGGAGCTGATGGGCGCCGGAAAACGTCGAAAATGACGGGTGCTGCCGGTGGTTTGTTAGGTGTGCAATAGCACGTGCAAAGTACATGTGTATATAGCGGTGTATATAATGCCCGCGCCCTGAAGCGAGAAATGTTCGTGCATGTTTCACAAACTTGAAACAGCACCTTGATGCATGAGCAGACAATCTCCAGCTCCTCAAGGTGCACAACATGGGCGCAAAGCTACCAATGGGAAGCCAAGCAGCTTGCACGCAGGTAGCCAGATACAACTACTCGTTCAACAACTATGCAAGCAAGCCCCACGGGAATGGGCAGATTTTTAGTAAAATGATGAGCACGTGGAGGAATACCATCTGCGTACGAGCCTGTTGTGGCTTTACAAGCGTCGAGCACGTACTCTCTATTGGGTAGCTCGAGCGATCATGTCCATCAGGGACTAGGAGATACAGCGTGACGCGAGGACACTCAATGTGACCTATTCTTGAAGATGGTTCCTATTCTCATCGATCTCGCCAGCCCAAGGATTCATTGGCCATGGAATCGATTGTGTCGTGATGCTCGCATACAAGTAGCTCTATCAGGAGAGCTTCGCCAGAGACCATCCCGAATGAAAATGTGCGCCCCGCTCAATGCAATTGCCCTACGACTCAGTTGTGACCTTGGCCTTGCCGTTGGTGACCTTCACGCCCAGCTGCTTGGCCCTCGCGATGATTTCGATCCTCTTCCGCGAGGAGACTGCGTGTGAGATTCTGGCGGTGTGTTAGCCCAAAGACGCTTCAGGGAATGTTCGAGCGGCGTACTCTGCGGCGTGGGTGCGGTTGTGCATGAGCAGTAGGTCGACGTCCCGGATGTTGTTGACGAGGAAAGCCTTGTGGCCGGAGGGCATCATGTGGCGCGTCCTCTTGTTGGAGCCATAGCCGATCTAATATATCCCATATCAGCATCTTTCAAACCAAGAGTAGAAACCTTCTAGTGCTCCTTGCGCCCCATCGTCCGTAAGCGGTGCCCTCGGCGTGTCTCTCATATCCTCCACCGCAATAAAAATGGCGGGTCCATCGTACCTTTGGCATAGCAGCCTGGCCCTTGAACCTCCTCCTCACCCTGTTGTCGATACCCTTGGGTTTCCTCCAACTCTCACCAACGCGCATAAAGCGGTCGCTCTGGTGGCGCTTGAAGGGCGCGGTGCCTGAAATCCCAAGACCCTGTCAGCATTACCCATGTACCAAGGTCTGGTAGCTTTGATTGCGCGCTATATTCCATTGCTCGAACTGCTGGGTATCGTAGGCGGCGTGGGTGTGTGGAATCGAGATGGGTTGAACGTACGCTTCTTCACGATCGTGATGTGCTTCTTAGCGGCGACCATCTGCGAAAACTCTTGTCAGCAGATTGTACTTCTGGCTGGGACGGTCGATCGTGCTGCACGTACTTCGGCTGTGTTGTGGTGTTAGTAGGGAATTGTCCTTGACCTCGCTGTCGTCGAGAAGTTCGGGTTCGAAAATCGAGTGGGTAGCATGTCGCGCTAAGCCTGAAACAGGGGCATTTAGCGAACATCGTCAACCTCAAGCCTCCACGACACTACAATCACCTGCTGCAGGGCTGAATGGTCCGCCTTGTTTGAGGTTATGCGAGTACTGGGAATGGTGGCAGCACTCTCGTTCAAGCTTGTGCAGTCTTACAATCTCGGTGCATCTCGTACAAACGACCAAGATATTCAACACCGCCCGAGGCGGCACACAGCACATCTATCGTAGAACGACTGCGGGTTTACACTACATCACTACGACTACGAAAAACCCTCCAAGGTACGAATAACAGGCACTCCGATCCATTTACAACCTTGCGCTACGCACTGCACAACCGAGCCCTCTTTCTCTTCCATCCGCCGTACTAATACACCCATCGCACCTGACATGATTCCACCTCTCCGTGACCTTTCTATCGAGTCCGCTGCACCCCCAGCACATGATCCTATCGCCGGTGTAGATTGTCCCGCAATTGCACTGCCGCTCATCAGCTTCAGGACCCATTGATGTAGCGACGCTGCTCACGCATTGGAAGCCCATCCTCTCACAGCGCTCTTCTCTGGTGTGCCGGTTCGGTTGCGGCTTTGGAGGGGTTCCAGATGCTCAGTATGTGTGCAGGTGGGTGGAGGGAAATGTCGGTACCGCTTGACAGCTTGCCCTTACCGGAAATTCGAGAGTCTTTAATGTGATTTTTGATACTGGATGTCGAGTCCGCCCGCGCCAGCTCCCTCGCAGGTTGATATAACCTCCGGGGAGGCAGTGCTAGAATGATAGCATATCACCCATTGCGGCTCTGCTACAGCCTCGAGTCCGCCTCACAGGGCGAACCAGTCGTAAAGTCACTGGAAGCCTTGTCCCAGCCTTTGAACGGGTACTTTGGAGCACCTTACCTTGCCTTAATTGAGGCAGAACACTTCTTTTCCAGGACATCGTTTGAAACGCAGAAACGGTGCAAGCAGGAGTGATATTGAGTGATAGAATTTCGTTGCCTCATACCAATTGCCCAGTCGTCCTATTGGAGACCAGATCCCCAAACAATACGAGCCTTATAGCTGCCCAACGCCAGCCTCCCGCAGCACCCGCTAAACAACAAACGCCGTGGCTTGACCGCCCCACTAAGACCATAACAGCCCCCCACTCCAATCTTGATCCTCTGGAGAACGCCATCGCTATGCATAAACCGATTTCCTCAAAGCATGCGCGAGTCACACTTAAGTCGCAGCAACCATCCTCAACGGCGACGCCATCGACTCCTCACCCCGCACCCTACTCGTCGGCGACGCTGTCCGCATCAACAGGGCATTCGAGACTTTCCTAGCCGCCTTGCTCTGGTGGTACTGCGGCTCTGGGTCCACGCCGGTATCGGCCTCGTCGTCGCTTGGTGGGGCGGTTGAGGCTGTGTCCTCTGAGGAGTTTGAACCTAGTTGAGCAGGAGATGCGAGCGCGAGCGCGATCTCTGGTGACGCGGACGGGTTGGCGGAGGATCCTGAGGGTCCGGTTTCGGGCAAGGCTGCAAGCAGAGCGGATGGTGGATCTGCGCTTGTGAGTATGGGTAGTGCTGTGTCAAGGAGCGCTTCAGGCTGTTCAGCCTCTCCCGGTCCGGCCGCAACTGCTGCTGTTCCTAGTTCTGGCACTGATGATATGTTGGACGCGCACTCGACTGGATTGGGAACCGGAGACCCAGAAGGCGGCTCCATGCGCTCATAGAACAGCATGAACACACCGCCCTGCCGCAGGACGTCCTCCTCAGTAACCTGCGAAACGTCGTCATCACTCAGGCACCACCATCTTTCAGAAGCCACAGCCTTCCCTCCTTCAGATGCTTCTAAGTCGTCGTCCTGGGAACCGGACGTCTCTGAGCTGGGAGCCTTATAAAGGTGTTTTCTGTAGCAAATGTAGTGTCCGTTTTCGTGATGTCCGTAATGCGTGATAACAGCTCTAAGCTCGTACGGCAGCTGCAGTAGACTGTTCTCTCCGTCAAGCATGGATGTCCTTGGGTCTATGGTCCACTGTTCCGTGGCTTCTCCTAGAGTCTCTAATTCTGGCTGTTGGCTGGCACCAAGGCACCACGGTCCGAGGTCCAGAGTCTGCGGAAACCGGACATCGGCGTAGTTCTTCCTTTGTGCACCGCTATACTCGTCAAACACGCTTCGATTAACATGCAAGACGAGCGATGTTGGCGCCCTTGCTACGACTGCCTGCCGCGACTTTGTCGTTGACACCCAGTTCTTCTTCAGAATCTGACATTTCTTGACGAGCGTCTTCTCCTCGAAGTTCTCTTCGTCCAGCGCGTGCTGCACAGTAGCCAACCGACCTCGAATCGAGTCCAAGAGCGCATCTGGCATTGGAGAACCACCAGTGGTTCCACTCTCCAAAAGTCGCCGCAGGTGCTCTTCGGACTTTTTAAGCGTGCATTTCGCGCATTCAACACCTTCGATAGGCTCAAGCTTAGTATACTCGTCGAGGCAGTCCCGAATATCGTAGGTATAGTCTCGGCCAAGGGGCACGGTAAGGCAATTAAACGGAATCATTGAGAGGCCTTCGGAGTAGCCGCAGCGTATGCAGCCAACACGCTGGGCTAGGAGGCCCTCCAGAGGGTTCCGGAACGTCTGGTCCTTCGCAGTCTCCTCTTCGGAAGATTTTGCCGCACCGATGCTGGTCGAGTCCCCGGCCGCGGCGATCTCTTGCACACTTTCTAGCCCGGAGGTCCCGCCTCGCAGCCTTGAGGCCCGCACTACCTCCTTGTCCACCTCCTCCAGGATTCTCGAAAAGTACTCCTGCGCATCCTGCTGCTGCCAGCTGTCCATAGACTTCAACTTCGAAGGCGTCCAGAGCCGTTGACCGTGATTCGTGGGATCGTTGAGCTTTGTAGTGGTATCCAGGAGTGCACTGGTTGCTGATTCGCCCAGGAGACTGTCATACTCGCTCGTAGTCTTTGCCAGAAATTTATTGAGAGAGTGTAGTGACGCCAGACCCTGGATAATGCTGTTCTGGTAGCACGAGTTGTCCCAGTTTCCGAGCCCCGGCGGAGTCTCACTGTTAGTCCCTTTGATGAGAGTGCTGATCGTTCTCAGCGATCTGTCTCCCGCAACGCTTTTGAGTACACTTGGTCCGCTGAGGCTCAAGACCCTCTTTAACACCTCGCTCTTTACGGTATGCATGTTGCCCGGTGCTGCGGCGCTCCCAGCACTATCTTCACCTCCCAGTCCAGAAGTGCGTGCGCGGTCTAGAGCGAATACCAGCCGCGACGGCATGAGTGTGACAACGAGGTTCCATATGAAGTCTCGCAAGGGTGGGAGTTGGTAGATGGCAAGCACCGCCAGCAGGAGGATCGCTAGTATGTTCCCAGGCGTGGCTCGTGACTGCTCCTGCCTGTAGGCGAAGTCGTACGGCAAGTCGTGCTTGTAATCCTGAGTAGGCGCTTGACGGTAGCGGTTGCCGTTCATGGTGTTGTGTCCAGTGGGCGATAAGCCTGTTTGAGGCGGGTCAGTAAGGAGCCTCTTCTTTGCGCACCGAACAGACAAGCAGTGAATGTCTGCATAGGCGCGACAAAGGCGTAGTAATGCGCTGTGGGGGTTGACGCCCAGGGAGAGTGACGGAAGGCGTTGAATAAGCTGCGGTGGGTTGGCCCTGGCCGTAGGGCTGAGAAATGGTTTCGCTTCAAGGTTCTGCGCGAATCTGCCGAGGAAATCTTGGCCTCACATTTTCGAAAGTCCAACACCAACAACGTTTGTCGTAGCTGCCTAGGTATACAGATTGGGAAACAGCTCTTCCAGCACCTGCCTATCGTTCCTCTCAGGCTACCAGTAATCTGAGCATCTCGCCGGCGCACATCCGACTCCTCAATCATGGCCAAGACCGCAAAACTAAAGAAGAAGCCCGCTTCCATCAAGTCCCGCGCCGCCCGTCGCGAAACATCCCCATCGCTAAACCTCGATAAATCACTCAAAACTATGAAGCCACCCTCCGACTCTCGTCCCTCCGTACTAGCACCTCAGAGCACTGGCATCATTAAGAAAACCAAGAAGTCCAAACCCATGTCGCGGGCGCAGCGCCTGCGCCATGAGAAGGCTATGGAGAACGCGGAGAGAGATATGGACAAGCACGAGAGGAAGATCGAGAGGAGCAAGGGGCGAGGACGGAAAGTGCAGGAGAGGGCGAAGAATTGGGAGGAGTTGAATGGAAAGATAGGGGTGAAGGGTTTGAGGGCGTCGAAGGAGAAGGCGGCAGAGGACGATGGGTGGATTGACGAGGGTATGGCTGTAGACGAGGAGCCGGAGCCTGGGAGGGTTGTGGTGGAGAAGGGTGCTGAGGGGGAGCCTTCGTTGATGCCGGAGCCCGTCGCTGTTGTTGCTGAGGGGTCGGCTCAGATGCCAGTTGCAACTGCGACCGCGTCGGCGAAGGAGGACGAGCTGGACGATGGGATCCTATGAGGAGGCTCCTCGCGGAAACGAGGGATAGCCAAATACACTTGCATACCACTGGCCTTGGCCGCCATGCCTAGCAGGAGACGCTTGTCAAACCTGTTGGCAGATTTGGCTGGCTGCGTGCGGTATGCTCCTGCGCGCTTCAATCGACTTTGAAAGTATGCACACTTCAGCGGTGGACTCGTATCTCGGGCTGGTCATCGCCGCTCATCGAAGCGCCCGCATGAAGAGACGGTCTCATCATGGCGGGGCTGTAACCGTCATGTGAAGGTCTTGTAGTAGTAAGGGGCAAGAGGAGTATGCATGCGTGCTGCGATTGAGCTCCAGGATTCAAGAATGGATGTATGGCACGAGAGGGTTTCATGAAGACATGTTGCTAGATGATAGATTTGCCGCTTCCACGATATGACAGCAAGAGACCGTCACCACGTACCAACAGCTCTAGTTGTTGGGTTCTTCCAGTTACGGAAACTTCAACAGTTCTGAAATGATTCTGATTGCTTGGCACACTCTAAGTTCCAATCTCCGGCTGTAACGGTCAACCGCACTGGTGTGGTGGAGTTCAAACTTACCATACAGCCATGACGCAGTCTATGCTACCGAGGTATCACCCAAGAATATCCTCATGCGAGTTTTCTGAGGGTCTTCTGAAGCTTCCTACAACGCCGCGCTCTTGACGAAGACAAGGGCCATGATGACAAGCGCGAGCTGTAGTCGTCGTCGACCAAGCAGATCACTGTAAAGCTAATTGTCAGCCCTTCCGGCTAAATCTCAACATGGTTCAACCGGCTCCAGGCCGGACTCGGAACTTGCTGAACGGACAGAGATCCAGCCACCCGCTAAGAAACCCAGAGCTATCCTTCATCTGGAAGACCCCATCACGATTCCAGAGTGTTGGGAAGGATTTTCAGCTCTCAAGAAGCGTCCTTGATCTGACTCCGAGACAAAGTGTGGCGCGACTTCGCGGAGCAGCCTGGTATTCTAAATCCCAAGAGCAGAGTTGTCGTGGGCTCAACTGCGGAACATATCAAATCAAGGGTTGATCAAGCGAACCGACCACCGCAGGTTGAAGTAACACTGAAAGATGGAAAATCATCAAACCGTTTGCTGTCCTACTAGGTTTGATGGCCCAGACACCTGCGGACCATGATTCCTTAGCCTCACCTTGTCTGGAAGTCGGATCAAGCACGACGACAGCTGTCGAGCCAAGCTTTTTCAAGACCTGGCGTCGAAGATCCGCCAATGAGCTTCCCTGCTATTCTCTGCTGGCTGGGAGAATCGATCACCGAGGACCTGGCTGGCGGAAGCCACAATCTTGGCTGTCCGTCTTGTCCTCGGGATCACCGCCGAAGCTCACCTCAGCTCAGCCTCACTGCGCAAGCGATGATCGCAGTGCCTGGTGCCTGCATCCATCCGCACCCTCTTCGCGAACGCATGTCATGCAGGGAATGCTACATGAAGGATCGACCGCTTGGGGCTGTTTTTAGGTAAGCGATGTTGCGCAACAGCCTGCCATGTCCTCGCCTTCCTCTGGCTTTTCCTTCGTCTTGGCATGACTTTTCGTGAATCACCGTCAGCATCAGTGCAGTGCTTCATGGACAGGAGCACGGAAGGCTACTGGAGTCCGCTGGAAACGTCATCGACGGGTCTTCTGGGCACAGACTTCCGCAAAGCCCAGATGCTCTCCGAGTCCTTGCTTCCGGAGCGATGCTCCGACTAATGCTTAAGCGCACATCTAGGCCGAGGTTGAGGGCCAGATGAACCAAAATTTGCGGGGAGATCTGGACTTCCTCACCATTCAGCTTTCTTCTCGCTTTTCCTAGCGGATCGCTAATCAGCCGTACCTTTCCTACGCTCAGCACTGAGTCTAACTTGAAGAGAAGAGCGGAAGTGGCGATGTGCCATACTGCTTCCATCATCGATGTCCGCCCATAGCGTCAAGCCATCATGTATTGGCGGTGGCACAGCTGAATGGCGATCTTTGGCCATAAGGGTGCAGGTCGCCAAGTCGTATTTCCTACTGCATTCTTCTAGCCTCAAGATTGGCATATTCTAGCCTGAAGGTATCGCATCTGTCACAGATTCTAGACGACGAAGCAAACTCTTCTTCGCCTTGGCTGCTGGCCCGACACAATTGTAACTCTGTACTTGTCAAGTCTATATAGAGCTCCGTCCGCTCGAGCTGTGACAGTATCATCACAACCTCAACAGCCTCTCGCTTTCTACGTCCCACCTGATCCAGCAGTCTTCCAAGTCAACCAGTCATGTCTTCTTGGTTCACCGCAGGGTTGTTACTCTCCGCTCGTTTTCTACAAGCATTCGCTGCAGTTACCCCATTCAGCACAGTCGGGTCTATAGATGGGTAAGCCATCTCATACTGGTTGCGCTCCCATCGGTCAACACTGACAGTGTCACAGACTATCGGCAGGCTCAGAATTCAACTCTGGCGGCACTCTTTCAGTCAATGGATACAGCATCACCGTCCCAGACAACTTGATCGTCCAGTTCCCAGCAGCCTGGGTGCCCTGGAAGGATGTCGTTGCAGCAGGATTCAACGGCTATGAAGTTTCAGTTGTCGGCAACGTCGTCGATGGCAGAGCGATTGCAGGCCAGATCGAGCTAGCACAGTTGTTGCTGCATGCTGGCAGTGGCTACGTCGAGTCTATAAACAACGCTGCGGGTTCCATGAAGATCGCAGGCGGCCCTACAATCAAGATCAATGATCCCAACAAGGTCTATTCGGTCGGCTACACTGGCAACCCGCTCTTCACGGCCGACGACGAGAACCCTTCGATCACTGCGTTCAGTGGATTCCCTATGTGTATTCCCAGGTCCGCCAACGATGATCTCTGCCCGAGCTCGAACCGTCCGGCCGGCCAACGACGCTTCACTGCGCCCGACCCTCTGAAGATGGCGCCTTTTGCAGTGGGAGACTTCCTCGAGTTCTCCGGTATCAAAGTTGGCGGCGAGATTATCTGCTTTGAGATCGCGGCTCTGAACGTGCAAATCCTTTCCAGCAGCCCAGCTTTCATTCGCATGGAGGATGCCATCATTGGAGTTTACGACGGCCAGGCGAACGCGGAGTGGGGCGACTCAAGGTTCATTGGCGTCCTCTCCGACTGCTCGGCCTCAGTGACCATCAGCGCCATCGATGTGGATCCCTGCACAGGTGAAGAGACCGACCGTACCATTGGCAGCGCTTCTCCTAAGGCAGGCGACCCACGCTGCAAGTGGACCTTCCGCGCCGATTCCACCACTCTCTCCAAGTACACTCGCGAGTATCGCATCAAGGTCTCGACAGGCACCAAGATGACCCAGAACGGCATAATGGCGGGCCAGTACGTGCAGCCAGTGACAGAGTGGATCTTCCCTGAGCTTGCTACACCTGGCGCTGAGCCGCCCCTGCACACTTTCAACCAGTTTACCCACCTTGTGAACGGTATCGTGGACGGTGAGCGACAATTCGGGCAGCTGAAGCCCTGGCCCGGTGCCAACCCCCCTGCACCCGCGCAGGCCTGCTCCGGCCCTGTGACACCCGCCGATCCTGCACCCGTTACGCCCCCTGAGACCACCCCGGGAGACACCACTACCCCCGTCGACCCCGTCGCACCTGTCGTCGAGGCCCCCGTCGCCAACGCCGGCGTAGATATTGCCCAGCGCCCCGGCGTGCTTGTCACCTTACAAGGCTCAAACACCAATGATAAAATCGCAGCCGCCGACCTTGTCTACGCCTGGACGCAGATTTCCGGACCCACGGGCATCACACTTGCGGGCGCAAACACCGCGAAGGCAACCTTCACGGCACCCACGCAGGCCGACGCAGTCACGAATCGCGAGTTCCAGCTCACGGTCTCAAGGAAGTCAGACGCTACCATCAAGTCTACCGACACCGTGGTCGTCAAGATCGACAAGGCGATCAAGGACGTTGTGACTATCACCTCGTACACACATACCAATTCGAACAGCGGCACTATCTCTGTGACGGCGCAGACGAACGTCATAGATGGCAGCGTCACATCTATGAGCCTTGTGCTATCGGGCAGGACCACCGTCGCCATGACGAACCAGCAGGGTGGCAAGTGGAGCTACAATGCGCGCAGCACGAACAGGCCCACGAGTGTGCTGGTCAGGAGCCCGCTTGGCGGCACTGACAGCAAGACGGCGGTGACGGCGAAGAGGAGGTCGGTGTTGGAGAGACGGGACGAAATGTCTGCTGCCCGCTTGTAGGCACAGCCGAGGCAATTGGTTCTTAGCGATTGCATTGCATGGCGTTTTGGGGCTGCATTATTAGGACTTGGATCGGGGTCTGGGTTATGACTTAGGACCATCACGCTCACTACGAAGACAGTCTTTACGAACGCTGGCAATGCCATAGATACCATACTAGACTAGACTTATGACACCTTTTATCTCACTACTTGAAGCTCATCCATGATTCTGCATTGTGACTAACGCACTCCCAGGCTAACAAAGATCGCCGGACTCCGGAACTATGAAGCCGTGAATCTATTGCCGTACTCACCACTACTGTTACCATGCGCTTTTAGTCTTTGAGCTTACTCGCAACAGGTTCACAACGCTCCTAATGTTTCGGTGCAGGTACAGACAAGATCAATTACTGCTGTACTGATACAGCTATGCATGAACGGTGAATGCGATGTCGTGAGTTGGGAAGCTGGCGATTTCTGTGATCCAGATGCGTGCATGATCCAGAGTCGTAAAGTACACGCAGTGATACCAGGAACGCTAAAAGTTCGTACCATATGTGAAGAATGACACAAAGTTCATGGCTGCGTGTTTAAGACAAGGAGTAGCCCGCTGCGAAGGTACAAATGTTCAACAGTAATAAAATCTTCTCAGGTTTAGTATTTCACCAGTTAGATGTCTTCAAGTTTTGTGCTATTCGCAACTTCTTACAAGATATGTCAAGCATCTACTTGGTTTGCAAGAGATTGACCAGGTCATCCAGATCTTGGTGTTGATGTGGTCGTTCCATCCGGAATGCAATTTAAATCAGTTGCTCCAGGAGAGTCAATGCCTATCCTATGAGCCAGAAATTGGTGGCTTTCTTATGCTATTCCGCAACCCCACAGCTAACACGCCTGCACATTATTCAACATCTACTCATCATCCTCATCCGCATCATCATTGACAACATTGAAGAACCTGAGCTCATACACCCCCTTCGAGGTCGACACCACCCGCAACCAATCACGGAGCTGCTGCTTCTTGAGGAATTTCTTCGTCCTGTCACCGTAGTGTCAGCCCCTGCCTCCATCCATGCTCCTCACCCTGCTCTACATCCTCCAGGGAAGGGAAGTGGATCGCTTACAGGTACTTGAGGTACCGCCCGGAAAACTCCTGGTGCGCAATGACCTCGATCTTGCCCTCGCCGGCCTGAGAGATGTTGATGGTATCGCCGAGATTGCCGGTGCGGCCGTCCACCTTTATGCGGTCGTGCAGGAACTTCTCGAAGGCGGTCACGTCGAAGATCTTGTCGTTTGCGGGTTGCGAGGCGTTGATGATGTACTGTACGCCCTTGTCAGAACAAATTCACATCTATGGCTTCTGGGTAGGGTGAGAGGTGGTGAGAACTCGCGGATTGGGCGAGGGCTCAAGGAGTGCGCAATTGGTGACTTACCTTCTTGGTGATCTTCTGGCCCTTCTTGGGTCCGCCCTTGGGGCCGCCGGCGCCTTGTGGTCGTTTCTGCAGAGGGAGATGTATCTTAGCCTACTGTTCTGTGCCTGCTCCTCCTCCGGTGAGGTGGAGGGGCCGGCGGACAGCAAAGCGATGTACGTACGGTTCCTTGTGCCATTGTGGATGTGTTGACTGTGGTCGCAAAGAAATGGATATCCTGCGCCTGGTGATTGATGCGAGAAGAGTGCGGTGATGGAACCGAGATGGGGTTCAAGGTTGCCCTGTGATTTTGACACGGGAGTGGTGTGGTGCCGCAAGTGGCTCGCTAAAAGTTTGGCGACAATGCCAAGACGTGGAGGCTGAAGCTGGGGCGGAGATCTAGGTAGCTCATCTCTACGTCGAGCGCTGCGGCTGTAAAGTCAGGGTCTCACAAACAGTCATCTCCTGCAAGATTGAGGAGGCAGTTTTCACATCTTGAGGTGCATTCTGCGCGCCTGTTGAGGCATACCATTGATCATCCAGGCTTCTCGCACTGATACCAGCTTTTGCTTTACTCTCTAACCTGAACCCGGTCTGCCGCGCCTTGGAGTGAGCTCTATTCATACTCACCTTGAAATCAAGGGTCCTCGGTGTCTAAACCGGTCACCTCCTCGTCATTCCAGATAGAACAAAAGCAGCCAGTTTCTAGGAAACAGGACCTTGCTCAGACATCATCTTCCCCATCAAGTTTGAATCACACAACGTTGTCCTCGAGGTTACAGCAAGCATGGCTCCCGTACCGATCGAACCTAGGCCCAGTGACTCAAGCCGCTTCAGATCCCACACGATCGCCGCGACCACCGAGGGCGTGGTCGATTTTGAAGTCCCCGGAGCCGGAAAGCCCTGCAAGACCTGGTACAGACTTCGCGGCAATCTCACCTACGGCGGACGACCTCTCGTATGTCTGCACGGAGGACCCGGCGTCGGCCACGACTATCTAGAGTCTCTCGAGGACCTCAGTATTTCCTACAACATCCCGGTCGTCCTGTATGACCAGCTGGGCACGGGTCGATCGACGCATCTGCCGGAGAAGAAGGGCGACGCTAAGTTCTGGACTATCGGCTTGTTCCTGGCTGAGCTTGATAACCTGCTCCGACATCTGGGCATCCACCAGAATTACGACCTGTACGGCAACTCGTGGGGCGGTATGCTGGGGGCAGAGCATGCAATCCTTGGGCCGAAGGGGTTGAACCGCCTCATCATCGCAGATGCGCCCGCCAATATCCACAACTGGGTAAGGGCAGCGAACAAGTTGCGCAAAGAGCTGCCAGAGGACGTCCAAGCAGTTTTACAGAAGCATGAAGACGACAAGACGACAGACAGTCCAGAGTATGAGCGCGCTGTGCAAGTCTTCTATCAGCGGCATGTGTGTCGAGTAAACCCATGGCCCAAAGAAGTGCAGCGATCGTTTCAGAACATCAAGGACGATCCCACGGTCTACCACACCATGTCAGTCTATTTCCACTTCTCTTCGTAGACATTTGCTAAAGTCAACAGGAATGGTCCGTCAGAGTTTCACGTGGTCGGCTCACTGAAGGAATGGTCAATACTTCAGGACCTGCCCAAGATCGACGTACCGACGTTGCTCATCAACGGTCGCTACGACGAGGCGACTGACGAGGTCGTGGAGCCGTACTTCCAGAAGATCAAGAGGGTGAAGTGGGTCACGTTCGAGCAGTCCAGCCATATGCCGCACGTGGAGGAGCGGAGCAGGTTTATGGAGGTTGTCAGTCACTTCTTGAGATCTGAGACAATGAGATGTTAAGGGCGGCCTGAAATTCGATACGTGTCAGATGAAGAAATGGAGAGCGTGGTAGATTGCAGCCTGGCTCTGGGGAAATTTGCAGCAGTTCGACTGAGATACTAGGACGAAAAGTTATGGGTGCATCGCAAGGTGTTTCTTGTTTTCGCTAGCGCCTGCATCTGAGGACAGAGTGGTTCTGAATCTCTATGTTCAATGTATTTAGTTTACTCACCGGGGGATTGTCGTGGAGTAGCATATGGATACGAGTACGGTCTGTGTTGCGAGGCCTGCTATACGACACTGGCTGTGGTAATCACATTTGCTATACGAAAACACGAGGACTTGATCTGTTGGTCGCGATCTCAAGCATTCCCTCTTCCGGACCGCGTATTCCTCAGCGACATGAAACCCACACCGATAAGGAATATTACCAAGCAATTGCTTTTTGATACTCCAAACGCACCGCCCCCAACACAGCCACGAGATCCGCCCACTTAACGCGACCACGCCTGATAAGACAAGCAGCTCAAAACTGACTGGCTGTCAGTGCTTGAAATACGACCTCGCTACTCCGCATTCGTGCTGACCGGTCAAGCCTCCAGCACGCAGCGGCCTATCAGACAGGGATATACTTCAATACTTTTCCCCAAACATGCACCTGTGCATTCAGAGATAAACTAGGCAAACATGTAGCCTTGCAAACAACGGGTCTGCAGTTCATACTTGAGCTTTCAGCCCCTCGAAGCTGAAACTCGTCGGTTCACCTTCCAATCTGTTTGGAGTAAAAGAAGCGTCCAGTGTCCGCCGTGCGCTGCTCTGTTGTCCTCTCGTCAACCAACTATCTCAGCAGCACTAGAAACGCGTCTGTCAACGAAGCGTCTCAGCTGCGACTAGTGGTCACGATGTCAGACGCGTCGCCTCGCAAGAGGTGCTCAAAGGGCCATGGAACGTCGTTTTCAGCACACAAGAAGTGGGTTGGCGGACAAGCTGTCCCTCTAGCATCTGGGCACCAGCTGACAACGATGTAGAACGCCCAATACAGTCGTCAAGACGCTTCGTCTTCCTCAGCTACCACAAGCGAAGTTGCAGCCGGTAACAAGCTGCTGCTGAATCACCGTCGATACTGCAACTCAGCCCTCGGCATGTCCGCAAGCCTACGCAGAGGCCACGTATTGCGCGCAGGACACTCTCGAAGTAGCCTCTATTCGCGAGAGAGTGTCGAAGTCACTGAAGACCAGCTGACTCGACGATTCGTACGAGAACCCCGGTGCGACCTTCTCACTGGTCCAGTGAATCCCTAGTAGACGGCAGTCGCCATGCAGAACCTGGCTCTGGAGTCCGCGACGCACCATATCGGGACTTTATGGCGGCCGCCGGGTCTTCTAGAGAAAGCTTCCGCTGTTCCACGGAGCCATGTACTCGTACGTGTGCTGCATGCCTCGGAAGCCGCGCAACAAGCACAGTGGCAAGCACATGAAGGTGCAAACGCAAGGCGCATAGCCTCAGGACGCGAAGCGCGATGCTTGGATAGCATGACGTGATCGGCCAAGACCGTCGCAGAGTTTCGAATTCGAATTCTCATCCAAAGTCCGTTGAGCGTGGCGGTCTTCGCTCTGGAACGACAGGTTGCACCGCCACCGAAGCCGGACTTAACATTGTTCCGGATCGGGATGATCCGGAGCCGAGGCTTTTGATTTGAAATTCACGCCTGACGCCACGCATTTCAGGCACTCTCACCACCCCACGCCGCGAATACGTGAGTCACTCCTGCAGCCTATTGGTAAATGTAAAAATAGTCCATGGTAGCCGGGTCTTCTCACACGGTTTAGGCAATCTCAATCAGCTGCCGATGCCTGGTCAAAGCCAGCGAATATAGCCAGGGCACGTCGCAGTGTAATCCATATCCTGGATTGCTTGGCTTCAAACTCTGCCTCAGGCTTGCCACCGGCCATCCAAAGGTATCCCGGTTCTCAAGCAAACTTTCTTCAGGCGCAACAGCCATGAGTGGCGAGACTCGGAGTCACCTGATTCTGTGATTGGGTCGGAGTTAGGCGCGTGTATTGTCAACAGCTGCGCCTTCCTTAGCTGAGGTGTCCTTATATCGCGAGTGGTCGCCGCCTAAGGCGTCAGAAGCCTTTCGAACATCTGCGAACTTACCATGCCATATATCTTCCCACACGAGCGGGAGAACACCACCATGGCCACAGAACACGACGGTCGACCACCTATGGCGGAAGAAAACCCAACAAGCCATCATGAGGAAGATCCTTCCGCAGACGATTCTGGTTCAGAAGCGCAAGATCAACCTTTTTCACCTCGACGCGGTCATACCTTCAAACGACCTGGCGACCCACCTCGGCATCCAGATGGCAAGATAATGTGCAGCTTCGATCCCAAATGTCACCTACTCAGATTTGAGCGCAAATGTGAATGGAGGTAAGGCATCAAAACTTTCTTCTTCAGGATGAGCAACGGTGGTGGCGAATACCGTACGTTTTCGAAAACTATGAACGCCTCGTCTGGCCGTCCAAGGAACTGGTTTTGGCATATATGGTTTTCCAGACCACCTTGTGCGCTTCGGCGCATGCGTGTCTGGTCCAACTACAACCTGCATACCAACGTTCTCTTCGCGCTGCCATGCGCGCTCACAATCTCGATCTCATCAAGCTCTCTATACACAGCGCTAACATTTCATAGTAAACACATGGACAAGCACGACCGGCCATACAAATGTCGGGAGCCAGGCTGTGAGAAGCTCCTCGGCTTCACCTACTCAGGCGGACTGCTGCGACATCAGCGCGAAGTGCACAAGATGCACGGCGGCACGAAAGAGGCCTTGTTCTGCCCAGTCAAAGAGTGCAAGCGGAGTTCAGGTCCTGGCTTCACGAGGAAAGAGAACTTGAACGAGCACATGCGGCGAGTGCATCGGAGAGCTTCGGGCTCGTCTGAACCTACGGCGCGGAAAGAAGGCCCGGAAGTGGAAGCTGAGCATGAGCAGTCGGAGGCGCCGTCGACGGACGCGCCTACGCCGGGGGAGTTCCGCACTGTCAACAACGTACCTGCGACCGGCAAGCGAAAACGAGCGTTCCCTACGGCGGAGCAGGGCATCGACACGGACGAAGCGAGCTCAGAAGTGGAGATCAAGCGTCTCAGGCTTGAGACGGAAAGCAGAGACGAGAGGATACGGCAGTTGGAGGACGAGAATGCAAGGCTCAAGGCGAGGCTGGATTACCTCGAAGACCTGATGGCGGCAAGACCGCAGTGAGGGGGGATTTCTTTCGTATCCAAACTGGGAGTTCTCGCATCGTAAGGTGTTTGGGTGTATCATCTCAGAGTCTCGTTTTCTCACGGCTGATCAACAAGCGCTATTGTCTGGCGTTAGCTAATGTTTTCGGGTGGTCACTGTCACATTGCGCTGTTATCTCTCAGCTTCGTTGCATAGACTGTAAGATAGGTAGCGGCTGCATATGATACCCAGACTGGCATTCATCATCATGGCAACAGGCTACATAGAAAGACCACATTGCTCATCTCATCACGCCATCACGCTTCCCACGTTGCTGCCTTACCGATTTCGAAACTACACGTGCATCATCGGGATTGATGCGCTGCCTGAATGCTGGTCGATCCCGGTTTCACATGCCTCAAAAAATGCCTCAAACAAGACTCACGGCACGATCGCCTCATCACGCAGGGCAACTGACTGTTCTGCCCCACGCCCGATGCCCTCTCCGGTTGCTAGTCCGGAGGAAGGTGGAGTCATCGTGGAGAGACGTTGCCGTGTTCCACGTTAGGTTAAGTGATTGGCCGAGACCATGTGATATCGTGTGCTAGCGCGAGACACGCGGCAACGTGCACCCTTGCTGCCTGCAACCTCACCACCAACACTTTGAAAAGTTCTGACTCCGATAGGACGTTCGATGCACAGCCACCCTGCTTGCTGCGATCACCTGCCCAACTCGATGCCGATGTCGATGATGGAAAAGATGTGCCTGCTTGCTGCGAACCACTGGGGAAAGCAGGCGCTACGGGTCCCGCACGCTAGGGCATTAACGGAAGTTTCAGACGACGTGTCAAGAGCATGGCCAGTTTCGCTGTTACAAGGCGATGTCCTATCCTCAACGCTACTCCCAGACAAAGCTGGTGACTAGAGTAGGTTGAGCGGATTGCGGACCTGCTTGGCCGCAAGGGAAGGCGGACCCGACGTCAAAACCCGGGAGCAAAGGAAACTCTCGACACCGTAGTCGTCCATTCTTCCACCCAAGGCACCAAGTCCGGATGATGAATACCGCTGGACGCTGATGTGCTGCCGCGATGCTTCGAAGCCAAGCAAATCACTCTCCTTCAAGACCATGGAATAGCCGCTGATGCCAACCGGCCATGCAAAAAACTCTCCACACAAAATGGATAAAGCTGCCACATAAACCTCCGTGGCATAAGGTAATGGACTCCACAACAGCGGGGCCGCGAGGCAAGCTCATCACGCCAGTCGCCCCAAACAGCGGAAACCGCTCACCAACTTGGAACCCGTGCGGGTCATTTCCCCTCAAGACTAGACTCTACATACCATAGTTCTGAGAAACCCCTCCATCGATTAGAGTGTTGCCTAAAGCCCTATGCAGGCATCTCTACGCATCGAGCTAGCGACATCCCCATCGTTATCTGGATCAGCGCGATGCTCCGGTGTGGATGTGGGGTACAAACGAACGATGATCCCCAGAGTGGCTGCCTGGACGGCGGCCTGGGGCTTGAGCAAGACCTTTGAGTTGCGGAGGGTGACGTTCAGCTCCTTGCGCACACAGACAGCAGGATGGAGGTGTTGGTACGTGTATAGCCAACCTCTCAGTAGATTGAGTGCGCTGGTGGGAGAGCCAGAGACGATCTTGAAGCACAGTGAACCGCAGCAACATTGTCCTTGCATCCGTACCAATCTCTGTCTTCGACGCTTTTGCTCACGAAAAGCCTATCATTCTCTCCGCGCACCGAAGGGGTTCCTGAGTGGAGCAAAGTTCCACTTAATGGGACGCTCACTCACGCCAGCAATGCAACAGCCTCATGACAAACCGTTCCTATCTCATCAGTCATTCCCTTCGTCCAGTATCCCATACCGCCTCAACCAGCAGCATCCCCTGTCGCCCTTACTCAGCACCTCTTCTTTCCCTTTATTCAGCGCTCCCTCTCCCTACTAATCTCCTCCTCAACCGTCCTCACCAACGGCGCAAACTCCTTCCCCACCCACCCCCAATACGCCTGCCACGCCCTCACATGCGGATCCTGACTCTCCGCCATATCAATCCCCAGGGCCCTGTTAATCGCCGCGCTGACCCTGACCGCTCCCAAACTCGCCTCCTTCAGCCTCTCCAGCTCCTGCTTGACGGCGCTCTCCTTGGGCTTCGTGGCCAGGATGCCCCGATAGTGCTCCGCTATCGCATCTAAGCGGACCCTCGTCTCGTCGGGAGCGAGGACGACGAGTTTGGATAGCATCAAGTTGCAGAGGATGCGGATGTCGTGGTCATCGCCTATGCCTGCTATGACGCGGTCGAAGAATTCCGGGACTGACAGCGCAGAGAAACTGTTCTCGAGAAGCGCGTACAGCGTCTCGTACGCGCTCTTCCTGAGCTCAAGCCCGTCGTCGACTTTGTGCTTGAACGGGCCCATCTGCACCTCCCTGACAAGCTGGGGTTTGATTTTCGTCTCCTCCATAATGGAGGGCAGTAGTTCCGGGAGGTGCGGCAGGATCAACTCGGGCTTGTTGTGCGCGGCTGCGCTGAAAGCGGTCAGGGCTAGTCGGCGGTTCTCGAGGTCCGGCTCGTGCAGCATGAGGCTTAGCATTGGGATGATGAGGGGCGCGAGGTGCGCGTCGTAGGAGGAGTCGGTGTCGGCGAAGGTGTAGCGGAGCGCGGAGATTACCATGCCACGGACTGTGGGGGAGGGGTCGTGGAGGAAGGCCTGCGTGGGGATTAGAGGGGCGAGGCTGGAGGGATTAGGGGATAGAAGCTCACCTGCAGCTGCGGGAGATAGGTCTTGGGATCGATGATTGCGAGACGTCCGATGCATTCCGCGCCTATGGCCTTGTTGTCTTCGGCTTGCGAGGCGACGACAAGGCTCTGCCACATCTTCTGCGAGTAGGGCAGGATCTCGGAGTCGTTGCTCTGGAGTTGCAGGATCTCTTTGAGGGAGTGGAGGAGGAGGTATTGCGGGCTCGATGGCTGGCTCATCGTAGAAAGAACGACAGGAAGGTACGTCGAGATGCTGCCGGCTCCCGCGCGACCAAGGGCGACAGCAGCAGCCAAGGGTACCTGTTCCAGGTTCGAGGAAAAGTACGAAATGAAAAGTTGGGGCTGCAATGGTGACGCTGAGCCCATGCGGAGCCCGGCTTCGCCCAACACAGCCAGAGCAAGGCACTTTCGCTTACCGTCTTTGGCGGTGTTGAGCTCGCTGACAAAATCGTCCAGCTTGACGTTCAGATTTGGCCCACCGGCGACGAGTAATGTGCCCACTACCTTACCCACTAAGTCTGGATTGCCTCCTACGCCAACGTCTTTCAGTAGCATCTGCATGAGATTCCGGCCAACTCCTTGCTCCCCGATGGCCCGAACAAGCGTGAGGAGCGCATCAAGAGCGGAGCCACTGAGGGAAGTCGTGACCACTTGACATATTGCCTGGTCGAGCTGCTTGTCCACGACAGCCCTTCCATTGTCCCGGACGAACGTCGTCAGAATGACCAGCGCTGGGACCAGAAGATGTGCGTCCTTCGAATTTACCACAGGCAGCAGCACGCCGAGCAACTCACTGGTAGTCTTGCTGTCCAAATTTGGTCTAATGACAGGGTTCACAGCGAGCGTCCTGAGTGTCGCGAGACTGGCGCCACGCAGCGAACGACTCGCTTTGCGCAGTTGGGCTCCCAGCTCCAAGCACACGCTCTGGACCCACTTCGGAGAGAACTCGCTCTTGTTCTGAGCGAGGCTCGCTATCACGTCTATTGCTCGAACAGCGGCGAGCCTAGTGAGCTCATTTCGGAGACGATCGGCAAGCAGGTCGAGTCCGGCTGTCCGCTTCGATTGAGAGATGAAGTCTTGTGATCCTGAAGTACGGCCTAGAAGCAGTCCGAGAACGTGGATTGCGCGTTGTCGCACCTCGAGATCAGCGTCATTGGCGGCTATTCGGTTAACCAGGACGTCGTACAGCTGGTCAAGCGCAGCATGATCAGGCGTGGTCGAGCGCGGAGGCGTTAGTGCTACAACAAACTGTTCAACAGTATTGAGAGCCTCTACAGCGACTCTGCTGTACTTGTCGCGCACAACGTCGACAACAGCCTGGCCAGCTTTTGGAAGGTATGGCTGTAGGTTTTTCGAAGTGTGCGTTTCCGCAATGGCTCCAAGAAGCTGTAGTGCCTGGATGCGAAGACTGTTGGCGGTGGTGGAAGACGATGCATGGCCAGCATGAGCGTGAGAGCCGTGCCCCTTGACTGCCTCGACCACAGGGTCGATGATCTGAGCCAGATAATCAGACAGACCTCCACGCTGAGCTGCTACCATGTCTCTCAGCAGCGCCATCGAGGCTTCCTTAGTAGGTGGCGGTCCAGTCTTTAGAAGCTGTGAGACTCCACGCATGATGTCTGGGCTCAGCTTCGAAAGGCTCGACTGTGCTCCTGCGGATGGGACGGCCTGAGGTTCTTGGGCAATATACCCACCAGAGAGCGAAGTATTGGTGTGAGAGTCGAACATACTGGCATCGCTTCCTCCTCGCCTCCGCTTGCGACTCGGTGGTGGTCCCATCGTGCCATTGCTGGCGTCGTGGCCGGCTGCAGTATTGTGGGCATACGCACCGTTGCCTGTAACGCGCACCAAGGCTGCAAGAGCTGCGAGGACCTCCAGTCTAACGCTCTCCTCGCGTTCCTTGAATCTGGATATGAGAGCCGGAGCGACACGATCATAGAGAGTTCCGTCTTCTAGGAGGTCGCCATCGCTTCGAGTCGTAACGAGCACGTACAGAGCCTTGGCGGCGCAGCGGCGCACTTTCCAACTCGCATCGTCCTCGTCTTCATATCCACCTTCTTCCTCGAAATCTTCTTCTCCCGACTCTTGGTCGCTCCCAGCTGCGTCCATATCTTCATCATCGTCATCGGCGAGGTTGGGATCGTACTTCAGGAAGCGGAGAGTAGAATCGATACATTCGTGTGTGTAGAAGCGCATATCGTGGCTGCACGCAGCGAGGAAGTTTTCGATCGCCACAAGGGCGGCTTCTCGAACCTCATCGCCCTCAGGGTCTCGTACGTCTACGTCCTCGGCCAAGTCACTCTCCAGCTCCTCTGCGCTAAGGGCGCTGAAGACGAAAGGCGCCAACGTTCTCAGATAGGGGCCAAATTTGCGCGGTATCGCTCTGGCCATAGATCCTATGACAGTGATATACAGTTTCCGCCGGCCGAGCGTCACGTGCGAGTCCCTCAAACTCTCGATCAGTCTGGAGATGAAGGCGCTCAAAACAGCGTCGGAAAAGTACGTGGCGAGAGTGGATAAAGCGGTCACAGCCTTCTTTTTCAGGGCTGAGCTTGCGCGCTCACTCTCAAGGATCTCAAAGGAGATGGCCTGTAGTGCTTGGATCTCCGGCTCTTGTAGCATGGGCCCAAAACACCTTGCGACCTCGATCAAGACGTCCATAGCGTTGCTATCGGTGCCCTTCTCCATGTCTTCCTCCAGCATGCCCTTCGGAGGAGCAGGGAGGTCCTTCCGTCCAGGAGCAATGACAGTATATCCGACGAGGCGGGGAATAAGAGCTTTGCTGACAGCTCCATATGCCTCGACGACCGACCTGGACCGCTGGATACCTTGTATGGGTTTTGGCAGCGCGACAACAATGGCCCTGAGGGCAAGAGCAGGTATAGAGCTGTCCACGATGTTGTCCGTCTTCAAGTTCGACACTTTATCAATTAGGGGTGCCAGAATGGTGTCCGGAGCCTTGTTTACAAATGGCTCCAACACCTTCACTGCCATGTTCTGCACTTCGCCGTTCGTGTCCTTGAGTGTGTGGAGTAGGCCGTCGACAACTCTGGCGCAAACGGGATAGTCGTGCTGGATCAAGCCTGGATGGCCGGATTTGAGGATCTGGTGAAGATCGTTGAGGGCCATGTACCGGAAGTCAGGGTCTTCATCTTGCAGCTTGGGCAATAGCTGTGCCACATTTTGAGCGGTGGGGTTCGCTGGGATGGCGGTCGAAGCCATGGTTGTGTGCTGGTTTGAAAAGTGTGCACTGTATGCAGGATCTCTGTGGGATGTTTCCGTAGGTATAGCTTTCAGACTCCGTAGAAGCCTCGCGTGAAACAGGAAGCCGACGCTTAGAAGGAACGGAGAGCTGCAGGCAGAAGTTGTAACTGTTCAATCGGCGCAGTGGACAGAGCGTGGGCGGCAAGACGTAGCAAATCGGGCATAACGAGAACCGAGAACGGGAAGGGGAGAGTAGTTTGGGCTTTGGGGATACTGAGAACGAGGGAAGGTGGTACGGTGCAGCTCCCGGACATGCCACCGCTAGTGAAGCTGTGGAGTTTACTGTGCTTAGCTGCATTCAACAGCAGCTTTGCAGGTGGTGGAGGGGTCCTTGGTCCTGTGAAGCTCGCAGCGGAATTTGCCGTGCCTGAGCACCGTCGACGACATGGTGATCTAGTGAGCCGGCCATCTTCAACCACCGCACAACTTCCTCAATCCTACCTTCAACAACTCAATTCATCTTCACTGCATTCAGGTCGCCCATCTGCAGCTTCAAGATGGTTTTACCAAGGTCCACGGCCTTCCCGGCCTCGTTTACCGCACAGTTCGCACGGGCACCACGAGCTCTCCGCAGCGCCGGACCGCAGCCATGGAAGCGCTTTGCCCAACGCACAGTCCGGAGAGGTTATGCCAGCGCAGGCGAGACGATGAAGAAAGCCGGTAGCGATCTGCCATGGTAGGACAGTTCTGTTGGTACAAGCACAGCGAGCTACCTGCTCAGCTCCCTCGCCGAGGCGATCCGGCAATTGAACTAGCTTGACAACTTCGTATTGACGTGCTCAGCTTAACGAGCAAGCTGCTGACACTTGCTTTAATCACACAGGCTCATCGGCGCCATAGCCGTCACCGTCCCCACCTGCGCATACCTCCTGCAGCCCAGCTCCGACTCGCAAGGCCACCACGGCGCCGACGCCCACAAGACCCGGGACGAGCCCGGCAAACAGGACATATCCGAGTTGAACCCGGACGTGGACGAGGACGAGGGCAAGAGCAAGATCGCCCCGTCTGACCAAACTGGTGAGGGTCTAGGCGGAGACGATGCCGACAGGGGCGTGGACGACTCCGACAAGGGCGAGGGCAAGGACGACTCCGCCCAGGGCAAGGATGACTCCGACCAAGGCAAAGACGACTCCGATAAGGGTGGAGACGACTCCGCCAAGGACGAAGGTGGCTCCGACGATGGCGATAGCGGCAACACTACCGGCAAGCCCTCCGGCTACGCCTCCAAGGGTAAACTCGAGAAGCCGCAGAACAAGACGCAGAACCCAGACGAGGCTCCTACGCAGGATGAGGAACACATGACCGAGACGCCCGACAACAAGGGCGAGCCCTCCGGCGTGCGGTTCAAGGGCCGCAGCACCCAAGGCGACGAGGAGGGCAGGGTCGAGGACGTCCGCAAGCACGTCCCGGACGCCAAGGGCGGCGCCAAGAAGCGCGTCGAGAGCACGTACGGCAACAAGCTGGGCGCGGCGTCGCCAGTGAGGGAGGACAGGGAGGACGACGGCAAGGCCAAGGATAAGGTTCGTGTCGCTTGCTCCTTCCGCTGTCAATAGATTCCGCAGTGCTAAAATTTTCGACAGGCTGTGGCCTCCAAGGAGCCGCTCGACCACAACCACACCTCCGGAAAACAGGCCGGCCTCTCAAACACCGACACCAAGCATTCAGTGGACATCTCGGCGGACCCGGACAAGTCGAAGAAGGGCGAGGGTGCGCCGGAGACGGCGAAGTTGCAGGGTCCTGTTGATCCGAGACGGCCGCAGGTAAGTCTCTTTCCCAATTCCACCAGAACAGTCGTAAGAATCGATACTAAAGACTCGAACAGGCGGAAAATAAAGATGACAGGGACGACTCCGAAAAGGCATGAGTATATCAGTGTCTTCATCTCCTGTAAATTGTTCGCTACCCTCCCGCGATTGGAGGGTAAGAGTCCGGTGGTAGCTCAATGTGTATATTCAAAACATCGGTGGAGTGGTTGTCGTGGTGTGTCTCCAGAGCTAAACCAGGTATCGACGCCTTTCCCGCTGATTGTGCCTGTCTGAAATCTGGCAATTACAACGCAAGCAGGTGTTGCTCTGGATGCAAGGATGACTTTACTACACAACTAACGGTCCGCTGATATCTTGAGCGACTGAGAATAACTTATGTTGGGCCATGAAGATCTACTAATGCATACGGCTTGCTAACATAGCTCAATGCAGAGTGACATGCACGAGGAACACTATGCTGGAACATCGCATGCAACCTGCGCCAGCCAGCTCACGCAGCGACAAAGCAAAAAAGAAGATACCTACGTCTATACACCAAAGACGGTCCCACTCTAGCATGATATCTACCAAACATGAGCCCCGCCTCAAAGCACCCTCGGTGTGGAAACCATCACGAGCTGCCCAAGTATGGCTTCTCAGAAGACGCCATCCCTCGTCGAACTCGCCGAGCAGATCCTTGCGGCAGCCAAAGACCTCGAAGCGGCCGTCTCAGCACCGCCTGACTTCGAGAACGACACCCTTACCGAGCTTCCCGAGTCTCTATCATGCACACGCAAAGCTCTCATCGACGCAACTAGCACGCTCAACGCTCTAGCACGCGGCTCAACCGGCACCTACGGCCACGTCCAACACCTGAGCTGCTATCAGGTGTATTATGAGGGCTGTCCTCGCTGATCTCCATTCCACGACCACTAACTCCCTCACCCTAGTGGCTCGACCAGATCTCCCTCCTAGCCCTCTACCGCTTCCACATCCCCCACACCATCCCCCTCAACAGCTCCATCTCCTACGCAGGCCTAGCCGACCGCTGTACCCTCGACATCTCCAAACCTTCCCGCCTCCTCCGCTGCGCCATGGCCGCGCACCTCCTCCACTCGCCCTCCCCCAAACAAGTCGCGCACACCGCCGACACCCACCTCCCCGCCACCGACCCCACCATGTGGGACTTCGTAGGCTGCACCCTGACCGAGCTGCGCCCCGCCGGCTTCGCGGTCCTGGACGCCATGGCCCAGTGGCCCGGGAGCCAGGAGCTTCACCAGACGGCCTGGAACGCGTGCGCGAGGACGCCGAAGACCTTCTACGAGGACGTCGTGCTCGGGGATGCGGAGCGCGCGACACGGGTTGGCGGCATGGTGGTGCAGGCGATCACGGAGGCCGGGCGGGCGGGAGGCTTATCTGCTGTCGGAGGCGTATCCGTGGGGGGAGCTTGGGCTGGGGGGGGGG